TATGTTATTTTCTTGCCTGTTATTGTCCACTACCCTGTTCAGAGCACTGAATTGTGCCTCCAGCTCATCATGTGCCCTCAGCTCCATGATTTCACCAGCACCAGGTCCTGCAGTATTATTCCCTTCAGCTGGTTTTATTGGCACTGGACTTTTGTTCATTTATTGGTGAGTGGGATTTGTTGTGGGCTTGGTCAAGGTGCCACTTTCAGGAATAAATTGCAAAAGTCATTTCTATTTGAAAAGGGAGCTTTCTTTAAAATTCAAGAACAGCAGTCCCCAAATGAACATGAGGGGAATATAGTAATCTGATTGCACTTTATTTAAATGCATGAATGATGTCCACCAAAAAGCACTCACATGTCTGTCTCCCATATCACAAGAAAATTGACAGCACTTTTTTCTTCATTCAGCAGGCCTTTGAGCCAAGGCTCATGAGTGATGCAGAATCTGCAGATTAGATATTGAGAAGAAAACAGAGGGGTGAAAATTGAAGGGAGAAACAGAGAGAGAGTCAGGCTAATAAAAGCTCTGCCTATGGTAAAAGGATGAAGACTGAAAAAAAGAGAGGAGATGACAAAATGACAGGGATATGGAAGAGATTAGGAAATTATTTTCCTCCCTTTGTCCTCTATTCTGACTGTGTAATCATTGGGCATTATCTCTTCTTTTTCCTGCTCCAATGTTGTCTCTGCCTGGACATATTATGTATCCCAGAGTCATCTCCCCTGTTTTTATTTATTCCTTTGAAATTCATGATGCATCCTTCTCAAAAGTGTATTGCATCATTAAAAGTAAAAGCTGTGGGATGAGCTGGATAATCCAGCTTGATCTCATATCAAACACCTCTGATGTATATACCACTGTAATATTTTCATTTTATTTCAAACGGTGAATACCGATAAATTCCTCCTTTATAGTCAAGGTTAGCTTTTCTATAAGTAGAAATAATAATGATGCTTTTCACTCCTTAAATGAGTTTTTAGGAAATTTCAACTCCACATATCCTGGATGATAACTAAGAAAACCCTAATATCATACAATTTTCAAAGCTTATTCGCTAAATTTCCTGACATAATTCAAATCCAACTCATGCCATACATCAGCAAATACATGACAGTGCAACACATTTATTTCTGAAATTCACCATTAGACATATATATTAGGTCAACAATATGTAATATGTAAATGATGGTTCAAGGTCAGGAAAATTAGGACTTTTGAGCTCAAAAATCTTTAGTTTCAAAGAAATATGTATTCATTTGAAGGACAACAGGGTGACAATGAGGTAAGAGATCAGGGATACAAGAAAATATACTAAATTTGATTACAATTTTCTGTGTTTTCTGTAGTAGTTTTGAGCTTATTCTTGATTCATTTAAAGTTTGAGAATCAACATACTTCCAGGCAAAGTAAAATGCAATAGAATAAAAAAATAAAAACATTTCTTGAAATAATGGGAACCACATGCACATTCTGACCCTCAAATTTTAATAGCAAGTCTCAAATCACCAGAAAATAATTTTGCATACAGATGTTTTTGCATGAAAAACTTTGGGAAGCCACTTTCTGAAAATTATTAGGAATTGCTCAAGATATCTCCCTTCCCAATGCTAGGAAAGTCAATGCGGCTTTTGATTATTTCTGTAAACTTGAATCAACTTTCTTCCCACAGATGCTGTCAAAGTAAACAGGGTTTATCAGTTGACTATACAGTATGACATGGACAAAATCTCACTGACTGAAAAAAAAAAGTTGATGCTCCAACTGAAGAAAGACCAACAAGGTACCTGTTAAGGTTAATTTATCCTCTTTTGAGTTATCTACATGGAATCTCACTGCTAAAATTTGCAAGAGACCAGTGAAGATCATGTCCAGCACTGGGGAGCAGTTTGTGGAAGTGGACCTAGATGTCACTGTTCCAAGCAAAGCAGAGTTGTTTCTCCTGAATGCAGCCAAGAGAAAACACTCTTCATCATTCACCAAAGATGCCTGGAGCTCAAGTTCTTCATCAGCAGGAATGAAATGTCATGTGGCTCCATCCAAAAATTCATTAGATGGATCTTCAGGGCTCTGGAGCAAACTCATGCTGTCTTTGCAGCAGCAGGCTCCTGTGCTGCTAACTAAAACTAATGAGGACATCTCCAGAAATGTTCAAGGGCTAGATTTTGTAAAGATCAATCTTCATGTTGATTGTTTTTCCTTATGTATATAAGCATTTTTTAAACATATTCCAGCCTGATGTTATGCTGCCAGATGAGACATTGGACCTAGCAGCTGGTCTGAACTTCATAGGTATCCCTAAACCTTCAACAGCACTTGATGAATCCTCAATTCATTCACCCCAGAAGGAAACCAAGAAAGCTGTCATCAGGGAAGCCTCGCCTTATGCATGTCACTCTGGGAAAAGAGTCAGAGGAAAAGCAAGGCTCAGACTGGGCTTTTCCAATGTTCCAATAAGTAGACATGGTGACACTCAAGACACCTCTGAGGGACATAAGAATGAGGAAAGCAGTTCTGCTGTGAAAATGAGTCTTGTCAACAGCAGTTTCTCATCCTCAGTATCTTGCAGCAGTGGGTTTATTGACTTTTTTTTCAATTGAACACAATGAAATATTGCCTGCAAAATAAGGAGTCAACATAAAAACAAATACCTTTGTAAAAGATTCCTATACAACATAGTTTTCAATGTACATACAAATGGTGCTCCACAATTTGACTTTAATCCATTGCTGCTGGGTATAAGGGTTGAATTGCAAAGCAGTCAGATTATTGCACAACAATATCAAACTCAATGTTTTCTACACCAAATTTGACATTTTGAGTCTCTCTGCAGGTCAAATTGTAGTTAGGGCAAGAAGTTGAATTGCAAGTCAATGTCCCAGCATATTGACCATTAAATTATTGCAAGACAGTCAGATTGTGGGATGTCAAANCCCAAGCTCTCCTCAGTGACATCTATGGACCCAGCAGCAAAGGAAAGAATATTTAAAACCAAACAGAATGTTCATCATCCAGATGTTGCTCCAGCTATAACTTCTTGGAGATATTTCAAAAATGACCTCAGACAGCCGAAAATGCTTATTCCTGCCTCACAGACCTCAAATCTCAGCACCAGCATTTCCATGAATGACCAAACAGCACAAGACACCATCAGTACCACAGCAGAAATATTTCCAAAGGCCCAGCAACCATATGAAACAAGGAAGTTTGTCAAAGAGTCCTTCAAAATGGCTACAGGAACTCAGACAATAAATACAGAACATAATGGAGACAGAAAGTATTTGATGCAAGCAACTTCTGATCTGAGAACAGAGATGGATGCTCAGGTACAGAGACTACATCAAGAACTGAAAAAGCGCCCTCTACAATATCCCCAGATAAACAATCTTGAAAAACGTTTGGACAACCTATGTTCAACAGTTCTCAACATTGATGCTCAAGCCAAAGCTCTGGAGAAAAGAATCAATGAAGTAGCTGCTCAGACTGCCACAACAAATGCAAAATTTGAGCAAAATTTCAGAAAACTGCAAGAAGATAGCCATCATTTTGTGAAGAAGCAAGAAACCCTTTTTAAACAGGTTCAAGGTTATGTTCAGAAACAGTATTCTCATCAAGAGGAACACTTTTCAGACCTGGTTGGTAGAATTGATGCATGCAGACTTCAATTCCTGAGTGGGGAGCTATTTTTGCTGTGACACCACAGTATGTGCACACCAGGGTCGCAACTGGTGCATATGGGATATTCTGGGGTTACAAGTGTGCACTCCTTTAGAGGAAATTTTGCTACCACTCCAGGGTTACACTTGGTGCACAAATGTGAAATAACATGAGCATCACACAAATGCACCAACTGTAACCTTGGTGTAACTTATTTGTTTACAAATGTGACCCTGAGTAATCCTGGTGTGAACACACAATTGTGGTGCACATTGGGGATATGCATGTGCAACAGAGGAACTTTGGTAGACTTCAGGTGCACAGCAGGGTCACTGTATAGAATTATGAACAAATCCCCCGTGTGCACCAATTTCCCCACTCGGGTTACTATTGTTGGAATTTTGACTATAATACTAATTTGTTTACCTATATATTGTATACTTTCATAGCTTGAGCAATATGTTCAGGATCAGCTTAAGCAGGAGAGACAGAAGGAATATTCAAAAAAGACCAGAGGGAACAGAAGAAAGAATGTGGAGCACCAGCACCAGGTGGCTCTGGTGTCTCAGCTTCAACACACTGTAGCAGTTCTCAGCAATCTCCTCCAGTCCACCAGCAAACACCTCAACAAAAGACTGTCTGCCTTAGAGCTCATGTGTCTCAGCAATAACTGCCCCATGATAATGACTCATCCACAGGAAATGGAAGATGACTCCTGCTTTTACAGGCTGAAACCAAGAAGGATCAGTGACACAGCCCTTGTGGCAAGCAGAAATACCAGCTGCATCATGGTGAGGAATACACCCCCAACAGTCCTTCAATCAATCATGCCTTGGATGAAGACTGATGCTGTTCAAAACAATGAGAGAGTCAAAAAGGCTGAAGTTACTCAGGAAGAGCACTGGATTGAGCAGCAGTTGTGCCAGGTGCTCATGTCAAACCAGCACAGTGGTAACACTGCTCAGAAATTATCTGTGCTTTCTCACAGAGCTTCACAGAAAATGAAAAGGAGAACCCATCAATATTGAGGCCATCACTGCAGTGGTATATATACTTGGCCTTACATCAGATCAGCAGTCAATTTATGTCATTTGTAACTTTTTGGTTGGAAATGAATGAATGAACGAAAAACTTTATTTGCTGCTTTTCAGCGTTCACAAGGCACAACCAAGACTCCCACATCCAAACCCCCTCCTCACCCAACCCAACTCCCCCCAAGACATTCAATCACTTCAAAGCATGAAACAAAGCACAAACCAAAGAAAAAAACAGAAGAGAACACACTCTGCAAAATAAAATCAAAAACAGAAGAGAACACACTCCACAAAATAAAATAAAACTGGACATCCTACAGATATGCTGCATACATCTTTTGGAAATGAAAATGCAATAAGAGGGTATATTTAGTGACTTGAATATTCAAAAAACTCTCCATACAGGAAGAATACTGCCATTTATGGAAAACGGTTCAAGGGATCATGTGTACAGCAGTATAGTACTGTACAACAAATTCAAGTATGAATTGATGGAATGGTGAGGAAGTGTACTGGTTGGATCAATAAAATGCTCCACTGCTGTGTGTGTGTATTTGTTAATATAGGGGGAGGGGGTTCATGCCATCAGAACTTCCCCATTAAATGAGTTTGATCAATAATAACTTGAATGTCCTTATAGATGCGCGCCTGCAGGTGAATTCTCCAGTTCCTTGACAGAAATTCTCTCATGACGTTTCTCCACTGACATTTTGCGTTACCTCCATTAATTTCAAAGAAAACATAATTACAGCAGTGCTTGAACAATGAGAAAAGTGACTAGTGATGATGATGATCCCCAAAGGAAGAAAGGTAAATCAGCAGAAGACAAGTCCAGCAAGAAGGGCGTTAAGAAGAAGAAGAAGGGAAAGGGAAGAAGCAAGGATCTGACTGAGGAAGAAAGAGCTGAAGTCAAAGAGAAGAAATCTGCAGCCCTGCAAGAGGTGCAAAGGAGAAGGGAAGAACTCCTGACCACATTTCTCAAGGTAAAAAATTTAAATGATTGAACTTCTATAAATAAACCCTGCACAAATGAGTTTTCCATTTTCAGCAAGTTCGTTTTATTTTATTCAGGAGAAAAATGCATGTGCTATTTAAAATCATCAGATCAGATCCTGTACATGTGCATGCATACATCATCTTGTTGCCCTTTCTCTCATTTGTAAAATATTTTTATAAAAACTTTTACGTAATTTCATTTTTATTTTAAGGAAACCTCTTCCTGAATTTCAGAAAATTTCATGGATGGTCAGTTGACAATGTACTCTATATAAATGATAGATACAGTGTTGTAAAATAAATCTATATATGGCCACTGTTTTGCAATAATTCAGTAATTGTCACAGCCTGCGTAGTCATTTTTCTGCATAGCTTTGAAATGAACATTGTGAGTTCAGAGGAATGAAAAAAATTACAGCATCATATAGCCATCAGCAGCATCCTTTTTTTTTTACATAATTTATAAGAGACTATATACTCTTAAGATCCCCTGAGTCATCCTGACTATATATGTCATTGATTTAGACCAGACTGCTTGAACTATGTGTCCAGATTTCTTTATTTCAATGCATTGTATTCCTCCTTCTCCTGAAATCCTCTGCTGCACAAAGTTCAGAGCTGTATACAGGTGATACCTTGCAATTCAACCTCATACAATTTGATCATCCTGAAATTAAACGGTCAAATCTGCAGGGAGGTTGACTTGCAATTTGACACTAGCTTGCCTCACAATTTGACCTCCTTTTTCCATTATTCTTGCACTTTTGTACTCATATTTTTTTTAATTTCACAGTGTCTCGCAATTTGACCCTATAGTTTGGCAACAAATCAGGGTCTAATTCCGAAGTACCACCTGTACAGTCATTAAATTGAATGTAAACTTTTTATTACTTGCGTGCGCTCTTTGATAATGACACACCGGACCGCGCGCCTCAGACCAAGTTGGAAAAGGAAGAGGAGCTCCGTCGACTGAATGACGTGCGACTGGATGACAAATGGCGGCGCACGATGCGCGCCGCCAAGTCGGAGTCTCTGCGGACACAAGCGCGTCTCGGGGATGCAGCGTTTCGCCGTGCGAGCCAGGCCAAGGATGCTGTCATCGCGGCTCTACTCACAGAGCTGGAGGAAGCGGAGGAGCAGCAATACATGACAGATCGCGCGCATTTGGGACACCTGCGGGCGTTGCTGTCGGCGACTCATGAGGCCAGGCTGGCTGCTGAAGCAAAGCGTCATGATGAGCGTATGCAACATAGAGTTCAGGTGCTTCATCTTTACCTTTTCTGGCATCTATACATATACACAGTTGAATCTTTTTAAGTCACATTTTGAGGGACCAGCAAAAAAAAATTTACTTATGGAGGTTTTGAATCATGGAGATTTGAGCTACAATATACAGTCAACCCCCGTCTAACAGACTTGATTCGTGCAAGGGACGAGTCTGTTAGACAAAAAGTCCTTTACACGAATTCAATTACATAAAAAATTGAAAATTTCAATTTTCAACACTAATTTTAAACCAAAAGAAGTCTGTTTGGCGGATTTTGTCTGTTGGGCGGGAGGAAAAACTGCTTGCAGAGCTGGTCTGTTTGGCGAAAATCCCTTACACGGGAGGTCTGTTAGGCGGGGGGCCACTGTATAGCCATTTTTTCCTGGGAAACAGAAAAATTGCCAAAAATTTTAAATGGTGATAGTCTGGGGCTTAAATGGCTTCTTGAATGAGTTGAAAGGATGATGGACGTGGAGGCCAGGGGCTTCATCTCCCCAATAAAGTCTATCACTTATTCCTTTTAAAATGCATCAATTTATTTTCATTGTGTCAAGAATTTTTTTGTCTTTTTTCTTTCTTGTGTCAAGAAAATAATAGCCAACAGGCAACAGCAGAAAATTCAACTTATGTGACATTTTAGGGGAAAGGCCTTTGACTTAGGGAGGTTTGAGTTATTGAGGTTCAACTGCTATACAGATCATATCTTCATTTATTGATGCTGTAAGCTTTTGTAGTTTCATGTTTTTTTTTACAGAAAAAATACACCCTATCATGTATATATATATACAGTCAACCCCCACAGAACAGACCTTCCATGCAAGATGCAACAGAGTTTTGCAAAACAGACTGCCTCTGCAGTGGTTTTCCCTCTGGTACAAAAGACTAAATCTGCTTATTAACAGACTTCTGTTAGTTAAAATTGATGGTAACAAATACATTTTTATTTTTTTTTATACTGCAATTGAATTTGCATAACAGACTTTTCACACAACACAAGGGAAAAAAGGGTAAGGGACTATAAAGTCTGTTGCACAAATTAAATCGGTTGTGTGGGGGGTTGACTGTACTTATTGATGGATACAGTCAACCAGCTGAAAATTTTACAGACCTTAACAGCATCAGTGGTACTCAAAGATAATTCTCTGATAGCTGTATTATACAGGTACCAAAAATATATTCATATGATATTATTCCAGTTTATCTGATGTTTTTTTTTATAAAGTGCTCTGAAGCAAGGTATAATGTTTATAGAGTGTTGCTTCCTGAAAGAACTTTGTGAATAAAAAAGGGATAAATTATCAAAGAATTTCAGATGACTCTTGCTGTCTATTTGATTGGATGTATAGGTCTTATGGCGCAAGGAATTACTGGAAGATAGTTTGCTGCCAAGTCTAGAAAGGGATCTTGCCATCTTGGCAGATGCAACACATGATGCAAATGTGCAGCACCAGCAGAAAACTAAAAAGGCTGCCATGGAACACAACAATCAGTGAGTGAAAAAAGCCTTTTATTGGCCTACAAGGGCCTTCTAGGCTGATTTTAACCTTTCAAGTTGCTTATACAGTATACAGGAGAGTATATTGAAATAATTTCTGATTACAGTATGTTAGTTTCTGCTTAAGTTTTTAAGCCATGAAATTTACATTTTTATTGAAAAATCATGAAATATCCAGTTTCATCATTGGAAAATGTCTAACTAGGTTTTGTAATATTATGTGGAGCCACAAAATTTCTGATTTTTTGCCTCATTCAAATGTTCTTTTTTTCTCCAGAATTGCCCTGATTCGTCAGACAAGTTTTGCCCACTCTCTGCGTTTGCAAGCTGAAGAGCAGTTGGCAACCCTAAACTCAGAATTGGCAGCCCTATTGCAGGAGTCACAGTCTCAGCTATCTGACAGCTGGAAAGTCTACAAGGAGAGCAAACAGAGAGATGATGAATATGCGGCTGAACAGGAGCTGCAAACTAGAGAGTGTCAGAGCTTGGCAAAAACTATTGGTGATGATTTTTTTTTTACATTTTAACAGCAGCTTACAACATTTTTTTAATTAGTGTTCTAACTAATTAATGTATTCAATATATGACTCTGATGCAGTATTATAGCCACAATATGTATTCTGAATACAGTATAACAAAGGAATTTTGAATGAAAATTGTTTCATAAGTTTTTAGTAGTGAACAATAAGCTGCCATATACAGTAATATGGTTTATTTATAATATTTTATGTGCGGTATTAATGTATTGCTTACAGTTTTGCAGTTTTTTATATGGTGTTTTTCTTTTCTGGACAGCTGATTTGAAAACTGAGTTGGCACAATTGCGGGAAGATCGTGCAAATTTGGTGGCAGATTTGCGCACTGCTCGTACAGAATGCACAGCTCATTTGCACATGCTGAAAGCCCAGACAGCTGTTGATAAGGAACACTGGCTGAAACTTACTAAGAAAGTCACACTAGAATCTGAAGCCTTAAGAAAGGTATAATTCATACATATGGTGAAAATTAACAAGATTATTCAAATTTCAATCCCCCTGCTGCTTCTGTCTATTTCAGAAATTATTTGAAAAGAAACAGCAGCTGGATAAAATTATCAGACTTGGGTATCAATGCAGGAAGCTTGAGGTCATGGATGACAGGGCTTTTCATTATCTAGCCCCTGAGAAAGTGGCTCCCTCTATGCCTATTGACTCTGAGATGGTGCAAGACCAGCATGCAAGTCTCATGGAATCCTTCAAGGAAAAGGTGGGTTACTTTTTCACAGAATAAATTTTAAAATATTTATAGCATTATTATACAGTTATCATATCATCATGTCAATGGTGGATTTTATGCAGGCAAATGATCTGCTTGCTGCTTTGGAGCCATTCTTCAGGAGATACAGCAGAGTGAACCTCCAGACTATGGTTTTGACAAAGCAAAATGAGACTCTGAAGAAAGAGAGCGATTTACTGAAGGATCAATTGCGTCACTGCTTTCAAAGTTAGTCATCAACTTTAGTTTTTAACCAAAAAATTCAAAACTTGGATATGACTTTGATTTAAATTACTGTATTTTCAAGGAATGAAACTGAGTGACGGGAAGTCTGAGTTTCAAGACAACACTCTGGTGGACATTAGAAAATTGTCCATTGTAGAAAATAATATGGGACATAAGAGCAGACTGAGGACATCAAGTATCAGGAGACCAAAAACAGCTGCTGGTGCTGAACATCATGTCTTGCCAACACTGGTGACTGCTGCAGAACAATCTTCTGCTTCTTCTTTGGGGCAGGTGTCACTGCAGAGAGTGGCAACTGCAAAAAGCTGATTCCATGCTGTTAACAAAACTGCTGTATTTGTTATTAAATTGTGCTCATGATTTTGGGGGCATTAAAAAAAATCTGGCAAATGCAATCCATTTAAAATGACAAATTGGATACCTTATTTTATTGTAATCATCTCAGTATGATGTACATACATGAGAAGGCTGGTAAATTATATAATTAACCTCACAATTTAAGTTAAATAATGTGCAGTGGAATCATACATGCAGCAATCCCTAAATTACAATACAATAAGCCCAATACCTGCATGTTTCCTTCAGATATTTCTATAGAAATGGGTAGGGTGGATTTTTTCAAAGGCTTACGTACTTTTCATGTACCCAGCATGTACTCGTTCATCAGCATGCCAGCACAGTGCTGGTACAGTATGATGATCTCTGATTGTGAATCCATTTTTTCATGTGTTCAAGTGACATCTAGATATATTTGTGAAACAGCTATCACATGATTTCAAGTCTCCCATCGTTAAGATGTTCAGTGCCCTGATGTGCCCAGACGCACTAACCGGGGTTGCAAATAGTCCTGAGAAAATACGGGAACGAATTCTTCGTCCAACCGAAATTATTTTTAGAGCCATTTAAATTGTGAAAGTTGTGATTCCTTCATTGCGTAACAGCCCAAGGAAAGTAGGGTTCTTTTCGTTAAAGTATTTCGTTGCAGCCTTCATCGAAAACTGTTTGTGGTGATGACAACCGTCATTGTTTCGTGAACATCTGATCCGTTATCATCGACGGTTCTTGAAATGTCCTTTTCCCCACGAGTGTTTTTTCTTCACAAGCCAGGTACAATCGTTGCGCGTAGATTCGAAATCGAGTGATTATGGCTTCGGTTGGCCGCATTTTCCGTTCTTCTGTGCACACCAAATTCTTCCCCATAATTTCGGCCTTGAACCGAACCATGTGTCGAACATCCGCGGTTGGCGTTTATAACTTTGCCAGTGCCCACAAAAAGCAAATCCGCCATCTCCTGAAACCCCTTGACACAGCCATTCTACCGGGTAACTTCTCGGTGAGTTATTCTTCCGTGTGATGCCTGAGTAGTGAAGTCGTGAAATGCGACATAAACCATTCCAGGTTCCCGAAACCCGCGCTTACAGTACTGCCGTGAAGCTGAAGAAAGAGGAGATAGAACAGAGAGTCTTGAATGTTTGCAAAGCTTTCGACAAAATTAGTGCAGAAAAGGTGATTCTTTTATTTCATCTTTTACCGTTGCGTAATCGTGTTTGCAGGTGCGGAGCTACAGTGAAAAGCCGCCTATGGACTTGAACATGATCAAGGATCGTGTTTTGCTTGTTTTGAAGCTGTACGACAAGGTTGACTCCGAGAAGGTGGAAAGTTTCGCCCCCCTAATTTAACCCCCCTTTATCTTTCGAAATCGTGAAATCACCTGATCTTTACACTGTAAAATCTTTGTTGTAGGTTTCATTGGATTCTCATTTCATGAACGACCTGGGCCTTGATTCTCTTGATCACGTTGAAGTTATCATGGCGATTGAGGACGAATTCGGTGAGTTGGAAGAGGGATGTCATGCCGGACCGCGTACAGTACGTTAGTTTGATCGATATTCTCAACTTCTCGAAATTTCGCTGTCCAGGTTTCGAAATCCCCGACATGGACGCTGAGAAGTTGTTGAAACCTTCGGACATCGTGCGATACGTTGCCGATCACGAGGACATTTACGAATAAAGTCCATGTGCAATAGTCAACTCTGTCCTTATCTCTTCTAACCGGGCGGGAAAAAATACGGCATCCGGTTCTACGGTAGAAATTTGTTCGCGTCGTGGCTGATCAATAAAAATCAGATTTGTTGTTGAAAATAATCTCTCATACCTTGAATGGATGTGACGAAAAGAATGTATGCGTGAAAGTCGTTACGCTTTTGTCCCAGATCGAGTGTGCGAAGTCATGGATAAGCTCACGTTGATTTCGGCCGCGTTGTTCCTTATGGCGGACGTTTTCGCGATCGTGAGTCTGTCAATGCCTGACTGGATTGTCTCCGACGTCGGAGGTGATTATTCTGCTCAATTTTGATTATGTTTTGCTATAGTTCTCGAAGATTACCTAATCAATTAACATTAACGTAATGATCGAGACGTAGATTTAGCTTGGTTGTGGCTTGACGCATGCGATCGCGTGATAAAGGCTGGGACAAAACGTGATTTTTCGATGATTTCTGAATCACGAAGAATTTGAAATGCTTTAATTATACAAGCGTGTGTGTCTTGAGATTTGAAGTGTAGCCTGGTGAAGTCTCTCCTTGTGTCTTTGGACCAGGTGCTACGAGGTTAGGACTCATGTGGACGTGCTTAACGATCCACAAGCGACCACAAGTGTGTTTCACTCCACATCTGACACCCGAATGGATGTTGACTTTGGTGTGCATTTTCATTGGGTGCGTTTGCGTGACGACGACCGTCATTTTGTTGGCGTCGTCTCACTGGGACGTCAACGTTGTTCCTTACGCTCGTTGGGTCGGGTTCGCAGCCAGTGAGTTGAAATTTCGAATTGATGAATTTTCGAAAGCATGTTAAAGTTGATACTCGATTACTTGAGCCTCCGTTAGTCGAATTTCTCATATGCCTTATTTTTGTGTTCCTGTCTGAATTCCTTTTGAAACTATGCTTTCATAGCTTCCCTGACTTTGAAGGCTCTTCTTCTCAAACCTCCATAAATCAAATTTTTAAAGCCTAATTAATAATATCTTAACTGTGTAAATAAAATAAAGACTATTATTTTATCGACACAGGTAAGAAATAAGGCATAAAAATGTGACTTTTTTTTGAAGAAAGTGGAAGCCTAGTTGGGCAAATGAACACTTGCCTCCAAGTTTAACATCCTGTCAACTCATTTGGGAAGCAATTCAAGGTCCAGAATATCACCATTACAATTTCTGTATTCATTCTTTCTTCTTTGTGACAAAAATACAGTTTCCCTGACTCAAATTGTTTTGCTGTTCCCTTGAAGTCCGACTTGAATAGATTTGACTGTGGATGAAAAGAAAAGCTTGGATTGTCTCTGACGATGAATTTCATTTTTTTTTATCAATATAATTAATTGTTTCCCTGCAGTGATCTTATTTTGCCTGGCTGCAGTCATCTTCCCACTCGGGTTCAGCATGGCGGAGATTGGCGGAAGACCTTACCAGCTCCCCAACAGTTTTTCTGTGGGTTTCTCTTATATATTCTTTGTTCTTGCTCTTTGGACAACTGTCATATCGGAGCTGTTTGCGAGGCGTGTGTGCTTGCCACACTTTTGAAGCTCGTGGAAGGTACCTAAGGTCATGTGTGACTGGGAATTATTTGATCTGTTCATTGTGGAAACTTGAATGTGATTCGCATTTTTGGGTATGTGCTTAAGACATTGGACGTGTTGATTTTGTATTTTCTTTAGGCATTTCGCTTCTTTCTCTTGAGTTATGGAGAATCGGAGTAAACCGCCATTGGCTGAACGTTTTCATTTGTGATGGGGTTTTTTTAATGTGATTGAAGATACCCCCTCCAATGCTTCAGTAATGTCTCGTCTTATTGATCAGCTGCAGAGGTAGGGTAAAATTTACCCAAGTCCATCACTTGTGATGTCCACGTAAATTTTTTAGATTAGAATGGTGGTTTGCTCCTTTTCAAACATGCATTCATTCGAATTTGTTTTCTTTTCTGACCGTTACAAAACCTGATGGCGTGTATTTTATTTTCCCCATTTCTGAAGGGGAAATTCCGAGTGGATTCCGGTGAATTTGGAAGCGGGAGTGAATTAAGTGCCAATGGAGATGTTGCCGTAAGAACACGCTTGGGTTTTTTTTTCCCCCGGGGGGGCTGCGTGGCATGGGCTCGCGCGGTGGCGCCAGTGGCGGCCTGGGCGCCACGGGCCAAACGTCGACCTTCGCCATGGATGGGAAAGTGGCTCGGTTGTATGATCTGGAAGAGACCCTGGGCAAAGGCCACTATGCAGTCGTCAAGCTGGCCAGGCATGTGTTCACTGGCGAACGAGTCGCCGTTAAGGTTATCGACAAGACCCGATTGGATGACGCATCCAAGGCACAATTGTATCAGGAAATTAGGTGAGCCAATGTCTAGGAAACACTGCTGGAAAAAAAAATTTTCCTACTGGGGTTTTTGTTTTTGTTTGCTGCATTGTCAGGATATTGGAGAATAAAAAGACCAAAACATTTCTGTCAATCTATTTTGCTCATTGTGGTAAATTGTTCAGTCTATGCGTGGCACCTTGCAACCTTGCAATTCAATGTCCTGCAATTTAATATTCGCAGGGAGGTTGACTTGCAATTTGACCTCTGCTCCACAAGTCAACCTGTGGAGAGACGCAAAATGTCATATTAAATGTGGAAAAAAAATATTAAATTTGATGTTGTCTTGCAATTTTACCACTTCACAATCTTACCCTAACCCATGAATGGATTTTGGTCGAATTGAAGGGTACCCCAACTGTAACTTATTTGTTAACTTGGAAATTGAGTTCAGGCCTCAAGTACAGTATTCATTTTATATCAAAATTGTGAACCTGTTTCAAAAAGTCATCTCCCAAATTGAATGCAGTAAAATCTTGTTACAAGTCTTACAACAAACTTCTGTGGACATTAAAAAAAAGTTTTTTTTATACCGTACAGAATGAATTGTTGCAATGATATTTTCAAAATTAATGATGAAACAATTTTTGCACTAGAACTGCCTATACAATACAGTATATCAATGTCTGGCCTTCCTGACAATCTCAGATTTTTAATCATTGTTTGGGATTGATCTTCTGAAAGTAAAAAAATTGCTTCAATCATGCATTCCATCAATTGCACAAACTTCATACTTGAAGGATGATTTGTGGAACTACTGGTAAGGATATTTTTCATTGGTAACGGCTTGCAAACATAGTATAAGAACCTGTAGTCACATCTGGGATCAGAAATTTCAAACTGTGTCTGCTTTAGTCTGGAAGTTTCTACCTGAAGAGTCTGAAACATGCCTAAAACTTTAGCTGTGCTGAAAGTGGGAACTTGATTATAATGTGATTGTTCTAACATATACTCCATGGGCTTTCTCCCAGGGCTTGAGAAAAAGTTTGTTGTATGGAAAAAGTAGTCTCAATGATATAGTCTTGTTTTGAGATTTTGCTGCTTTGTAAGCCTAACTGCTTTTTGAAAATACCTGTACAGTATCTGGGAAGCATGTACTGTAATAAATATTGAATTTACTTTCAGATGCATGAAAATGGTGCAACATCCGATCGTAGTCCGGCTCTACGAGGTGATCGACACGCAAACGAAGCTCTACCTGGTGCTGGAATACGGCGACGGCGGCGACCTCTATGACTACATCATGCGTCACGAGCACGGCGTGGACGAGGCGACTGCGAGGCGCCACTTTCGGCAAATCATCCGGGCCATATCGTATTGCCACCAGCTCCACGTGGTGCACAGGGACCTAAAGCCCGAGAATGTGGTGTTCTTCAAGCGATTAGGACTCGTCAAATTGACTGATTTCGGCTTCAGCAACAAGTTCTCTCCTGGACAAAAGTTGGCCACGAGTTGCGGGTCCTTGGCTTATTCCGCCCCCGAGATTTTGCTGGGGGACCAATACGATGCTCCTGCAGTTGGTGAGATTTTTGATTGTTGTTGTTGTTGACCGTTACTCAGCTCGACCTGAAGTGTGTGTGCAATTATTATTGCGTATGATGATGATGCTAATTTGTTTGGACGGTTCCCAATCAACGGAGAAACTATTGGGCAGAAGCAAAGACCAAAAAAGTAGTTTGAGACTTGTATTCATCACATCGTTTCCGCCATCTGAGAAAACGTTGACCAAAGTTTATTCTCGATTCAACATAGAAGTCGGTTCATCGATTATTTTTAAACTTGAATTGACTTTGAATGGAAATTTATGTTGTAAAAAAAATAATCCTTGCGTGAGAAACCCCGGAAACAGCGAGAACATTTTTTAAACTGGTATGATGAACGTAAGTAGGACAATGAATGCACTTTTTTATTTTATTTTTATATAAAAAAGCAACAGGAGATCTAAGTTTTTTTTTTTTTTTAGCAAATTTGAGGGCTGAACTTTTTGTGATTTCCTCTCGACTTTTTGCAGATATTTGGTCCTTGGGAGTGATACTCTATATGCTGGTTTGCGGAAGACCTCCTTTTCAAGAAGCCACTGATAACGAGACCCTCATCATGATCATGGACTGCAAGTATACAGTTCCTGCTCATGTCTCCAAGGAGTGCAAAAAGTTGATTGGACGGATGTTGCAACGTGAACCTGGGAATAGAGCTTCGTTGGAATCGATTGCTAATGATCAATGGCTCATGTGTGGACCAGGTATGTGTAAAATTCTGCGACTGGATCGTTCGAAAATGCGGTTTTTAATTTTTATTGGAAAATGTTTTGGTCCCGTTGAACATTTGGCGAAACATTTCGTGTTTGAAGAGATTATCTGGAAATGCGGCGATGTTTTTTTTGTCTTTTGTGGACGGGTCTTGATATTTTTTTCAATGCTTTGGATTTAGGAGAAGGGGATTGTGCCAAATATGAAGACTACCTGCCTTTGGTTTCTCGTCATCACCTGAGCGAGGAAGAACATGGTGCTATAGTGAATGAAATGGTTACTGGAGGGGTCGCCGACGAGGAACAGATTCACTGGTTTGTTGGAATTATTCTGCTCAGAATTTTGAATTTCACTTACTGTGACATGGGATTTCTTGTAGGAAAGTTCAGAGATGGATGAAGGTTTATTTAAAAATCCCCTCTTAAGTTTTTTTCACTTGTGTCGTGAAATTTGCGCCCCCCAAAATTGAAGTTCGTCATACAATACTGTAAACACATATTTTCTCGGTTTCTGGCAGCCGTTTCTGCCAGATTTTTCGGGATTAGATTTTTAAAGGTTCACATTTAGTGAGAGTTTTCTGGAGCGTATTGGATGTGGAAAAAAATGATATTGATGTCCCGGAATTCAGGAAAAGGAAACAGGAGTTTCAAAAAATGAAGCATTTCCATTATGTTATTCAAATTCTATTTTTGCTAGTGTTTCTGTGATTTTTACAATTTGGTTTTTTTATTCTGTTGAATCGTTCGGGAAAATGAAAGAAATTTTCCGATTTTCTTGCGCATGCATCCGTTTTGTTGAGAAAGAAATGTTTTAATCTTCATGATTTTTCAAACACTGTAAAATCTTGTTACAACGAACTTCCGGGGACATGAAAGAAAATTAGTTGTGACGAATAATTCGGTGGATTGAGACCTATTGTTTTTAAAACATTTTAGGCTGAAAGTTTGGGGGAAATGAGCAGTAAATACATTAAAGTGCTTCCAGAACAGATAACTTCAAGACCTATTATAATTAATGAGTATTTCTGATGAACTGAAGAGAAAACTTTATAAGTAAATAATACTTTCCTTTCATTAAACCTGCTTATATACTAGTGTGTTGCTTGTATCGAAAAATAAAATGAAGCACAATTTCATGTGACAAAAATACAGTACTTCCTTCTGAATCAACCTCCTCACTCATGGTCTGCTCTTTCAAATAGAGGAACATTTTTCTAACGTACTGTTTACTGTACTTGAAAGAAAGGCATACATTCTAAAATGGAGCTAAAGAATTTTCAAGAACTGTGTTATTTTGTTCTGTTTTTTTGAACACCACGTTTTTTCTGCAGAAAGTTGTTGTGCTCAATGAAGTTTGAATGCTGCTCATTTTAATTTTTTCTACATTTTTTGTGCCATCTTATCAAATATTCTCTATAGCCTATGCACAGAATCAATGTCGAAATTCGTTTTAATGAGATTTCAGCTTAAAATTTTCCTTGTAATGAGATTTTTATAAAATTACGCCTATCGTAAGCTGCCAGGACAAATAAAAAAATCCGTAATAAACAGGTTCGATGTAACAGAATTTTACTGTATTTCCAGTTGCCTCGAAAAGGATGAATATAATCACGTGACGGCCACTTATTTCCTGTTGGCCGAGAAGCGCCTTCGAGGTCGTCGACTCCAACAAACCGCGAAATGCCATTCGGCGCCCGAAGAAGCCACTCATCTCGCTCCTCCTCACCCTTCGCATCCCCACGCGAGAGACGAAGACCAAGACGTCGTCTGCTCTCTAGTCAAAACCAAGTCCGCCGAAAACATTCTGTCTGACGAGGAAAGCCAGAGGCCGCGGAAACGGGATCCGTCTTCGTTGGACGATTTCCACGCGTTGCAAAGCGCGCTGAAAGAAGAGTCCCTGTCGTCGACGTCGTCTTCCGGGAGCAACAGTTTGAGCTCGTCGCCGACGAAGAAACCCGGGACTAGTAGTTCCGGCGTCAGGAAGCTGCATCCGGTCAAGAGTTCCCCGCAGCTCGTGCTGAATGAAATTTGCGAAGAGGACGAGAGTGATGCGAGTGGAGTGGAGCACGGATCCCTGCGACTTCTTCCCGCGACGATCGTCTCGCCGTCGTCGTCGTGTGCTGTCGGAAAGGGGATATTGTCCTCGGGAAGCCAGACTGGCATGAATAGCAAAAACATCGCTGTAGCATCTTCTTCTTCTTCTTGTGGCCTGCAGACGCGTTGCAGGATAGCCAAGCGTCACTTTGTGAGAAAGTTGCCGAGTTGTTCGTCTTCGGACGCGTCGGACGAAGAAGAGGCGAAGAAGAACCAGAAGCAGCAGCAGATGTTGCTGTGGAAGAGACGGGATTCTTCGCACGATGACTCGAGTGCAGAGGAGCAACAGCAAATGCCTGTTCGTCCTCCAGCTGATGTAGTGACGACTACGACGACGTCGAAGAAAATCGTCTCTGCTGACGGGCTGCAAAGGAGGCATTCGAGTAATGAAATTTGGAGGAGTAGACCCGCTGGAAGGCGTATCAGTCTCATGCGTCAAAGCCAGTCGTTGAGCAGGATCGGGTGAGGACTTGAGATGACTTGGCAATGTTCCAATTTTGGGAAAGATTTTTTTATTTTTTTCAATTCTCAGCCACATCGAGTGAATTATAGCTGAGATAATTCCTTTGGCTAAGGGTTGTATGACTGAGTTTCCAGTCTCACGCAGGTCGAGACCCAATGTAGTTTTTAAGCGCCCTTTTGACGCTCTTGGTTGAGAGGCTTGCTTTTGGCGAAGAAATGTTGAGATTGGGGTTTTGCGTCCGCCTTTTGTGGCTTTTCCGTATTTCCAGAAAATTCGATGGTCGAATTTACTGGGAGGTTGACTCGCAATTTGACCTCCTTCAGCCATTTTTCTCGTGTTTTTTGCGGCTGTTTCTTAATTTTACACAGTGTCTCGCAATTCGAACCTGGTCTGGCAACGGATTAGGGTCGAATTGCGGGGTACCAATTGTAATTAGTTTTTTTCATTGTACGGTTGGAAGCCGAGTATATATTTTTTCATTCGACACGCTATATTGCCGTAGCAACTGCGTGTTATTTACAATTGTTTCCTTTCCGCAAATTTACAAATATTTCCACATTCAACACTTCGAGGAAGTGGTATTTTCCTCTGTCTCTAATCCCAAACGCTTTCGTGGGACACAGAGAACTGCAAGTGCTGATTTTGGACCCTCGAGCGAAGCGGGCGACATCTGCGGATGGTATGAGGTTGCTGAGAGCGACGACCCCGCCTACGTCATCGTCGTCGTCACGTGTTCTCTCCACGTCACGCCACAACAGCGACAGCGAGAGCAATACGGAGGACGTGGGAGCGTCTCCTGTCGGCGGAATGGCGGTGTCGCATCATCATCATCACCACCACCACAAGAAACGCCATCATCATCATCATCACAGGTCAACAGCTGGGTCGAGGACCGCCGGCAAGGAGAACGACGGCCGCCGTGTGTTGCTGGTGCCTGTGTTGGAAGCTGTGGAGAACAGAGACGACGGTGCTGGCGGCACTACGACTATAAGCGTGAAGAAGCGTGGCAAGATTAAGTCGTTCATGGATAAACGGAGGGTTGGAGCTGCTACCAGTGGGACGGCGGCTGCTGCTGTGGCCAGACATCAGCACGGCAAGTGTCCTGGCCCGAGTGGCGGCGGCGGCACCACCAGCACAGGGGCAGGCAAAGCGTGCAACATGTCGTGAGATTCGCCTCCCCTTCCCCCTTTTTGGTGCTGTCAAGAGTATGTGACTGACCATCAGAATAAGTTTTTTATGCTGCCGCGGTTGGGCTGTCATGTTTTGAGAAAAAAATGCGGAGAGATTTGTACTTTTTTTTTCAGGGGTAATGCAGGACGTCATTTTCTATGGTTTGATCCTGATTTAAAGGAAGGAAGTTGTTCTAAAGTTTCTGCGTTTTCGGTCGTTTCCTTGGAACAAATTTGAACAAACGTGGTGCTTGAAGATTTTCTTATTGAAAATATATTCATTCTTCAGGAAATAATTCAATTGAATTGAAAGTGCTGAAGGCTGAAGTATAGACGACAAAGCCGTCTAATCGTTTCCGGAACAATTTTTATCCTCGTCTATTATTCATACGAAAAGAAAGCAGAAGCTTAATTACTCTTCTTCAAAGAAATGGTACATAATGGAAGGTTTTCTTTTGAACACAAATTACTGTACGCCGAAAAGTAGGAAATGAAGCGTCTATTCTTCATGCGAAGGGTTTTTAAACCTTTTTCGTTCTAAAATATGAGCCCAACCGCTGAAACTTGAGTACCCATTTTAGCTGTCCGAAAATCGTTGTGACCAGCCCTGATTGAGGAGTACTGCTTTAATTTGTGATTGCTCCTGAAATATAATTCAGAAATACTGTATATCAAATGGGTTTCTTGCTGTATAAATTTGAACTTTCATCAAATCTACCTCAAAATTTTGAATTTGTTTTAGCGTGATATATCAAATCTAGACTGTTTGAATATTTGCAATTGTTCGGATGATTCGAACCAATTCATGGAAGAATTGAAATAATTGATTACTAAATTCCGCTGATTCTGTAAATGTTGCAGGCATGAAATTCAATTAATATTGATGCATTGTAACGGATAATGCAGCATCTGTTTTACAGCTAATTTCAGTTCCACTGAAACTATCAGCATTCTACAGTCGATTTTGCACTACGTTTCCTCTCAAGGTTGGTCAGACTTCATCGGTCGGTCACGTGTTATAACACTACCTCGCTTTGTAGCTCGCAGAAACTTTTCATGCTAAATTGACACGCAAATGAGTTTCGAATGCTGGTAGAGGCTTCAAGTGCTGAGAATATTCCCAAGTGCGTGCCCTTGACGTTGCGTCAGAAAAGAAATCCCGTTTATTTTGAAATGAACGCATTTAAATTGATCAGGATTTATCGGCGAAGGATGACAGGAATTTCTGGAGATGTTATTGCATTCGAAATTGGTGGGGAAATTCTGCTGTTTCGTTGGCCCGCGAATGCCGTGTTGAGAGCTTGTTTTGATGAAGTGTGTATGTTTTTTTTATTTTATTCGATTGTTAGGAAATGCTACTAGTCACCGATACTTTGCTTGCAATGATGATGATGAGCAAAAGGAGTTGAATTAGCTAGGAAAATTCTGCCTAATTTGAGGAGTGTGCGAAGATTTTTTTACGGGGAAAGTGAGGCGCGGTTTCGGATTTTTTGGACGACCTTTTTCCCTTCGTTTCTGCTTCCAAATACTAGTCAAAGAGATCGAGGTGGGGGGGAATTGAAGCCAAAATTGTGGACATGGAAACCGAGAATCTGGAAAGAATTGATTGTTGATTAGTGTGTGTGTGTGTGTGTATGTTCGTGTGTGTGAATTTTTTTTTAGAGGACTACTTGGATTTACTGTGATTGTATGGAATCCCGATTGAGCGATCAGATTCATCAATATCCTCCTGCTGTGATGCCACTCATCGCTGCTTTTAGTTTTGTTTTCTCTTTTCCCCTTCAGATTTTCGTTTTGAAGTTTCTTGTTTTTGGGGTTCATCAATAAGTTTGGCAGCATATTTCTTGGGGAAAATGAGTGTGTTTCCTCTCTTGCTTGAAGTCTGTTTGCTTAAACGTTTTCATACGGGATTTTTTAGCGTTTTTTTTTTTTTCGTTCTGCGAGAAAGGAACATTTCCTGGAAATTTGCATTTATCTTTTGCGAGGTGTTGACTGCTTATTTCTTGCATGAACCCTGAAAACGTAACATTCCAAGAAGGAAAAACTCGAAACTTCCTCATCCCTTTTGGTGAATCACGTGTCTGCCGAGTTTCTGTAATTTCTTGAGGCGGTTTTTCTTGTTCGAATGTTCCCGTTCCGTTTTATTTGAGAAGCAGAAAAGGAATTGTTCGTGCGTATTTTGGAACAACGCATTGGTTTTGGAGCAATGATGGAAGAAAGCTTTTAACAATTTGGATCATTTCTTGTGTGCATTTGCTGTATTTTTCGTTGAAAACACGTTGAAACTCTGGTAACTTGATTCTCTTTTCCTTTGTTTTCCAGGAGGGTGTTGGTGAATATTGCAGGAATGTTCAAGAACACATTCCAAAGTGGCTTCTTGTCAATTTTGTACAGCATTGGGAGTAAACCTCTGCAAATTTGGGACAAGAAGGTGAGCATCTGATGCAAGGGTTGTATTCCGAGCTTGATTCATGCTAAAGGAATTTTTCCCACTTCTTTAGAGTATGGAAGTTCACTACTATTTTTTTAATGATTTTTTCAATGAAGTTTTTCGTTTACAAACGTTCTATTTCAATGTTTTTGAGTATTTATAAAGATTTTTCAGAGTGTTGTTACGTGAAATTAGTTGCATTGACACAAAAAGCTGTGATTCTGAAAATTTATTGATCAATAGATTCATTGTTTATTTTCTGCTAAAAAAAATTTAACTTTTTAAGCTCATACAAATATTTAAAATGTTGGGAAATGAGCAAGAGCTCTGGCTGTACTTGAAAAGTTTTCATTTTATTATGCAGTGTCTAGTGAAATTTCTTTAAAATCTAGGGAAAGCAACTATTGCTTAGCATACCAATGAGGGAAATTTTGAGAATTTTTTCAATCTTTATTCATGTCAAAACTCTTCGGGACACGCAGGAGTGTAATGTTCGGAATTCTGTGTTTCAGGTGAGAAATGGTCACATCAAGAGGATCACAGACAATGATATTCAATCTCTAGTATTGGAGATCATTGGTACTAATGTGAGGTCAGTTTTGTCTCTATCATCAGGTTCATGATGGTTTCCGTTGCTCACGAAAACGTTTGAATTTCAGTACAACGTTCATCACATGTCCTGCTGACCCCAGGAAGACTCTGGGCATCAAGTTGCCGTTTCTGGTGATGATTGTGAAGAATCTCAAGAAGTATTTCACGTTTGAAGTACAGGTTAGTGTCTTTAACTTGGGAAATCGAGAGAAAAAAGTTGAGGGCCCAACTTGGAGTAGAAGTTGTGCGTAGAAATTTATGGCCGATTCTGAATTCTTGTCTAATTGTTCATATGTATTTAATTGAAGGTATAAAAAAATTGTGAGGTATTCGTTATTTCTATACTGAATTTTTGCATCTGCATTAGTATTGACTGCTCTTGTGGTGATGTAAAGCCACTGTGATTGCAATCGAAATCTACTCGCCCGAAAATAGAAGAGCGCGAATTTATCTTGGCGTAGTACATTTTTGCAAAAGTGCAAAGAATTGTTCGGATTCTTGGATTACGCGTCAGTTGTTCATTATTGCGCCTTCTTAACACACATTTTAAAAATCCATAGATCCTGGATGACAAGAACGTCAGACGTCGATTCAGGGCAAGTAATTACCAGTCAACGACGAGAGTCAAACCGTTTATTTGCACGATCCCAATGAGGATGGACGAGGGTTGGAACCAGATTCAGTTCAATTTGGCGGATTTCACGAAAAGGGCGTATGGGACGAACTACGTGGAAACGCTTCGAGTGCAGATTCACGCCAATTGCAGAATCCGTCGGGTGTACTTCTCGGATCGTCTGTATTCAGAAGACGAGTTGCCCGCGGAATTCAAGCTGTATTTGCCGGTGTCGAACAGGATGAAGAATTGACGATTTCCTTGGTGCAGCTTGTTCTGTTGATTAGTTTTTTTTTTTTTTTTTGCGAGTCTAAATTGTTTTGCATTGTTTTCTCTAAGGATTCCACGTGCGCAAGGATTTTTTCTAGTTTTTCGCGTCTGTTGTAACAAGCCATTTTTGTCAGGTGTCATTTTGCGAGTTACAGTTCTCACTCTTGAGTTGCCAAGTTTCTGACCAAGCGCGAAATTTTTTTCATGTGGCATGTGCTGTCAGCAGAATTTTGCTTACCTCGCCTTTTTTTCAGCGAAAATAAGATAAGTTTGGAGTTTCAAAACCTTTCAGTGGGTTAATGAAACGCTGCTAGACTAAAAAAAAATGAATAATTTGACGTTTCGAGGCTTTTTTTTTTAAATTGACGTCGAAGGAACGTGCGATAGTGAAAGAAATGAAAAAAAAAAAAAATCCTGAAATCATCTGGAAAATATCCAAGTGATCTTCACTTGGGAAATTTGGATGAACAATTTTTGGCCTTTCAAGGATATCTTCACGGTGGAAAGGCAGAAATCTTTTTTCTAAGCAATTTTTCTTCATTCTGTTACTTTTGACGAGAAAATGTTCATTTTGGGGATCCCAAAAATGTCCTGAAGGTCAGCTTTTCTTTGAAGTGACGAACACTTGTTTTCCAGTTGATGCAAGGATTTTTTTTTCACCTTTATGTGACATTCTCTTAAGTTTCCTTCGACTGTAATTTCATTAAAATATGCCGTTAACTTCTTGAGTTTTTCGAATCTAGTGACTTGAATCTGCCTGTATCACGCATGAAGAAAGTTGAGAACTTTCTGGATGCCTTCTATGCAATGTCTGCCGTCCATTTCTCCATTTCTGATACTGTATTAGCATTTCCCAAGGAAAGGAAAAGTACTCAAATAACTGCACAATATGAGTAATTTTTGGCTTGTGAGTCCTTTTATACAAGGGCCTTAGAAGAGCAAACTTTTCTAGACCTCGCAATTCAACGATTGATTTGTTTCTCCCTTTTTGTGGTAGCCGTTCTGTGATGCTTGGTTCATTCTTGCACTTGCAGAAAAAAAAGGCACTGATCTCAATTGTGTTGGGCTTGTGTGCGATGAATATGAAGCTGAGAAAAGCAGAGAAGCGTTGTAATCTAGGAAATGTGCGAAGGGAAAGTTGGAGAAGTCACTGTCCTTCTGCGCCAATGAGTTTTTCTTTGGAACCCGTTTTTCCCGGGATGTTTCTGTCATGAGTCACTTGATCAGAGTTCCTTTCGGGGATGGTCGGAGGTTTCTTCTTCTTCTTTGTGAAGCAGGAAAACAGGTTGCATAACAGACACCTATGGTTTAGACAAGAGCAAAGAATCAAGAACTTGCTCAACTTTACAGTGAATTCTCCAATTTTTCTGCTTAATTCAGATTTTTTCTTTTTAGTGTCATGATTCGATTTCTTGCCTCATGATCAAACTTTTTCCTTTTTCAGGCGTCGATTTCCTCTCTTTGAAGTGCTGCCAAGTGGTTGAGTTCTCCGCAACTGGGGAAAAAGAAGTGGTTTCCGAAAAAGTCGCGTGTTTTGAAAGTTTATGCGTTGTTGAATGGTCTATGAACTTCGAATGTGTTTCCGAAGATCGAACTGATCGAGTTTTTGCATGGAGGTGAAGTATTTTGTTTTATGTTTAAAAAAAAAAAAAGAAGTTCGTAGAGTGTACTTACCGAGGCTCCAATGGGCGCCGACAAGAGCGCCGAAACTGAAGAGTACTAGAACTGTCGGGATAACGTAAACGATGACGACGATTAGGGGAATCAATGCCAAACACGGAGACCCGAAGCAGATCAATTTGTCAGATGCCAGATCTGTTTCTGTGAAAAATGAAAAAGGGGCCCCCGAAAATTATTGGATCTAGGAAAAATTGATGAAGACAATTCGAGACAGGGCCAATTTTAGATGAAAACATTTGGAGACAGGAACCATTTGAGGCATCAATTGTTGGAGACAGGGACAATTTGAGACGGATACATTTGGAGACTCAGACTATTTAAACAGAAGCATTACCAGAATGGCTTTCCTGTGTTTCTCCGTATTATCTTATTTTGAAGGAACAAAGATAGCACTGTTTGGCCAAAAGGTATGTCTTCCCCAGAATCTTGGGGAAAACCAGAAAATTAAGTGTCAAAAAAATTTGTGTGCAGAGATGCTTTGGGAGTGTCTCAAATTGTCCCTGTCTCATATTATCCCTGTCTGTAAATATCCTTGTCTCTAAATCACCCCATCTCAAATTGGCACTGTCTCAACTTTTCTGTCTTCATTTGTCCAGTCTTGAATGGTTTGTCTCAATTTTTCCATATCCCAGAATTATTGACAGCAGATTGATTGAGAAAAAGTTTTGTGAGTCAAAACTGTATACAGTATTTGTAAATTGATAATTGACTATTGGGAACCCAAAGAAATACATTTCTCAAGTACCAGTACTGGCACATAATCAGTGAAACATCCCACTGTGAATGTTGCTGAAGTTTATGATTGAATTAAGAATTCATAATTATAATTTTTCAAGTTAAATTATGATCATCTGTTTTAGTGACTTACTCGATTGTGCAAATTGAGGGATCATGATTCTGCTTCGAGCTAGAACCCCGTAGATGAAAGCTACAGCTGCAATCAGCAAAGCTGTGGTCAAAAGCAGTCCATTGTTGAAGAGCAGCATCATGATCCAGTAATTCCTTGCCCCAATGCAATGGTTGAGGGCGTAACAGTGATGATCAAAACCATCCACGCATTTCCCGCATTCGTGACAGTGTTTCACATCCTCCCTTTGACTAAGTTCAACGTGAGTTCAGACTAAACTATCTTTTAAAATTATTACTGTATCTGGCGTTTAGCGAAATCTATTTGAGGAATATCAAATCAGTTTTTTTTATTTTTCTTTGATTCTGTTAGTTTGGGGTTGGAGAAGACGGCAATATTTTTCAACCTTTCTTCCAAGAAATTACAACTACTGTAGCTCATTTTTAGGTCTGTACTCAATAGCCATTATGCAACGAGAGTTTTTTTACAACGAATTTTTGTGTTACAAGAGGATCTTTTCGAGAAATTGTGTCATGCATGAATCTTGCTGCTTACAACAAACTCATTTCTAAGTATTTTCTCAAAAGCCACCATGTTAAATGAGTTACTTTTTAGAAAAATAGTTGCTAAAAAGCTGCCATATTTATTTGAGTACCATACACCCTCAAATAAGCTGCAAACTGAGGTTCTTCAGTCAAAATTTGTGATAAAATTGTATCCATGAGTAAGATGCGCACCCCTTTTTAGTGAATGAAACCACAATATTTCAGAAATAAGAACACTCTAAGTCAAATTAAGACAGGAATTCAAGTTATTTTTCAATTGTTTCCATTAAAGTAAGTTTTCATGTAAAACCTGGTTCTAATCACTCTTCTAGGATCAAGTATAATAAGAACCTAAATTTCTAAAACTTTATAGAAGATGTAAACCCATTTATGACGCACACCTTTCTTTTTTGTTCCAAAGTTTGAAAAAAGGGTGCCTTTGGTATTCAAGTATATACAGGTAGTACCTTGCAATTCAACCCTAATCTGTTCGCTGGACTAGGGTTGGATTGCAATTGGTCAAATTGTGAGACAACCTCAAATAGCATGTTTTCTGCATGGCATTTGACATTTCATGTCTCTGCACAGGTTGAATTGTGAGGCAGACGTTGAATTGAGAGTTGACCTCACAGAAAATTCAACCATTGAATTGCAGGATGGTCAAATTGAGGGAGGTTGAATTGCAAGGTACCACAAGTACAGTACAGTATTTTACTAGTTCCAATGAGGTTTTTGCAACAACATTTTGCTTTGTAACAAAGCTATTTTTACTGGTTCCAATGGCTTCATTTTAAAGGGATTTTACTGCCATTCACTTTCCCAGGTGTAACTGGTGCATCATTCTTGTTAATGGTCTCTTGAGTGTCCTTGAAGAATTTTAAATTTTTCTGTCACTCACCGCAGAAGGTTGCACCTGTGGCACAAATATCTTGCTGGGTCAATGTCAACTTGGGTATGAATTGGAATCTTGTATCTCAGGAGATAATGCTTTGGGTCCACCAAGCTGACACTCAAACCAGAGACCAAAACAATGGTGAACAAGAGTGCCAGTAACTGCAAAGGAGTCGTTATTCTTTTTTTACTTTTGCAAATTCCCCATTGCCTCTGTCTGCAAATATATACCTCGGAAGACTTGCCTTGACTGAAACAATTTCTATGGTGGTATTGAAATTAACGGAAACAATTCCAAAGTGAATCAAAATAGCGGAAAGAGTGTAGATGATGCAGGATGAATGCAAGATCCCCCAGGGGCATTGGTACCCACAGTCTCTCAGCATGGCGCCTTCTTCTGTCCGTGATACCCCACATCCTGGGAACCCCTTGAAACTGAACATCACAATACGTGATTTTTTCATTTTTATCAACCTTGATGAGTTTTTAAAAAATTGTATTCAAACCTTATTTTGGAAGATAAATCCCAAACTCCACTCATGGTAGAATCCGTCAATGAAGGTACAGAGGGAAAGAGTTGAAGGTTCCAGGGAATGTGGTAAAATGGAGGCAAGAGTGGGAAGATTCCTATAGTTTTTTTTTTCTTCTCAAGAATAATCAATTGATGGTCTCGGTTTTTGTGAAGGTTGCAGTGAAACAAATGTTATAACAGGTATAAGATGAACTTGTCAATGTCAGATGCCATAATAATGATCCTTTCAAGATCATTGAACTGATGATCTGATTGCAGCAACCCCCATATCATTTATTTTTATTGTCTGAATTATGATGGATTCCAGTCTGTAAAAAAGAATACAATGAAATTGAACTGTTTTGGACCCTGAATTGGAGTAAATTTATTAATGAAATTAATGTTTCATTTTTTTTTAAAGATCCCAAGATGCGGACGTAATTGGTGCATGAACCTCGTCCCCAAGTTGGAATGTCTGCATGTCAAAACTTGTTTTCCTATGTACTTCAATGTACATATTTTAAATTAGTTCTTTTTTGAATGAATAATTGAGAAAAAGTCCTCAAAAATAAGATAATTTTTCCAAATTTATATACAGTATAAACAAAATAAATGTACAGAAGAAAATCACACAGAATCTGATCTTTTGTCATCAGTATCAGCTGAAGAATTAAAAAACAAGAACAAGCTATGCTGTAATGAGCAGAAATGATGGAAAAACTGAAAAAACACAAAATTAGCCGGTTTTTGATTACGCGTTGGGGTAATTTTACAATGAAATTGATTTTCAGCATTTTAAAATTTAAATACTTTAGCTTAATATCTTCAAAAAATAAATAAAAAATGCGAAAATTTCAATTTTGAATTTTTCAGCAAATCTTGGAAAAGTGGCCATATCTTGAGTCACTGTCTCGATGTTAGGTTCTATTCTTTAAATTTAAAGTGTCCGTATGTTGGGGTATCTGCATTTCAGGGTCTCACTCTTGCTGAATTTGTTCAAGAGATATCAAAAATCTGATTAAATTGAACATGTCCAATTTTTTTACAATTGTCTGGATTTCGGGGAACATTTTTATCACAGTACAGTATTTTTTTTCGTAAGTGCACTTAGGTCGAATCGTCCGTATCTCTGAGGGGGGTGGGAGGGTGTCCCACAGTTTCGTGCTCGTGTATTGAGAAATGTACTCACCTCCATGATAAACTGGAAAAGCTTCGAGGCTTCAGCGCGTTTGAGACGCTCTAATTGGTGTTGTTGGGTGACGAGGTCGTCGATGGAGTTGTTGCAGGTCGAGAACGTGTCGGTAAAATTGTGCGAGGATGGCCAGGTGGGGCGAGGGTGATCCCCGATGGATCGTCGAAGAGCGGCCGGACGCCACCAACGTCAACAACTGGCACTGGACCGAGAAGAACGCCACGAAATGGTCCAAGGACAAGCTCGCCGAACTCCTGCTCAACCAGGAGATCAAGGACGAAAAGGTCGGCAGTGTCAAGATCACGGAGTTTGAGCGACTCGAAGGCGAGGCCTCGGCCAACAACCGCAAGGCCAAGCTCATCTTCTTCTACGAATGGGACATCAAGATGAAGTTCAAGGGCCGGGTGTACGGCAAGGACAGCGACGTGACCGGGGAAATCAAGATTGCCAATTTGTCTGACGAGAACGGGCCGGAAGACCTGGACATTTCCGTGCGGTGTTCGGATGACCCGAGCCTCAAGGCCATGGTTCGCGCCGTCGGCATTCCGTTTGTGCGGGACCAGCTGCGCAAGTACATGGAGGAACTGCGGGTCGAGTTTGGCAAGGACATGATTCTGCCGACGAAGACGGCGTCGACGGAGAAAACGACTGAGAAAGCGGCGCCGGGGCCGCCTTCGGGAAAGCAGCAACAGCAACAAGTCGCGTCGGATAAAGGAGTAGTGCTGAACCAGAACATGGAACGGTTGGAACTCGGCGGCGTCAAGTTCAACACCGGCGACATTACGGACAAAGTGTTGTTTGTGTGCTCTGGCGCTGACATCTACCGGACGTTGACGGAGCGGGAACTCCTGGCGGCCTTCACTTGCTCGAGCGTGGAAGTGGACGCGAAACCCGGCGGCGGATTCAAGTTGTTTGGCGGCCAAGTGGAGGGTACTTTTGTCGACCTCGTGCCGAGTTCGAGGATTAGGCAAAAGTGGCGCTTTAAAACCTGGCCGGAAGGACACTTTAGCGACGTGACGTTGAGTATTGCGCAGAAGGAGGAGAGCACGGAAGTGACCTTGACCCAACGAGGTGTGCCAATCAACGATCTCCAGCGCACCAAGGAAGGCTGGGACCGGTATTACTGGACGGCGATCAAACGGACTTTTGCCTTTGGCTCGTTTTTGATGTGAACAAATTGAAAAGACAAAAAGAAGAGAAGAGAAGAGAAAAATGATATGCCCCTTTTCTTTCTCCTGCTCCCCGTGGTCTGAATGTCTCGTTCAGAGTTAACAGGTGTCCAATGAAAAACTCCTCGTTTGTGTGCTTATCTTGATGTATTTCGAGAAAGAAAAAAAAAAGTAAGCGGGCCTGAACTGGGTTTTTTTCTCAGTTTTTGTGTCGGAGGGAAGAGAAAAGGGGGCGTCATGGTCTGTCATTTGCCGCCGCCGTCGCTGCTGGTGTAGTTTTTTTTTTTTCGTGGAGAATAAACTTGAATGTTGGTTCTCCCGAAGAATATTTGGAATTTTTTAATCCTTTATTTATGTCTTTACTGTATGAATGATGCATTATTATTTTCTTTTTTTTTAGGTAAGTGAAAAAGGAACTGATTTAGTGTTGACAGCGAGGAAGCTCAACTTTGGAGACCTAAAACAAGGCAAGTAGGCCTTTTTTTGAATGTACCTGACTAATCTAAGTACCACATGCCCTTGAGTAAGATGCACACCAGGGTTTTTTTTTATTCAAAGATGTTTATAAATCTTACTGGATGATGTACACCCCTTTTTTAAACTCCACAACTGCAATTTCTCAAAAGAAGAACACCAAGATTTGAACTGGTTGGCAAAATGTACGCGGATTACTTCATTTTTCAATTATTCCCATGACGAGAAGCTATTATTTTACAATTCTGTTCGAAATTTTCCAGAAAAATGAAATGTATTGCACGATTAAAACGTTTTGCAAAATTTACACCTGCCTTGATGCGCACCCCCCTTTTTTAAAAAATAAGTTCTCTCAATTTTGAGGAAATGTGTGTCTGTGGTACTCAAGTAAGCATAGTTGTGAAGTACCTTTTCCAAGTTGATTTATAATTCTTCTTGCTTGTGTCCAATCTCGAGGAATGAAGGTTCGTTTCATTGACACTACAGTACTGTATTTAAATTCATTTGAAACCTAAATTATAATTTAGGATCAATGCAAACTGGAAATAGATTGCCGAAGTAAAAAAAAGTATGGCCTATGTCTGCTCGAAATTGAATTAACTGGTTAGGGATGGTGCGAAGCAAATATTGAAACAAGCCCCTCGGAGTAATTCACGATATATATATTTTTTTTTTGCTGTAAAGAAACCAACTTTTGATTCATCGTGATTCTCAAAATTGATGTGTTTTCAGCTTGACAAGTTGGCATTCAAGAAGAGAAGATCCTTTCCTATTTAATATCCAGAAAATAATTTGATTGTTTCATGTGAAATTATGCAAATCAAGTGGCAATTTCAGATGCCACACGTTTGCGATGAACGTGAGATTTGAAAGCAAGAAAGTTCATTAAATGAAATTTTGACATTAATGAGTAGATACTTTTTCATGAAAAGGGTATTAAGCGTATGAATTCTTTTTTTCTTCAATTTCATTGGAATTTCCTTGAAGCTTCTGAACTCTCGACGAGGGCAAAATTGAACTGACAGAACTCAGCATTGTTGAAAATTTTTCCATTCGTCGTAGAAATGATAAAACGAGGAAGTGAGAAAGAATTATTGCTTTAATTATCTCACTTCCATTTTGCAGGGCTTCAAAATTTTCGAGAGAGCGAAGAAAAGGTCGTGGACGGAATTGCCGCGGAATGGAAACCGGAACTGAGGTGAGTGTCGAAGTGAATCTGATCATGACAACAACAACAAAAAACAGTAGGAAAAAATGTATGTGTTTTTTCACGCATATTTTCTTCTTTCAATTCGAATTGGGGCGTGAATCCGTCAGCAACTCGGTCCAGGCAGTTTCCCTCCCCTCGGGGCGTGGTCAATTATTCAATTACTTCCCCTGCGTTTTGCGCAAAATCTCATTGACCATCAGTGCGACGGCGGGCGTGATTTCGTAATCGGAAGTGAAGGGATCGGTTTTATCATCGCCGTGTTCTGTGACTGCGGACCGGATTTTCACACTCGGCTTCGAATCGGCTTGTGAAAAGCTGCTGGAGGACGAGTTGTTGCTTTTATTTTTGAGCCCGTGGCGGATTTTGTTGTTTTTGTCTTTTTTCGACATCGTGATTGACAGCGACCTGAAAAAAAAAATTGGTGGAATTTCGAATGAAAGATCGATTTAACGTTCTTTGGAACGCTTGCAGAAAACGGATAATTTTTCATCATTCTGCTGCTGCTGCTGATGATGATAATCAGTTTTCGAGAAAATAGTATTTGTAGAGAAAGACATTTACGGTTGAACCTGGATAACTCAAACCTCTCTTTGTCAAGCCCCTGCCTGAATTGTCTCAATACTAGACCAGTGTTTCCAACCCGTGGTCCACAGACTGGTCTGCAGAAGTTTTTTGTTGGTCTTGTGGAAATTTTATTCAGCACCATGAATTTATCAAAAGTGTATTACAATGACGTTTGTTGTATCTCTATCTGAAATTTCAGAAAACCAATGGGAGTTGAAATTATCAGATGAAAAATAAAAATTGGCTCTTCTCCTAATAACATTTCAGATACATTTTCACCTACTGAAATGAATTATTTCAATTTTACATTGTGAAACACCGTTGTTCAAGTCAAACTTTCTAATTTTTTGAAGAAATCCGAGTACTTTCCTGTTATCTCAGTACCTACTTTCCGTGCACCTACCAGAAACGGTGAATTTCATTTTTCCGCATTCTGCTGAAACTGATTTTGGGAGGCAGTTAGGTAAATTTAGGTTATGTTAGTTACAAATATCTTTCAATTAATATAACCTGACCTAACCTAACAAATACTGAATTCACGAGACAAAGGAAAATGGGTACTGAGATAACAGGAAAGTACCAAAATCCCACCGTAACTGCTTCATTGGTTCTTGGCTTTATTTTTGCAAAAAGGCAGACATTTATTAAATGCAAGACCTGTCATAAATTCTTCCGAACAACATTCATTTTGTTGAATCTGCAACAAATTTGCCAGTCTGTGGGCCCAAAAAGATTGGGTAACACTGGACTAGACTACGTATTAAAAACCTCCCTTACTTGAAGGTTTTCCTCACAAAACCTCCATAACTTGAAATTTTGCTTGCCTTTTGGCTATCATTTTCTTGACACAGGAAAGAGAAAAAGCAATAAAAATATATCGTAATATGTTTTGAAAGGACATGGAAGATTAATTGGGCAAATGAACCCCTGCCTTCAAGTTTAGAATTGAGTCAACTCCTTTGAGAAGCAATTTATGGCCATATTATAATTTTCTGCAATTTTTTACATTTCCTTCATCAAAAATGTTTGTTTCCCCAACTCAAAAATTTTTGCTGGTCCCTTGAAGTTCGGTTTTGAGTGGTTCAACTGTCTTTAAAGAAATAAACAATTTACGATTTTGCGATGAGGCCGAGGTGTCCTAGACAGGCTGTGTCGACGGTGCTTGGAGTGTCGAGCGAGTTGGAAACACTGGGGGTCATGTTGGGGCATGTGTCTTCCTGGTGAGACCCGTTGCTTGAAGATTCCTTTCGATGAATGCCGAAAGTTTTGCCGCCCTTTTCCCCTCGTCTCGGTCTGATCGCAGCTTTCTTTGACGAATTTTCGCTGCTTTTTGACGAGCTCTTGCTGCTTCTTCTTCTTCCGTTCCCATCCTGAGGTGTTTCTTGAATGCGTGCGGAATGAGGTGATGATGATGATGATGAAGTAGGAGAAAGAATTCCTGGCTGGACCAGTGTTTTGTCGACGCTTCTGGAGTCGGCGCAAATGGCGTCGAGAGCCGCCTTCATGGCCTCTTTCACTTGTGCCGTCGAGTCGCGTTTCTCCGTGTCTGACGACGGCGTTGTTTTTTTCCGGCCGACGGATCCCGAGGATTTCCTTGAAATGTGTCCCTGAGATATTTTGCACGTGGACGAGGCTCTCTTCTCCAAGTCTTCCTTGGGACTCTGTTTTTTTTTTTTTCAAATGTCCGGGGAAAGGATTATCATGGACCGAAGGAAAGACGAAATGTACGTTTGGAAAATTAATGCGATTGCGATTTAAGATTGGTCAACGCAAACAACTGAAAAGCAAATTAAGTTCTTTTCTCTCAAAAATCTTTTTAGAGTCAACCTTTTTGTTAACAACTCTTGTTCTTTAAAACAGTGTTCCCCAGCATTTTTGGGCCCACAGACTGGCAAATTTCCATAAATCTTTTTGCAAACCAACAATTTTTTTTTTAATTCTGCAGACCAGCAAAGTTTCATTAAATTTTTGCAGACTCAAAAGTTTTTCTGAAGGACTTGATGGCAGGTATTTGAAAATTGTTTGCTCTTTTTCAAAAATTCAAGTGAAGAACTGATGAAGCAGCTGTAGTGGAATGTCTTCATAAGATTAGAAACATGGGCATGAAAAAAGATATCTCAGAATGAAAAAAATTTAGTAGATTGAAAAATTAATCTAAAAAACCACGTTTTCAAAAAGGAAAAAATAACCTTAAATGGGGTGCGCATCTATTTCATTTGTATTTCACTTCTTCCCAACCATCTCCATGCGCACCACGTTTAAGGTTATCTTTTGCTTTTTGAAAACGTGGTTTTGCTTGCTAGCTAGTATGGAAGTGAGTGAAATTTGAGTTTCAAAATTTGATCCAGACAAACAGACAGACAGACAGACAGACAGACAGACAGACAAGAAAAGTGAGTTCATAAAAACGTGGTAAAAACGTGTTAAAATATAAATGAATTTGTTTCAGCATGTGAAAATATGTCTGAAGTGTTATTGAGGGGAAAAGTCAACTTTTACTTTTCATCAGGTAATGTCAACTGCCATTGTCTTTTGAAATTTTGAACAAATGTCGCATATTTATTGATGCCCTAATTGCTACTCTTGATCATTTTATTATGCTGAAGACAATTTCCCACAGAACCGCAAAAAAGTTCTGCAGACTGGTGCAGGTCCATGGACAACAGGTTGGGGAACACTGCTTTAAAATATGTATCCATCCCAAGATAATTTGCACACGTTTTTCCAAGGTCTTTCTTGGGATTGAGAAAGTGGGAAAGAAAATTTCCCAATAATCAAACTAATGTAATAGAATACCTTGAATGTTCACTTATTGCAGAAAAATATTTTTACTAAAAATTTTTCTTCGGAATGTGTCACATATATTTCTTCAAGTATTCTTCAAGGTTTTTATGAATAGTTAAATTTGTCCAGCATTAAAAATAATTGAGAAAATTTCTTTAAAATTTAAAGAAACATTATGAATTGAGAGTAAAACAAACTATTTCAAGCACTGTAATCAAATTCTGTCATCATGAAACTTGTTCATATAGTAAATACAGATGGCATTTTGCAATTGGACCCTTGCTGTGCAATTTGACCAACATTTGGCCATATTTTCGCGTGTTTGCATTGATACTTTTGATTTTCATCAAGTTTCTCGCAATTTGACCCTAGTTTGGCAAGTGATTAGGTTAAAATTGTGAGGTACCACCTGTAACTACTGTTACTCATTTGCCCTTTTTGGGGGAATTTTGACAAAGCAGAAATTGAATACAGTATTTCTCAAGAGATTCCTTACATGGATTATTTTTGTGATGCTCTTGGTTCTCAGATCATCATCATCATCACCATGCTTTTGTCCAGTCTCCACTTTTGATTGATCCCCTGAAGAAACTATAACCAGGGGTTCTTTGGTTTTAGATAAAACATAAGTGTCCTTGGTGTGGACAGTGTCCAGGGAGTGACTCGAGATGCGGACATGGTGATGTTCAGACTTTCTGGCTGCCTTGCAAGCCCGCTTCAGGTCAGCTGTTATCGCCTCCACTCTCTGCACTCTGTGGTGTGACAGGTGTTCAGCTTTTGGCTGCGAAAGCAGTGTTGGAATTTGAATTAAAAAAGAAAAAGAAAATCTTGACAAAAAGGAAACACAAAAATTTAAAACTGAACTCGCAAACATGTTTCGCATGACGAATTGAGTGTGACATTTTTTCATTGTTTTTACCACAGTTCTCAGAATTTATGCATTTTTTCCTCTTGTCCTTGAAGGAAATGGTTATAAAATGGAATTTACTGAATGAATTTGTTGTAGGATTATGTTGCAAAAATTTTATCCACGAGAAACTTATTTTTATTGTTGTTTTCATCTCCGTTATCAGAATTTAATGAATTTCTCTCGCAAGTTTTCCTCTTTTCTTCTACGGAAATGAATATAAAGTGCCGTACTGCAATTATTTTTTCTATGGATTATGTTTTTAATATTTCATCCACGAAAAAATTTAGGTTAAATGATATTAATTTATTGCTTTTTAAACTTATTTGCGCGTGTTTCTAAAAAATTCTTGTAGGATTCTGCAAAGAAACAGTTCCAATTTGGTCGAGAAATGTTGGTTTTAAAGATTTCCTATTCTAGAAAAATTTCACTTCTTAAGTACCGTTACCCTGTAGTAAAAACTTGGTATTTGAAACGAATTTTTAAGCGTCATCAGAACTTCATTTTGAGGACTTTTTTGCACGTAAGGCATTGAGTTTTGTCAAAATTATGCAGTACTAAAAATCGCTTTGAAAGCAATTCATGAATTTTTTTTAAATAATGAGTTGTCATCTCTGTGAAATGATTTTCACGCCTTTCATTTTGAGATGAATTTGAGATGGAAAGATGAATTTGGTCAATTTTGTTCATTCACCTCGGGTGAATGAGGCGAATGATTCACCCGACTTTTGTCATCCTTGACCCTGGTGTGAACTTGACCCTCATCGGTCGAGACGAGTGAAATGGTCGCTGCGCAGGTCAAACGAGGCTTTGACCTGGTCTTCCGCTTTGCCACGTGCTCAGTGACGGTGGTGGCGGAATTTGAGGTTGACCAGTAGGCGACTGAGCATTTGCACACGCGGTACGAAGGTTGCGGCATGACTGAACCCACTGATCGTACTTCTGAGGAGAACTGAAACATTTGGGCAATGATCATATGGTTTTTCTTTTTCTTCAAATCAAGTACGAGATGCAAGTACTGTTTGAGATCGAGTACTAGTTCAGGTGGACTCACTTTCAGCAATAACAGCAAAAAATCATGGAAACAAGGAAAAAATTTGTTGTTAATAGCCTTCATAACCTGAGGAGAGAAGTCTGTGGAGCCAAAAAAATCCTTATTCAGAGAAAATTGTTGCATAGAACAGTGTTCCCCAAGCAGCAAACATTTTGTGAAACTTTGCCAGTCTGCAAAGCATTTTTTTTTTAAAATTTGCCGGTATGTGAGGAATTATCTGCAGCATAATGAGTTTATCAAAAGATTTAAAAGTCTGTCATCTTTATCTGAACTTTTTGAAGACAATAATCTGGGGAAATATTAAAGTTGGCTTTTATCCTGATGATACTTCAGACAAATTTCCCCTGCTGAAATGAAATAATTTTAATTTTACACTCTGAGAAACCATTCAAGCCTAACTTTATAATTTTTTTTAAAACATTCCGCTATAGCTGTTTCATTTCTTCTTGACTTCATTTTTAAAGAAAGAACAGCAAATTTTAACATGATTGCTATGAACATCTTTCAGCCAAAACTTTCTTTGAGTCTGCAAACATTTCATAAAACTCTGCTGGTTTGCAAAACATTTTTCAAAAATTTGCTGGTCTGCAAGAAATTTTATTTGGCATAATAAATTTATCAAGAGTAAAAGTCTGTTATCTTTATCTGAAATTATGGAAAGACAACTGAAATTATCTGAGGAAATATTAAAGTTGGCTTTCCTCTGGATAACACTACAGACAAATTTCCCCTGCTAAGATAAATTATTTTAATTTTACACTCTGAGAAACCTTTCAAGCCCCCCTTATACTTTTTTAAAAACATTCCACTATATTAGTTGCAATGGTTCTTGTCTTAATTTTTGAAGGAAAAGACAGACACTTTATAATTAATCGCCCTAAAAGTCTTCCAACCAACACTGAGTCTGCAAACATTTTGTGAAACTTTGCTGGTCTGCAAAACTTTTTTTGGAAAATTTGCTGGTCTGAAAAACATTTCATGTAAATTTGCCTCTCCGTGGGCCCAAAAAGGTTGGGGAACACTGGTATAGGAGATTTTTGTAAAAAAGGAAAGAGTCCACCTGATTGAAGCTTTTAGAATGTGATCAACTGTTTTCAAAGAACAGGAATAGAAATGGGAAACTACCAGTTTTTTTCTTCAAATTTAGCATTGATTTACTAAATACAGTACTTTTAAGGTGGGCCAAAATGTAGAATGTAAAACCATTCATACTTCTACATTTTTTCCCCATAAGGATAGTTTTTTTCAAAATGCTGGAGTTTTGACACTTACGTCAGCAATAAACTTTGCTGGTTGTTTGTTGTTTCGATGCTTTTTCTTGAGAGGCACTACGTACTTTCCAGGTTGAATATATTCCTTCAAACTCTGAAAAGGAAAAAAGTACTGACATTTTGAAAAAGTACTTCTGTAGTGTTTGAGTACTGGATTACCCAAAACTTTTGGACCTGTTTTAAAATCGCAATATTTCAAAAATAAAAGGCGACAGAAGTCTGAGTTTAGTCTCAAATTAAAGGAAAGTATGCTAAGTTTTTTTTTGCAATTGAAAAGTACACATTTGAAAATTGAAATAAACATGGTTGATTTTTATTTGCATTAATGTACATAATTTCCATTTTTTATCTCCTGTTTTCCAAGAATTCTACCCAACAGGGAGATCTTGTCTAATTTTCCTCCTTTTTATATGATTTTTTATGTAGATGCTTGAAAACAGAAAAATAGGGGTTGACAAAATAAACATGTTAACTTTTGAAGCCTTTCTTGATTTTGAAACCCATTTTTTCCCAAAAGTTGAAGTTTTGGTCATAGAAAACTGTTTAATTTGACACAGCATATTTAATGTTACATTAACAGGCACAAATTTTCAAAAATGACTTACCGGTATTCATTTGCATTGAAATGAGTTATGCAAGCATTTAAAAAAATCAGTTGAAAAAGTTTTGCTGTGATTTTAATTGAAAAAAAAAAGTTTTCAACTTTTCTTTCCTCAAGAAAAGAACCCACAGAAAATTGTTTTCTGCCTTGTTTGCATTCCACATTGAGTGGTTCATTCTCTGTGCTGGACAGTGTGATTGGGGTGGACAGTGTTTGACAACAGCACTTCTTGTGGCCCTTGCGACTGCTGAGGTTGCCATGTCGCCTGTGTGGCATTGGAGGAACCATATCCGCCATTTGCACTCCCTCTGAAGGAGGCATGTGATAGGTCCAAGGATTTGTCCACATTGTTGGGTGGTAATTGATGAAGGACGTGGCTGGTTGACTTGTTTGAGTTTCCTTGTGAAGCAGGCAAAGGAGAATGAACAATTGATGGATATTGGTGTGCAAATTTCAGCAAAGTACAGTGACGTGTGTGTAAGGGGTTGCATCAAGAGTGTCTCAAAGTCAAAATGTCCCTAAGTTGAGTCTTGTTGAAAATAAGTTGAATTCATGTTTAAATTCAAATTTTGGTGTTCTTGATTTTTAAATAATGAAGCTGAAGAGTCACTGAAAGTGGTGTACACATCTCTCAGGGATACAATTTTATCAAAATTTTGACTGAAAAACCTGGGTGTTTCTTATTCAAGTGTAAGTGGTATTTGGGAAAATACCACTTACACTTGTAAATCCCCAAAAACTTGAGATTATAAAAAAAACTTGTTTTGATCTTAAGAGTTCTGTTTCAAGAATACCCAGATAATTTTTTGTAAATTTTCAAAAGTAATGTTTCACAATCTGATTTTTCATAATATGTGACTCAAATGAAAATGTTGTACCTAGATAATTTTTTTTTTATTCTGTGAAATTGATATACAGTACAAGGAAGGAAGTATCAAAATTACTGGAACATTTTGTTCATGCCATGCATCTTTAAAACTATGAATAATGAAAAGCTGATTTTGACCCACTTCTGCAGTATTGTGATTTAACATACTGTACTGTGTTTGGAATATTTAATTTAAAAATATGAATAAATTATTAAATTCGCAGAATTTTGGGTTTCAATTTTGATCTTCTCACATAATGCACAGATACTTTTTAAAAATGACATAAAAACTTTTTTCGGCATAAGATTAGAGTTGAAATCACCCAACTTCTAATGATTCTTTTGATGGAATCACCTTTAGTTTGGTGAATGGAACCATATTGCAATTCAGTAAATGCAATGTGGTTCTTACTGAATTGCAAGTGTACAATTCAGTAAATTTCTTCAAGTTCCTCTGGGAGTTTATTTCTAGATGACATGCAGATGTTTGTGAAATTTCAGAACCAGAATTTTAAAACCTGAATTCCATCGTGTTGGCACTCCGTTCATTCAAAAATATATAACTTTAAGAAGAAGCACAGTGAAATGAGAGTTTCTGACCCTGATCTCCATTCTCTTTGTAGCATTGCCATCATTCCCCATGAAATGTGACATGTGCAACAGGTTCTCAGTCTGTGAACCCTCTTCCTTCATGAAAACTCGAATGTGGGAGCATGTGGGCTCAGCTTGAAGGTGAGCTCCATGAACAGGTGGAGGTGCTGGTTGAGAAGGACTTGTACAGGGACTGGGGTTTCCAAGTACCATGACATGGTACTTGCCAGGCTGTGTCCTGCAAGCCATAGGACACACACTGGCATTGAGTGGCACAGTTACAGGGTCACCAGGGCTCATGGCACCATCACAACAGTACTGATGATTGTGAGCACTTGGACTCCTGCTGCTGCAACCTTTGTTGTTGCTGAGCAGTTTGGCCAAGTTCTCCAGCAGCTTTTCCTGTGATCGCCTTCCTTCAATTGCTGGAAGTAAAATTGAGAAATTTGTACTTGTTTGATTTTGCAAGTTTTGGTGAGTTGAACTTTTTCCAGTTGAAGTTCACGGGACTACAAACATTTCATTTCAGGTTTGATTTTGATAATATATGGTCTGATCTGTTGAGGTTTTTCAATAAACCATTTTTTTAGTGTTTAAAAAGTAATGTTTTAATTGTTTTTTTAATAAGTTAAGAACCAATGAAGCAGCTATAATGGAATGTCTTGAAAATTAGGAAGCCGGACTTGAAGAAAGGTTCATCAGAATGAAAAATTAAAAATAATTTATTTCAGCCATGGAAATTGTTAGGGTTATTAGGAGAAAAGCCAACTTTTAATTTGTCTTTCCAAAATTTCAGATAGATATATCAGACTTTATTGCTACTTTTGATGAATTTATTATGCTGAAGAAACTTTTCTGCAGGCCGGTGTCAGATTGTGAACCATGGGTTAAATAACACTGGTTTAAGCAGTTTGAAATGGATTCAGACCCTAGTTGTTGATAATATTGCACAAAATTTTATTTTATGGATAAACAATGCAACTGAATTCAACTAAAGTGTGCAAAATGCCTGACAAAACTTGACATAATCTAACCAAATTGAACTTATCATATGATTCAACAGCTGAACCCTACCCTGGCTTGAAATTAACCCTCATCTAACCTACCTGACTTGATTTGGCCTACAATCTGAACTGAGAACAATGGAAAGGCCAGATTTATGGCAAAACTATCCTCAATCTTGCCCAGAAAGAGAGCTTAACTGGTTTCAAAAGCATCCACAAGTGTAGAAATTGCTTCTCACCCATTTTGGTTCCCTTGAGGAAACTCTCCAATTGCTCATTGCGTTTCTTGAGCTCCAAAAAGAGCACCATGTCTTGAGGGTCCATGGAAGCTTCTGTAGGCTCCAAGTTTTCCTTCCTTGTGTCAGATGCTGTAGACTTTTGCCTTGTGACTGCAGTGTAGTCTTCAGTGTCTCCAATGAGGTTAGGAATTGTGGTTTCACTCCCAGATGGAGCCACTTGTGGGAATTTACTGCCTCCTCTCAACCAGTCATCTTCTGAATGAGTCCACAAGTAGTCATGCTTTTGCTCTTGTTGTAAATGAGCTGGCAGTTCATCACTGATGTGGAATATTTGGTCCAAGTGTGACTCTTGCTTTTTGGATGCTTTTCTTGGTATGTCAAGGTCACTGAATCTGTCTTCATGGGCCAGGTTTTTCATGTAGGGTCTGGTCTCCCAGCTGGGGATGCGAGAAGGGACCTGGTGTGGGTTGTATCTTGGTATTGAAGTTTCAGATTTCATTGAAGTGAATCTGAAGTGATCATCTTGTCTGTGAAGATTTTTCATTTTGCAAAGTTTATGCTTTAGTATTTGTATTCATGATCAAATGAAAGAAAGAAAAAATCACCTTTTAAAGATTTGTGTGATGCTGCTTTCCTTCCCAAGGTCCCATTTTATGTTTTCTCCACTAATTCTTATGTTTAGGCGTGATTGATGTGGACTGAAAACTTGGCTTGAGTCTTTGTGCAAGAGCTGTTTTGGGTGAACAGATAATAAGTGAATGAAATTTTACAATTTTCAGAATTTGTTGAAATTGTGTCAATTAGAATCAAACTTTAAGCCACTGAAAAATAACAAATTTTAACTTTTTTTTGGCAATTAATTTTTGCGAGAACATCTCAAGAAATTGTGAATTAACACCATGTCATTTCTGAACTGCAAACTTTTTGCTTTTTTTTATCTATTAAAAGAAAATTGTTATCCAAAAATTTTGAATTTTCAATAGGCATGGGCTTTATTATATTTTACACAACAGAATTTCAATTTTCAACATCATGAAATTTCAGCAAAATGTTGTGGAATGAGTGGAAAACTCTAGACATAAATTTTTTTACAATTTCATTATGGAGGGACTTGATAGAATATCTTGAAAATTTGAAAGAAATTGCAAATACAGTACGAAGAAAATAATGAACGATTTTTATTTAATTTTTAACAATGTCAAAAATATCGCGATCATGTTAATATTTTTGAATTTTTACAAAATTATCCAAAATTCCCAACTACTGTATCAGGAAATTGTCAAAGTCCCTCTGACGGGAATTGCCGAAAGCCGTTTATTAGCAAAATTTTAGCAACAATTTTTTTTTTTTTATTTATTGCTAACGTCGTGTCCGGACGCGAATACGTCGTCGTCGTCGTCGTCGTCAAGAGTTGCTCGGTTCTTCAAGAGTCTCGGTTTGCTGGAGAGTTGGGACGTGAGTTCGCTGAGCAGACACTCTCTGCGTCGCATCTCTGTTTTGAGTTGGTGGCGCACGAGGGCGTCGCTGTGGCGCCCGTGCGCCAAAGTCCGCTCCACGGCGCCCGCGATTTGACCATTGAGGCGGAGCTCGTGCGCCACCGTCCGCAGGAGACTGTCGCGCGAAGAGTCCATTTGCAACGCATCGTATCTCCCGCCAAAATCGTCTAATTTTGGCAAAGACCTGTGGTTTTATTTTAGGGGGAGGGGGGGGGGAGGAGGAGGAGGAAGGAATGAGACAACAAAATATATTCAATAGGGCCCCGAAAAGGAGACACAATTGTTTTTCGTGCAGACTTCATCGTAGACATATTCGATTGGTTTTCCTGTTTAGCCACAAAAAAAAATTGACTAATGTTGATTTTCTCAATCTCAAAACGCGGAAAATAACTCACGCAGCATCTGATCTTTCGGCGTGACAATGAGCTCAAAAAGCTACGAAAAAGAGCAAATCGTACTAAACTCTGAACAGAGTTATTTGGATATGATTTGCAGTAAATTTATTTTAAAAATAATTTCCATTTTCGCGAATGAAAACAGCTCAATCTGTTCAAGTGATATAAAACGTATAATTTCTGTATTTTTCTAGAAATGTTGGCGAATGTTTTGTATCGGAGCACGTTTTTCGAGTTTCAAATGTCTCTAAGTTGAATTTTCCGCGTCCGTATGTCGAGGCCTCATTTTAAATCGAGTGTTGAAATGAGTCCATGTTTTAAAGAGGGGGGGGGAATATGCGATGAATAAATGCTGCAGTGTACTGTATAAATAATCGGGCAGTAGGTTCATTCCCTCGTTATCTTGATGGGGGACGGACCAACGCGGAACTAATGCACTGGTGACATCTACGAGAGACAGCAAACAAAAAAAGACCAGGTTTTTTTATTCATCCTTGCAAATGTTTATGGCTATAGTGACAAGAGGGACAAAAAAAATCGGAACTATACTACGCGTGAAGATGACTTGTGTGGGGTACACGCTAGAGGGCGCCACGCGGGGGAAGGAATTCACTTCCTGCAATGCGGCAAAACCCGTGGCAAACTGGCAGTTATGTGAAAAAAAAGACGGGGAAGAGGAAAACAAAAAGGGGGGACTGGCAGGAAGACTTTACTTGGAAGCTCTTGCCTGCCAGAGGAAGGAACTTTTTTTTGGAAATAGAAGTACAGTATAAATTAAAAGGAAGATGGATATTTTAGCTTCTGGGAGAAACCTAATCCTTGAGGAATCGCATGGGATCAAGGTTGACCTCGAGTTCCCGCAGGTTTTTCCGCTATCCTGGGGATATCCTCGTATCATTCAATCGTCAAGGACAAAATGCCCTTGGGAGAAATTTCTTGTTGCAAAATCTTTTAATTTTTTTTTTCATCAGTTGTATATTAACAGTCTCACGCGAAAGACGTTGAAGAATCATCTCCTTTTGGTTGTGTTGTGAAATATTGTCCTTGTCAAATAAATTAACCTTACACTAGAGTGTAAAGCTGCCTCGGTTGATCCTATAGTTTTCTTTGTTTTCTAAAAAAAAAAAAAGTGTTTCGAATATCATTTCATCTCAACACCTGCTACTGATCTTCCATTTGGAGTGTTTTGAGACTGTACATATTTCCGGTCTGTGTGTCTTGTGTGATGAGAAGTGAGTTTTTGAGGTTCTGTCAGGCTTCGGGTCGCCGCGTCTGAACCAACCTGAGGTTTTGGGACTCCATTGATTTCGGTCCAATGATTTCGGTCCGAGCCAGTCTTATTATATTATATAATAATATAGTCTTATTATAGTCTTATTATATTATTTTTCGTCAAGTAAGGGAGGATCGCCCAACTGCTGATTTTTTTCACCTTTTTTCAATCATTTCTGGCCCGACAGCTTTTTCGATTTTCGAGATTTAGCAAAGATATTGTACTGTACAGTACTTTCAGACTCATGAGGAAAGCAGCGCTGGGAAATGGTTATGTTTCATTGTTATTGTTGGTAGGTGTCACTCATGGCTGTAGCCATGGCCTTTTAATTTCATTCGAAGTCATCCCAAGCTTCCGTTTGCTTTCGTCATTTGTTTATGTTGATGATAATCATGGTTCAGGATCAGGAGATTTCAAGGAGAATCCGACGAAGTTACGACTGAATGATTTCGGTCCGAGCCAGTCTTAATATTATTTTTCGTCAAGTAGCAGGAAACTCCCATTTTGATTATTTCCTTGTGTTTTTTTTTTATTGAATGAAAATTGCGTTTTACGGTGCCGAGAAACCTTTTTGGGCTCCAAATATTTTTATTTTTACTACGGTGAATGAAAGGTTTTCGAATCGCTTTTTCAAACTCACAATTGGGACCGGAAATTGAATGAGGTGGAAAGTTCCAGTCGCGAGTCGAACTCATCTTCCGCGAACATTTGAGCGGAAGAACCGAGAATAACGAAAGCCAATTATTGCGGAAAATTTTGCCTTTCAGGAAAGGAAATGAAAAAAAAAACAGACGAGAGGGAACAAAATCCCCTTTGAAAAAAAATGTGGGAGGAGGAGAGAAAATAAGTCGCTCCGCGAAGAAAGCAAGGCAACAAAACTGATGACACTGTCGAAGGCTCCTTAATTGATATTCATCTTCGTTTTTTATCAGGCATGCTTGCTTTTTTTTTTTTTTAATTGCACTGAAATAAGATTTCATATATTTGCAGATGTCCGCGAATAAGGAAGTCGAAGATCCCCCACCCCTGGAATCCAGTTTCGTGAAGACTGAAGAGAAGAAAAAGAAGAAGAAGAAGCTGACGAAGGCCGGGAGGAAAAAGCTTCGGCAGGAACAAACGGAGACGTTCTCGAAGCACAGAAGAATCATCGCTAGCGATAAAACCGCTGGCGATTTGTGAGTCTCTTGTCGTGTTTTCATGTAAACCAGTGCCTGAAATTATTTTGTTGCTTTATTTTGGCGCAGGCAATTAGAGAGGGACCTGTTTGGAGGCGAAGCTGAACTCGTTGAGACTTTCGAGAAGAAAGCTGCTGCCAAACGGGAATTTCAGCAAGTCGATGACGAATCTGAAGATGACGATGAGTCTGGAATTGCTGAGGATGAAATTCCCGAAAAGAAGAGGAAGAAGAAAAATATCAAGAAGCCGGTTTGGGTGGATGAAGACGACGAGAAAACCGAGTTCGTAATTTTTTCATAAACATGAAATGGCGCTAGTTTTAATTTCGAGGATGAACTTTTTGGTTTCATGCACCAGTGACATCTATTTGAGGGTAGTTTAGTGTATTTACGCAAAATGAACACCCCCGTAGATTTTTCATGCAAAAAATATTCTCAACGTCATTTCACGAAGAACTGAAGGAAAAATTGCTCCATTGTTTTTTGGGCCACAAACAATAAAATATCCTGATATATGCGCATAATTACACGAATTGCATAAATAAATATGAGCACCCCTTATGTTTTGAACTTTCTAAAATTTGAAAGAAAAGTGGTGCTTACCTTTGTTTTAAATACTGTACGTTAATCCCCGTTTTTATTTCCGTGCCCTCTGCTGGTTACTGTGTGAATTACTTGACCCAAGCCCAACTTTCGCACTCAATCGAGTGACACCTGTGCCGAAATACCCGTGTCCTAAAGTTCAATCCCACTAAAGCTCGTCTTGAAACATAATCTCCACGTTGAATATGATGAAGCAACTCGTAGATGTCGCCAAAGTCTGGTTCCCTTATTTTACAGATACTGGTGCCATGACGAAAATTATCTTCAGTGTGCGACTGTTTTTTTTTATTTTTTTATTTCATGGCATTATATTCTTTACAGACTCGGTCAAGTTGTGAACGCTTACACGAGAGGAAAGCACCAGAAACTCGAGGGCAGTAAACACTCGTACAAAAATTATGTGGAAAAGCGATTCGAATCCGTGTATGGATTCACGAAGAACTGAAGGAAAAATTGCTCCATTGTTTTTTGGGCCACAAACAATAAAATATCCTGATATATGCGCATAATTACACGAATTGCATAAATAAATATGAGCACCCCTTATGTTTTGAACTTCCTAAAATTTGAAAGAAAAGTGGTGCTTACCTTTGTTTTAAATACTGTACGTTAATCCCCGTTTTTATTTTCGTGCCCTCTGCTGGTTAATGTGTGAATTACTTGACCCAAGCCCAACTTTCGCACTCAATCAAGTGACACCTGTGCCGAAATACCCGTGTCCTAAAGTTCAATCCCACTAAAGCTCGTCTTGAAACATAATCTCCACGTTGAATATGACGAAGCAACTCGTAGATGTCGCCAAAGTCTGGTTCCCTTATTTTACAGATACTGGTGCCATGACGAAAATTATCTTTAGTGTGCGACTGTTTTTTATTTATTTTTATTTCATAGCATTATATTCTTTACAGACTCGGTCAAGTTGTGAACGCTTACACGAGAGGAAAGCACCAGAAACTCGAGGGCAGTAAACACTCGTACAAAAATTATGTGGAAAAGCGATTCGAATCCGTGTATGGATCTTCTCCCGACTGGGCGAAAGTCAAAGCTGATGACGCGAAAGATGAGGATGATCCTTTGTTGATGGTGAATTGTGATTGATTTAAAAGCAATCCGTATCCTAGAAGAAATATTAATTTATCCCTCTGTTTTTTTTGTTGTTGTTGAGAAAATAGAGATCGACTGTGTACTTGGACTCGAAAAGGGACGCCTTGCCAGCGGGTGACATTAGACTGGAATTTTGCGCAGAACTCAACTCGGAGCAGATTGAGGGAAGTTTGCAGGCTGTGCAGTTTCATCCGTGGTCGCAGGTGGCCCTGGTTGCCGGGACTGCAGTCGTTGTGTCCTTGTATCAGGTGACTGTGACAGAAACCAATTGCGTGTTTCACGCGACGAGGGTATTTAATTGGGATTTTTCTCACGTCGACGACGACGACGACGAAAGGTGGATGGTGTTGAGAATCCGAAATTGCAGAGCATTCGGTTTAAAAGCCGCGAATTGAGGTCGGCGACGTTTTCAGCGAATGGCAATGAAATCCTGGTTGGCGGTGGGATGAAGAGCCGGAATCTGTTCGTCTTTGACATGCTTTCCGGGGAGACTAAAACCTGCTTCTTTCCGAAAGATCGTCAATTTCCTTGTTGGCAAGTGAGTATTTTCTTCAAATTTTTCATTTGAAATTTTTTTTATTGAATTTTTTTGCTTTTTGTTGTCTAGCACATTGCCGTTCAGCCCGACGGGGAATTTATTGTTGGAAAAGGGTACGGTGATGAAGAGAACTGCGTGCATTTCATCAGTGGCAGTTCCAAGCAGTGGATTTCTACTGTCCGCTTGTCGGATACAGTCAAGGCCTTTTGCTTCAGTCCGTGCTCTAATTACTTATTAGTCACTGGAGGTGAGTGTCGTGAAAATACAGTCGAANCGTTCAGCCCGACGGGGAATTTATTGTTGGAAAAGGGTACGGTGATGAAGAGAACTGCGTGCATTTCATCAGTGGCAGTTCCAAGCAGTGGATTTCTACTGTCCGCTTGTCGGATACAGTCAAGGCCTTTTGCTTCAGTCCGTGCTCTAATTACTTATTAGTCACTGGAGGTGAGTGTCGTGAAAATACAGTCGAATTTTGTTGCAACGAATCTCGTTGGAACCAATTTTTTTTTTTTTTTGTCCCAGCAGGTTCTCCTAAAAGACTATGTTACAGAAGTTTTGTTTCAACAGACTCAATTTAATCTGTAATCTGAACGTCACGCAGTTTTTTGGTTCTGAATCTGTGCATGAGTTGTCGGAATTATTTGATAGTTTGCAGAAAATTAGGAAAATAAAAATTCTCATCATTTTGCTGCATTAGAACGGGTAAGAAAGCAAGACTTCCTGGAGTGAAATTTTAGTATTCGAGAGAAAACGCTGCATGACAAATTTCGTTTTGCTTCGATTGAGAATGTAAGCCTTTCTTCCAAATAAACGTATCAGGAAAAAAAATCATCAGTTTCAATTGCCAAACCATTTTATTTCTGTTTGAATGAATGAGTTGGTTTGGACAGAAAAATGTTCCATGTATGTTATTTTTTTATTGTATTTTTCAAAGACAAGCGGTGAAGTACTGTACTGTGTATTCGAAATTTTTCCTCTTAATTTCATCAGATAGACTCGAAAATATGCCGGGTGTAGAATTATTTTTTGTAAGAACACTTGTTATTTCTTACCCATTTTGTGCCAAATTTCTGTCTGAAATGTGTTGAAAACCAAGAGTCTCAATACTGTATAACGAATTTTTATAACGCGTTTTTTCTCAGGTATCTGCAAATTCGTTATAACGAAATTTTACTGTAATTACTGATTTTGATAAGCTCAGTGGAGCCTTACGATGAAGAATGTTTTCTTGCTTACCTTTTATGGGAGTCATTTTCAATTGCAATACTTTTCTGACATTGGAAAAGAAATTTGAAAAGTGATGCATTCCACGTATTGAAATATTCAAATTTTTAATACATTACTAAATAAATTGTGGTGTTTTTTGAATTTATTGAGTCTTGGTGTCCTCGGGTCAAGACATAATTTCGAAATTTTGTCTCATAATTTCAACCTGCGTTTCTCATGCTTTGCAGATGGAGGATATATTCATGTGGTGGATGCAAGGTTGCGAAGGTGCGTGAAGCGGTACAATGACAGTGGTTCCTTGGTTGGAACAGCAATAGCCTTCAGTCCTTGTGGGAATTTGTTGGCTGTTGGCAACGATTCCGGCGTCGTGAATATTTACAATGCCGAGTCCTTGTTGAATGACGTGTCGAGTAAAAATATGGACCCGGAACCGATGAAGACGATCATGAATCTTGTCACTACCGTGGACATCTTGAAATTCAACCACTCGTCGGAGATTCTGGCAATGGCGTCTTCGAGGAAAGAAAACGCTGTGAAATTGGTATGCATGAGGGAATTGGAAGAATCGAGGATGAAAGATTTATTTTTATTTATTTTTTATTCAAGTGGCATGTGCGAAGCAGAACGGCCTTCAAGAATTTCCCAGCACCAGGCAAAAATTACGGCAAGATTATGGCGTTGGATTTTTCTCTCCATTCGGGATTTTTATCGTTTGCAAACAACAAGTGGAAGGCCAAGTTGTTCAGGTATTTAATCATCATTCGATCACCTGCTGTTGAATCATTTCTTGAACCATCGTTTTTTTCTTTCTTTTCTTTTCTTTGCTTCACAGGATCCCGTTTTATCCAAGTTTTTGATGAACACTTCTTGGCTCTTGTTGGAAATGAATTGTTTGAAAATTTATGCGACTTATGTTCACTCACGTTTTGGAAAACCAAGTAAGCGATTGGAGTTTTCAAGAGAAGCAAGTGGGGAAAACGGCAAAAAAAAAAGCTTGGGCTGTCTCGATACTTGCTCATTTGAGACTCACTCAATCGTGAGCAAACCTTGTGCTTGGCCAATATTGTTTTTCTTTTTATTTTGTGAACCAAAACTGGTGTATTTCTTCTTTCTTCCTTCGTCGCCAGACCAGTGAAAAAGAAATGTTAATATGAATGAAGAGCGTAAAAAGTTGCGGAAAATGACGGTGACCGAGTTGGAAGAGTGTCTTTTGCGGCAAAAACGCATGATTGCCAACGCTTCGCTGCTAAAAAATCTTCCAGACGGCGGGGAGAAGATCAAGAAGAATATTTTCGAGTTGGAAACCCGGCTGAGGCAGGAAAGAAACTCGGGTGTTTCGAATTACTCTTCTAAACTCGCAGAGTCCCTGGCTGCCTTTGAATGGCGTCAGCACAGAAACCCCGTCGAAGAACAGATGAAAGAGGAGGAGGAGGATGATGAAGAAGAAGGACTCTGTTTAGAAGACAGTGAAAAGACGTTGAAACTCCTGGCCCAAGTCGCTCGTCCACCAGAGGCCAAGAAGACCGTCGTCGACAATTACGACGCGGAACTCGATGGATTAGCGGAAGCGTTCATGAAGACTGTGAGAATCGACGACGTGGTTCGTCATTCTGCTTCTACGACGCGACCGAAATTCAAGCCCTACGCTTTGCCGCCGGAAAAGGCTAAGCCGTCGTGGAACCACGAAAGGAAAATGGAGTTCATCAGTCTCGCAGACAGCGTGCATTTGCACGAAGAAGCTGAAGCGAGGAAAACTGAGAAAGACCGTGTGCAAGCTGCGAAACTACTGCGACTTCATCGTATCAAAAGAGAAGAAGAGGAGGAAATCCCGGATTTGTACTTCGAAGGCATGGGTGAAGCCGAGGCTATCGGGAATGTTGAACCGGAATACAGTAGTGAAGACGATGAAGAAGCTCAGTTTACGTCTTTGAAACATTTTTTAAACGATCATGAAGTCGCGTAGTCCTTTTTCTTTAATTTTTTTCGTGTGTTTCAGTCCTGCTGCTGTGAAATTTGTGCCACAAAGCTGGAGATTTCTGATCTGACCTATTTTTCACTTTGGGTTCAGGTTATATTTGTAATTCGCTAAAATCGTAAATGTGGAGCATGCTTTCAATTTTCGGTTGGTTCTTCCTTATTTTTTGTCACTAAATTTTACACTTTTTCTGCTGCCATTACCCTGAATGTCCACTGACCAAACTTTTTTCTTATATAAACAAACATAGGTGTCGCATCTGTTGAATGCGAGTTGAGTTGGTTTAGATTGCTGGGTTGGAGAATCAGGCGACACCTGCCGGACGTATTGGCGGTGCGGAAAAATACGGACTTAATGTAACTGAATTATGAGCAATTGGAATAACTTTTTATGAAGGTTAGGCCACGTGTGCCTATAAATTTTCTCAGACTTTTTGCAACGTAATTTGAAGAGAAGGATTGGAAAGATATTCTGGGTAGCAGTGGAATACAGGTGGTACCCTGCAATTTGACCCTAAGTTGCCAGGCTACAGTCAAATTTTTAAAGTACCGGTAGTTGAATTTCGAGACAATGTCAAATTTGATGTTTCCTACGTCAAATTTTGTTTTTTAATCTCTCTGCAGGTTGAATTGCAGGGCAGAGGTCAAATTGCAAGTTTACATCCCAGAAGATTTGACTGTCTAAGTGTGGGACAGTCAAATGCTAGGTACCACCTGTAACTTGAAGCATAGCAAAATTCTGAGTAAATTTTAGTGTTTGTTCAGTTTAAGAGTCATCAGAAGATGTCTACGACTCTATGTAGCACGATCTTGTCAGAGAAAAGCCATTTGGACCAGGAAAGAAACTTGGTTGAAAAAATGTATCACAACAAATGAAAATAACATTCTTGATATTTGGCAGCGAATTAAACAATTTGTTGCAATCAACATGTCTTTATAATAAGATTTTACTTTATTTAAAAATGCGTAGAAAGATTCCACCAGAAAGTACCCTTGCTTATTCAGCTTTGTGGCTCATTTCTTTTATGTTTCAGTTGGTTTTTGGGGCCTTGTGATATTTTTACCATTGTTCTCTTGCGAAAAAACGTGCAAACATCTCATTCAATTTCGATTATCTGAAAAGTCATGGCGAAAACGTTCTTCTGCAGAAATGTACCCGAAAGCTGGTTTACTTTTGTTATTGTTGGCTTTGTCGGCGCGTTCGTGTGCGGATTGCGGTGCGAAAGAAGAACAAACCTGTGGTTGTAGCACCAATTCTAGGGATGGTAAACCATCTGACAAGTATTCTGCGAATGCAAACAATGACGGAAGTCTGGTATCTTCTGGTGATACGGATGATCCCTGGAACCTAGAGGAACGAACGAATGAGATGGTCCATGTCCCGGGTGGAATATTTTTGGTTGGAACGGATAAACCCGTGTTTATTGCTGATGGCGAGTCGCCCAGGAGATTTGTCGAGGTTCGTGATAGTCGTTTGTTTTTAAACTTTACTATGTATTTTTCGCAACGAGAACTTATACAAAATAAGGTACATTTTTTTGCTGCTTGGATTCACGATTTTTATTCCTATGGGCACTGCATGGAATAATTTCAAGGTATGAAACTTTATTTGCTGCTTTTCTTACGAATTGAAAAGATCCTCAAAAATAAAAGGCGTGTAAGTTTTACTCCAAATTTCCCGGATGGACAATTTCTTCCTGAGAAAGAAATTGTGCAAAATCGTTTCTACAGATGCTGATTGTGAAAAAAATGCACGCATTAAGGCGAATTCGATTTTGAAATGTCGTTGATTTTATTTTATTTTTATATTGTCAGATCGATGACTTATGGCTTGACAAGTACGAAGTCTCAAATGCGGAATTTGCGCGCTTCGTCGCAGCGACACAGTATGTTACCGAGGCAGAAACGTTTGGCAACAGTTTCGTCCTTGAAGCCCAGGTGTCGCCTGAGGTCAAGGCCGGCATCAAATCCGCCGTCGCAGCTGCGCCTTGGTGGCTGCCAGTAGATGGCGCTGACTGGCGGCATCCCTCTGGGCCTGACTCTCGCTTGACCTGGAATCACCCGGTTGTCCACGTGTCGTGGAATGATGCTGTAGCGTATTGTGCCTGGGCAGGGAAAAGACTGCCGACCGAGGCTGAATGGGAAATTGCGTGCTCTGGGTCCAAAGATGGCGATGAGGAGAAGTTGTTTCCCTGGGGCAACAAAAAAACACCTGGTGAGTGATTTGGGAGGCTGGGGGTTTTTTTTTTTTTACTTGATTTTCTTTGGAAACCCGTGGTGCTGCATGAAAATTTACAGATCAGTGGTTTTTGATTTCAATACAATATCTTCCCATTGAAAATATGTCCTAGCTTCAAATGTGCGAATATTCATGAGGCGGAAAGGGGAGGGTTTTTGAATATGTTTATTCCTGTATTTAAAAATATGTTTCATCCGCATTTTATATATGCTTTTCTGTGACACAACTACACTCTTCTTGTGCACGGTTTTTCTAGTTTTTCTATTTTTAGAAAGGTTTATTTCATCTTCACTTGCTGCATTGAAAAATGAATTTCATTTTCACTTGAGATGTATCCTCCAATGTGTGTTCTCTGGATGGATTTGAAGCATTTTTGTATTTTTTTCATCAGTGCTACTTCCATATAACACTGTAAAAACATTTTGGGCACATAAAATATGCAGAAATACCTTATTCTGATTGTATTTGATGTTCTTGAATTTTTATTTTCCATGTTCAGTTTTTTTTTTGGGTTCGCAGAACGGATGGAATTCTTCGCCATGAAAGTCTAAGGGAAAATCAATTTTTGAAACCAAACTTTTGTCTGGAGCCAATCAAGTTTGTTAACTGAGGGTTCACTGTATTTTTGGAGTGCTTTTATGTTAAAGATAACTTCTATGTGTGTTACGTATTTTTATCCCTTATCAACTCTTTGGCTGTTTGTAAGAAGTTGGAGTTGAGTGGCTCGAACGACAAAGTTTATCTGGTGAAGGTAAACTTGCATCGTCTCGAAAGTCCACGTGCATCAGGAAACTTCAGATTACCTTAGATGACAGTATTCTTTTTTTTTTTTTTTATGTCGCCAGGTCATCACAAAATGAACATCTGGCAAGGCAAGTTCCCAACCAACGACACTGGGGACGACGGGTTTGCAGGCACAGCCCCAGTGGCGGCATTCGGCACCCAAAACGACCTGGGACTCTGCAATCTCATCGGCAATGTGTGGGAGTGGGTCGAGGACTGGTGGAAGATCAACCACCGACCCGCGCCGAATCCGGAACAGGCGCCCAAGAACCCTGTCGGCGGCGGCATTGGCAGGACCGAGGAGAAGGTGAAGAAGGGCGGCTCTTTCATGTGCACCAAAGAGTATTGTTACAGGTACAGGTGCGCCGCGAGGTCGCAAAACACGCCGGACAGTTCTGCCAGCAACCTGGGTTTTCGTTGCGCGTCTTCGTCGCCTCCTGTTCTCGATGAGCATCCGGTTCCTTGAGAACACGGGGTAGACATTTTTACTCACGAAACGCACGCAATATTGTTGGCATTTAAAAGAAGAAGAACAATTTTGGAAAAGACTAGTCTCTGCTTGACGAGAAACAAAATAAATTTTTTTTTTGTCTTCCGGAAAAAAAAATGTATACATTTGAACGTATGTGTAAATTGCACTTCCCGTTCGTTTTATGATGCAATAATTTACATTATTGGGTCCTTTAATGACGAACTATCCGAGGGTCCGCTCTTCAGAAAGGTTCGTTATGAAGTGAGAGTTGAAAATATTTTTGCACGTGCGCATTATTGACGACGAGAAAATTTTGGCGCAATCAGGAGACGGTGGTTTCTGTGATAAAGAAAAGCGGAATAAAATGTTGGGAATTTTCAGCAACAACAGAAAATTGGAATGCAGTGTGTCCTCGCAAAACGAAACTAATCCGTTCTTGTGTGGAATTTTGGTAATGCGAAACGCAATTTCCCCTGAGGTTGCATTGTATTTATTCAATTTGTTCCATACGCTTACCGAAAGGCCAAAATAAACAATAGAAACTGCGTGAAACTGCGTCAAGTTTTCAGCCTAAAAAAATGTGAATTTTAAATGCATTAGTATAAAATTGAAGCACTTTAGTCCTGACAATTTTGTGCTCTGGGCTTTCCGAATTTCATTAATTTGAAAGGCAAAAAGAGGCATAATTTTTCCCTTTTTTTTTTTAATTCCCAAGTTTTGCTCGAGAGCTTTGTGAAATTTGAGCAATTTTTGGCTGAAAAATTTCGTTATGCGAGTCACTACTTTCCCATGGAAAGTTTTGTTCCGTTCTGCGGGGACTCGATACAGTACCTGCTCCTTCATTGTTTTAAATTTTCGGAATCAAGTTCCTCCAACTTGAAATAGAAGGATGTTGTTGAGCCGCGTTTTCGGGCGTTTGGCGCGGATTCGAAAATTGCACGTTAATTGTCCTGTGGTGCTGGAACATTGTGCAGGTGTGAAATTAGCGCATCGCGGGTGTCTCTGTGGTCAGTTCACTGTTCGGAATCGGCTCGTCTGTTCTTTGCCGGCTGTCAACATGGTGAATCCCCACGTCCTCGAGAAGGCCACCAAAGTGATTCAATTGGACGCGAAAACGGCATTCGATGCCCTGGACGCGAAACAACAGCTTTACTCGCATCACATTAGTCGGGCTTCGTGGCTCGGGGGACTCATTGTTTTGCACCAGGTCTGCGATTCATTTTGAATTTTTTTTTTTTTTTTAATGCAGTTGAACCTCTCGAAAGTGAATGTGAATTCTTTTATAGATCCTTGTCTGGAACCCTGCACGAACTATATGAATGATAGATGTCCCTTACTACCTCAGATCTCCAGAATTCGAATTTTCCGGGGCTTATTTTGCTATTTGATTGACACAGGAAAGATAAATTCAATAAAAATAACTTGTGTTTTGAAAAAAAAAATTAAGGAACAATTGGGTGAAGGAACATTTTTCCTACAAGTTCAGCATCGTGTCAACATTTTTTTACATGACTTAAAGGCCGAAACGATCAATATTTTTCACTTTCTGTAATTTTTTTTTAATGTGAAAAGGCTTGTATCCCGAATCCAATTTTTTTTTTACTGCTCGTTCCTTCAAATTCAATGTGTCACATTAATTGCTGAACGTGTTGTAATGATGGCAGTTAAATTTTGAAGATCTTTTCTTATATCGATTATCTGTATAAAAAATCAATTTATACAATTTTTGGAACATTTTTTAAAATTTATGATGAAAATTGTTGAAAGAAATTTTAATCAATGAACAAAATTAATGAAAGAAATTTTTTTACGGAATAATCGGGTGAAGGAACATTTTCTTCCAAGTTCGGCACCGTGTCAAAACCTTTAAACATCAGTTCAATGCCGGAAAATCACCATTATTCTCTTCCTGTAATTGCTCATTTTTTTAATGGGAAAAAGGCTTGTTTCTCTGATTCACATTTATTTTTATTTTTTGCTGGTTCCTCGAATTTCGACGTGTGACTACTTGCTGAACGCTTTGTAATAATGGAAGGAAAATTTTGGAAACTTTTGCATCCAATATTTTAAGAGTAAAATAAAAACTTGAGATTGTCACTCGATATTGCGTATGTTCATCGCTTGAATTTTTTCAGACTTCCCCTGAAGCCCCGCTGATTTTCGTGACGCTGCATCGTGCATTTGCATCTCAAACTTTCCAAGAACTTGCGGATGCCGTGAAAGCTGCAGGAATTTCTGATGAAGACTTTCACGTGAGTTTCATTCATCATTCAGTGAAATAAAATTGGAAAAGAAAAAAAGCGTGACCAATGTCTTCTGGTATTTTACGCAGGCTATTGAGCTCTACATGGCCGGCTTCTATGCGAATATGGGCAATTACAAGGGCTTTGGCGACATCAAATTCGTGCCTGAAGTGAGCGTGGAAGTCATGGAGAAGTTCATCAAGGCATCCAAGGCCTACAAGCAGGATCCCAAGGGCATGGATGAGTTGTGGGGCCTCATCAAGGGTCCTTTGTTCTGCTTGAAGAAGGGTGTGGAGTTCCTTGGGTTCAATGGCAAGGTTTGCATGAAATACACGCGCGGAAATTAAAATACTGCATGGAGGGAGGGATGCTAAATTACTGGCCTTTCCGGTCCTACAGGCCTTGTGGATTTTTTTTTTTAGGAAAAATTTGTGGCATCCTCGAGACTGCCATTTTTGTAATTTAGCGAAACGAGGCATTTTGGCATTCGTCAGAAAAAATTTCATTTTTGGCAATTGGTCTTGTCGAATAAGTTGTGAAAGGAGAGGAATTTCCTCTTGGAATGAGTGCAGAAAATTCTCACTTCTCTCACGACGTTTTTTTTTATTGTGGGTTCCAAGTGTAACCCTTTTTTTATTTAACATAGTTTCTTTAATCGCGTGGGAATTACCTGGGTATCTTCTATTTTCGTGGGCCTTGAATTTTTGCGGGCTTCGTAATTTGATTTCGAATGCGTTTTCCAGGGGGTGACGACGTATTTCTCCAGCAACTGCACTGAAGAGGATTCCAAGCTTGTCGGCAGATTCATGACTTCGAAGAACATGGGCATGTACATCAACAGGGTCTTCAAAACGATGCAAGACAATAAACCTGTGTATGAGGTGAGAATCACATGTTTGTAGTTTCAGTTTTGTGTCCAAATAAAAGAAATGTTTAAACCTTTTACGTTTTAGATTAGATTCCCGTCTGCCAAATCAGACCCTTTTCCCAAGAAAATTGACGAGGAGTTCGAAGGTTCGAGGTTTGTGGTGACGAGAGGAGATTATGATGAGTTGCTGCAGCTGGTTGCTGATGAACTCAAGAAAGCTGCTGTGAGATTTTTTTTTTTTCTTTTAAAGGGGCTTTCGTTTTACCTGTGAGTGTTGGCTTTTATTGAATTTTTTTCGGGATTTCAGGATCACGCGGGAAATGATAATGAAAAGAACATGTTGCTCAAGTACTCAGAATCGTTTGAAGACGGCTCTTTGGATGCTCATTACGACGGTTCTCGGTTTTGGATTAAGAACAAGAGCCCGGCTGTGGAAACGTGAGTGGAAAAGTGTATACTTGGGGCAAGAAAGTCGGAATTTTTCCAGGGACTGAAAAATCTTCGATGAGGTAGATTTATCAAAATTTTTTTAGTTTTGTTTCCGTGAAGAACGAATTTGGGCGCAGTTTTGCAGCTGCTCGAAGCACGCATTAAAACTTGTTGGTTGTTTTTTTTTCGGAATTTAGATTGCTGATGCTTTGGGATGATAAATTTTTTAAATGTTACAGAACTGCAACAGGGAGAAAGGACGTAATTTCTTGGGTACAATCTGGAATTTTACTTTTTTGTGAGCTTCAATTCTGCATGCCAAGGGTAGAGTATTCTTTTCGTTTTTGATTTTTCAGGATTTCTGCGGATACTTCGCAGATTTTATCTTAATTATCGAGTATAGGAAGTTCTCAAGCATATTGCAGAAAATTTGGTGAGTCTCCGCAAAGAAAAAGTCCCACGTAAAAGAATTTCTAGTGCGAATGAAGTGACTCAAATGGCGAAATTGCGTCACGTGACAAAATGTTTCGGCCAAAAAATGCTTGCATTTTGTGAAATTTTACCTCGAACTTCGAAATGCTTTATATAAATCGAAAAAAATGAGGAAAAGTGAGCTTCTCGCATTCAAGTTTTTTATAAATTGAAAAATCAGAAGAGTCGAGGGCAAAACATTTTAATGATTACTTCAGTTCCAAACTTATTTAAAGGATTATTGTGGTCGTTTGATGATTGAAATAAATTGAATCACTAGGTAAGTAATCTTGAGAGAGAACATGTTTCTTGGAACGAAACGTAACGAGGAACGGATTAGTTTCCTTGTGCGGGAAACTGATTTTTATGTTGTAGAACACGTGCCTGACTGAAGGAAAAAAAATTGGCATCACTCTTGAAACGCGAATGAATTTTCAGTCACGTGTATATATTTTTAATCTCCGTTTATGCTTAGGTACATTGGGTTCATCGAGACGTACCGAGACCCTGCTGGAGTTCGCGGCGAGTTTGAGGGCTTCGTCGCCATGGTGAACAAGGAAATGTCTGTGAAATTCTCTGCTTTGGTGGAAAATGCGGAAACGCTCTTGAATCACATGCCCTGGCCCAAGGAGTTTGAAAAGGACAAATTCCTGAAACCGGATTTCACGTCTTTGGATGTCCTCACATTTTCTGGTTCCGGGATCCCCTCGGGCATCAACATCCCCAATTGTGCGATTTTCTTTTTCAATTTTTCGCGAATTTGAATGACGTTTTTCTTCACAGATGATGAAATACGACAGTACGAGGGTTTCAAAAACGTCTCGTTGGGGAATGTCATTTTCGCCAGTTCTAAAGTGATCGCCGGCGATATTTCTTTCCTGAACGACGATGACGCAAAGTTGGTTGAGAAGTACGGGGTTCAGTCTTTCGAGGTTTGTGGATGGATTCCTGCCAAAATTACCATTTGTTAGACTCGACCTGTGTGTGTAAATTGTGCAGAAGAACGAACTCGAATCTAAATTGTTTTTGTTGGTACAAAAAGAAACTTGGCCCAATTCGAAGATGATCATTTCTTCTGAGAAAAATACTGTGAATGAAGATTAGTTTATCGAAAGAGTATTTTCAAGATGCTGTTTCAATGTACTCTACAGAAGGTATTTTCATCCTTACTTCATAATATTCTGATCAATGACTGAAAATCGGGGCATCTCGATAATTTCTTGACGAGCAGTTGCAAGTTGGCCTTCACGAACTGCTCGGCCACGGAAGCGGGAAGTTGTTCGTCAAGGACACTTCTGGCGGATTCAATTTTGACAAGAACAACTTGGTGAACCCGTTGACGGGATCGAAAATCACGTCTTGGTACGAACCCGGGGAATCGTACGACTCCAAGTTTGGCGCGTTGGGGAGCGCGTATGAGGAATGCAGAGCAGAAACAACCTGCTTGCAACTTTCGCACATTCCGGAAGTACTCCGGTATGTTATTATTTATAGTAATTATTATAATTTCTGGTAAAGATAACAGACTTCATCGATACTTTTGGCATAAATTTATGATGCTGAAAATTTCCCGAGGACCGCAAAAAAAATAATAATAATAATAATACTAATAAATAAAAACTTCTGCGGACGACGGGTTGGGCAACACTGCATATTACAGAGGACTATATTGAATGTTTACTTCGACTTGTCGAGGTTCAACTGTGAATTGCGCGTGAAAACCTCGTCTTGACCGCAATTTATTTTTTTTAATATTTTTTTTTTTGCAGTATATTTGGATACGAAGGCGAAGAAGCCGAAGTGATGAAGAGGGTCTCTTGGCTGACCATGGTGTATTCCGGGTTTGCCAAGGCCCTGGAAAGTTACCAGCCGTCGACGAAGGCCTGGCTTCAGGCCCATTCTCAGGCCAGGTACGTGATCTTGAGAGTCTTGCTGGAAGCAGGTCAGGACTTGATCACTGTCGAAGAGGTCACCGGCTCTGACGGGAAGCCAGACCTCAGGCTGCAAGTGGACTACTCCAAGATTGACTCTGTCGGTCGACCCGCTGTGGCTGCCTTTCTGAGAAAACTCCAGGTACCGTATAAATACAGAACAGTTTAGGATTTGTATTTTATGGATATTTATTTCTTGGAATGGCTCAAAAACAAAAACAAAAATTGTCCTCTTATTCTTAAATAGGCATATTTCTTTGTGCATACATTATACATAGGATTATGTTAATTACAGTACAGTGGATCTCGAGTATTTGACAAAACTTATTGCCGTAGTTTCGTTGTGTGAAACGCGTTTTGTCGTGAAATTACGGTTTATCTTGTAATTGATTTTTCAGAGGAACACCGTGAATTTCATATTCAGCATGAAATCGAAGAAAATTCTTGCTTCTAAATTTATAAATTTAAAAGACAACGTTGATGCTTCTCATATGTCTTGTTTATTGATTTTTGAAAAACTCTCGTTTCGATTCAAAACTTGTCGAAATTTTGCGCATTTTTTTTTTGTAGGTTATGGTTTTCAATTTTTTGTATAAAAATGTTTTCGCGTGAAATAACTTCGTAATGTGAGACATATTTTCTCCCCTAACATTTTCTTCATGCGGATTTTTCGGTATGCGGAGACAAACTGTTCAGTACAATACTGTATAGAATCAGAAGTAAAAGGAAAAGATTACATTAAAAGTTTTCATGATTTTTTATTTCTAAGAAATTTGAACATCCATTAATTTGCAAATTTGTATTCCTATGTTCAATAATTTGGCCGTGTAAATTTCAAATGTCATTATAATTTTCGACTGAGTCTTGAGAAATCAGATGAGAAAAAAAGCATACAATACTCTCTTCAAGCAGATGGTTGAAAAAATTCTGCCAATCTTGGGGATATTTTGAAATGGTGTCAAACATTTGAAGCGGTTTCTTCAAATTTATTTTACTGTAGTTGAAAAGCGATTGATTATCTATGTGCAACGTGTTTCTAGGTGTACAAATCATGCGGTGACATTGCTGCAGCCAAGGAGATGTTCATGAATTACTCCGAAGTTCCGGACGAGGGCAAATTCCCATTTGGGAAATGGCGGGAAATTCTCATGGCTCGCAAAAAGCCGAGACGTTTGCTTGTCTGTGCCAACACTTCTGTCGAAGGTGGGCTTTCTTTGTTTGAAAAAAAAAGAAGAAAAATTCGTTTCTTTTTTCCTGGGGGGAAGTTTTATTTTTTGGTGAATGTTATAATGTTAAATTATTTCAGGCGGGAAAGTGCAACTCAAGTCATATGATGGAGACGTGGTCGGAATGATCCAGTCATTTGTGGATAGATACCCGCTGTCTTCGAACGATGGTCAGGATTTGACTCAAGTTGTGCACAAGCTTTGGCAAAAGGATCAGATCCACTTTCCTCTGTTGGCTGATGATGCTTGAATTATTATTGATCTTCGAAAAGGCGTACTGTACTTTCCCTATATATTCTTCATTGTCGTGTGTCATCTTTTGAAATGCGAAGTACAGTGAGAGAAATTTCGTGAAAAATATATTTTTTTTTCGACTGATGAGTGATTTCGTCGATGGGAATTTTTGTAGGGAGATTTAAACGTTGCATTTCTTCTTCTTCTTTCGCAGGAATTACAGGAACGGGAAAATGGGGCTTTTGACTCCTGCCGGAGGATCGATCGGGAAGTTCTTGAGGAGCTCGTTGAAGAGCAGCTGAACAGGTCCTTGGATCAGGTCAGCCATGAAGTCCTTGATGAACATGGACACGATTTCCACGAGAATCTCTGTGATAAAGTCCAAGCTTCCCAGGGCTTCTATGTTCACAGCTGTTGGTGGAGGGAAACGGTGTTTATGGCAAGACTCTTGAGTGATGACACTGGAGATGGGTCAAGTTATTGAAGCTGTATATATACACTCACTGACTGTTCCAACATCATGCAGGTCCAGGGACTTGAGCTGCAGAATGAGGTCATCAGGGTGGGCTACAGCTGAGAAGCTGATGGCTTAGTTGGCAATGGTCAAAACTGCTGCAGGGTGAATGTTGGCTCCAAGTGCTTCAATTTGCAAGGTTGTCCCTGAAGAATATACAGTATTAGAACTGAGTATAGTGACTTCAATTTTCACTTTTTCAGAGCTAAGATTACTTTTTCTTCTACCTATTGAACAGTGCCAACAAATTGCATCAAACAGGAACTTTGGTTTATTTGTACAATTACAGTTGGAGTCTTTTTGATTTCCTCTGATTAAATACACTGTTGCACTTGTATCTATATACAAAACAAATGCATGTTTTGTTCTAGAGCGAATCTTGTTGTGGAGAAACTCCAAGAATGGGACCAAAAAATTTGTAAATGAAAAATGTCAGACAAAATTTCTATAGAGAGAATGCGTCTATACCTGTGCTAAATTCATTTGAGTACAATATTTCTTTCAACTTCTGTGCATATAGAGGATGAGCAAAAATTTGCCACATTTGCCTAAAATAATACATGCTGTACTTTGGTTTTATAATTTACACACGTACACCCAATTTTATTTTTACTGAATTAGATGATGTGCTTCTGAAATTTTAAGATTAATTGTTCTTTCGGAATGAATTCACTTGTATGTGCCTGACCTAAAACTTAGGCCATAGAAAATTGCAAGGAGTTTTCTCTTGGGGAGATTTTTTTCATTTTCTTGTTATATAACATTTGATGTGCATGCCCCTGAGTTCTCGGCGGCTTTTGTTGTGTGGAAAACGATATTTGAATATCTGGATGCCTTATATGAAATAGTTGATTGTTGGATAGCATTATTTATGATACACTCACCACCAGACAAATGCGTGATTTCTAGATCACCACTGAGCATAATGTCCCCATTGGCATCCACCACAAGAGTAGCATCTCCCACTCTGTTCAACCTGGACAAGCCCATGATGTAGCCATTGACCAGTCCAACACTGCCGTCAACCACAAAGCTGAACTCAAACACTTGATCAGGCAGGTCCAAGGGATCGTAATTAGCCTGTTATTGACCAGAATTATTCATTTTTTGTTTGTTACTTCTTTTCAAATTGAACATGTGCCAATTAACCTCTTTCATAGCCTCTCCCAAGTTATCCAAAACTTGATTAAGGTAGGCATTCTCAGTGGCACCCCTGCTGATGATGGAGGCCTGGCATTGAGCAAGAGTTGTAAATAACAGCACAATTCCGCACAAGTACTTCATTTTGAAACGTCTCCTTAGAATTGAGTTGTCTTTGAATGACTACTTATTGTCGAATTTGCTCGACTAATTCATGTAACGTGATGTATACAGTATTCCTCATCCTGCTGCTGAATAAGATAATCGGATCCGTTTCTGTGGGAATTCCCACATATGTCGTGTATGCTTATGGATGCCAGCGATAAAACTGGTGATGTCTTCAGACATTAAATGGATGAATAAACTTTGAGATAAGGTATGTAATTTTTTGATTGACTGCAACATCGCATGAAAGAGAAAGCCATCAGCTGAAATTACGAAATCGCTTTGTATGATTCATAACTGCATCACTCTGTGACATAAAATGAGCGTACTTCGAAAATGAGTAAAATCGAAGATGGCGTGAACCAACGTGGACGCTCACGGTTATGTTTAGCTGAAATTACGAAATCGCTTTGTATGATTCATAACCGCATCACTCTGTGACATAAAATGAGCGTACTTCGAGAATGAGTAAAATCGAAGATGGCGTGAACCAACGTGGACGCTCACGGTTATGTTCATCTGCTGATATTCGTGGAACGAAAACAAAGTTGCCGTGGGCAAGGTTTGGTTCAGTGTTGGATCGTTGTGTGTGTGGTGAACTCAGATAGTGCAACAGTATTCTTGTTGGAGTTTTCTGTAGGAGTTCTTTACGCCAACTGTCCATGTCACTCCTGACGGTGATTTTCTTTGTTTTGCAGATGCGTTTTTGTTCGTTATGATGTGCGGAATGGCTTGCCCGAGACGCATCCATCCAACATCTGATTGCGAATTACCTTCGTGATAAAGTTGCGATACCCTTTGAGGTATGTCTCGTAGCTCTTCGAAATGCAGAACTAGTGCATTCGGAGTTGTGAACCTTTAAATAGGCGACATGGGGGACGAGGAACGAGAAAGACAACTGCGAGAGTTGGAGACTTTGATGAGGAGTCCCACCTCGCCGCTCTCGACAGATGGCTTGTTGGACGTGATCCAGGCGATCGTGTCCGACTGCGACAATCCCCATTTGAAACGCAGCAAGAATATCGAGTCATTCCTCAACCGCTATAAAGAATGTGCGGAGCAGATCGAACGGTTTCGAATGAAACCCGAAGACTTCCAAGTCATAAAGGTAAGTTGCCGATGAAGAATTTATCGTGGTCGAAAGTGTTGAGGTGTTTTGATTTCAGGTGATAGGCCGTGGTGCATTTGGAGAAGTCCAACTGGTGCGGAAGAGGAGTTCAAGGAAGGTGTTCGCCATGAAGCGATTGTCCAAGTTTGAAATGATGAAACGCAGCGATTCGGCATTTTTCTGGGAAGAACGCGACATCATGGCGAAGGCCAATTCGGACTGGATCGTCCAACTGCATTACGCGTTCCAGAATGACCGCTACTTGTACCTCGTGATGGATTTCATGCCCGGTGGTGATCTTGTGAACATGATGGCCAACTACGACATGCCGGAAAAGTGGGCCAAGTTTTACTGCGCCGAAATTGTGCTCGCCGTCGACGCCATACATTCCATGGGCTTCGTGCATCGCGACATAAAGCCCGACAATATGCTCGTGGACAAACACGGGCACTTGAAACTCGCCGATTTTGGCACTTGCATGCGAATGGAAGATGGACTCGTGCGGTCCAACACTGCTGTTGGCACCCCTGATTACATCTCTCCTGAAGTGTTACTCTCGCAGGTAAGCACTTGACATTTAGGATGAATTCCAAGCGTGATTTTTCGTCAGGATTCATCACCCGTTCTTGGGTGCTGTGAAACTATACTCATCATAGGTCGTAAATTATTAGTTGTTCGTACATTTTCTCGTTGGCTCATGTCCCTTGTTTTCATACGATGATCGATGCGTGTATCTATGACTTGACAAATTCTCTCTCTTCACAGGATGGTAAAGGCGAATATGGCAAGGAATGTGACTGGTGGTCCGTTGGTGTAGTTCTCTACGAAATGCTTGCTGGTGATACCCCTTTTTACGCCGAAAGTTTGGTCGGAACATACGGGAAAATCATGAATCACAAGAACTGCCTTACGTTCCCACCTGAGGTGAGTCCCAAGTGCTCATTTTCATACTATGCCGTATCTCATGATGGTTTTGTATTGCTGTTCGTTGTGTCAGGTGCATATTTCTGCAGAGGCAAAGGACTTGATCTCGCAGTTTCTCACTGACCGCTCGCAACGATTGGGACGCCACGGTGTCGAGCAGATACAGGGCCACAAGTTCTTTGCCAACGATCAATGGACGTTCGAAACAATTCGTAATTGCGTGCCACCCGTCGTACCGGAGCTTTCTTCTGACGATGATGCTAGGAACTTTGACGAGCTTGAAAAGGACGAAAATCCGGAAGAGTTCTTTCAGGTATGCATTGGAACTATGAGATTATTCACGGCGTTTGCAGTGTAATATGTTTCGCTGGTTGATTTCAGGTGCCGAAGACGTTTGCTGGCAATCAGTTGCCTTTCGTGGGATTCACCTTTTCTTCGGACTACGGGTTCCGGAATCAGTTGTCGCTGATTTCCTCATTGTCGCTCAACAACAATAACAACAACATCCGGTCGGACGGCCTGGGTTTATCGAACGGTGATGTTGGGTTCACTGGGAAACGCGTGCCCGGTGATGGGGAGCAGCCCAAAGAAGTTGCTGCTTGGCAACTCAAGTACAACGAAACCCTGGCCGCCATGCATAAACACAAGGTGAGTTTTTTGTACTTTTTCTTTTGGACATTGCATTTTTTATCAAATCATTTGTGTGTTTCTGTTGTAGGAAAGCGAAGCGAAGGCGGTGGAAGCGTGTCGACAGCTTCGCGAACAAGTTGCATTATCGGACCACGATTTGAAAGATGCTCGGAGACGCGTAGAGCAAGAGTCTGAAGCTCGTCGCGGACTGGAGAAGCAATTTGCCGACGTGTCGCGGAAACTGCAGGAAGAAATGAGCAGACGCTCGAAGGAGCAATCGTCTTCTTTGCAGAGCAACGAACGCGTGGGTCAGCTTGAACGCCAGCTTGAAGAAATCACTCGGAAACTAGCAATTGAAGGAGACTCTTTGAGCAAAGCGAAGAAAATGAATCAGGAAATGTCTGTTGCGTTGCTCGGGAAAGAACAAGCTTTGGGTGAGTTCATATTGCTTTTCTCGGTTTCGGGAAATTGCCCTTGTCACCTTGTTGTTCGTGGGTCGTGAGAAGATACTGATTTCATTTATACAATTCCTGTGAGTTTGGACATGTCACATGAAAGTAAAAACAAAACGCCCCCTACCGGGAGGAGCAAGTGTCCAAAGAAATATTTAAATGAACCTGATTTTCAAATTTTATGCGTGATTTTTCGTGCTTGTTTTTTCCTACACTCGCTCCTTTGTGATTATTCGATCATTATTCATTTGTGACAAATTCTAACTGATCCATCTTTTTTCGTGGCATTATCAGACTGAAATTTGGTCTTCGATGCCACGACGAAATTGGACTCCGCTCACTTTTGTCGCCCTTTCTCTGTGAAAAACGGAAACTGATACTTGCACTTCTGAAATTAGCTCGTATTCGTGCGTGTGTTCACGTCCGTTCATCGGATGTGTATCTTCGACCTTATATGTTTATTTTCATCTTTTATGTGGTGAGATTCGGAGAGTGAACAAAAACGGGTTTTGACATTGCAGGAGATGTCCAGAGGAAACTGCAAGCTGCGACAGCGTCTAGCGAAGAGCTGGAGCGTGCGAATGCAGCACTGGCTGCTCAAGTGCAGTCACTGCGCAGCAAACTCGCGCAAAGCTCCGAACAAGCCGCAGATTCCGAAGCGAAGAAATTGGCCTTGTTGGCGGAAGTGGAGTTGAAGAGATCCCAGGAGCAGGACTTGACCCGGGAAATGGACAACCTTCGAGCCCAGTTGGTGTCGTTGGACAAGGCTCGTGCCATGCTGGAAGTGGAGCTGGCTGGGAATCGACAGAAGCACGCTGACGAGCTGGAAGCCCAGCGTCAGCAGATTCAGTCCCTGCAACGGGAGCAACACCGAGTGCAGGACCGGGACGCCACCAGGCATTCTCTGCAGGCCAAACTAGAGCAAGAAACAGGCTTGCGGCAAAAGGCCGAGAGTCTGTGTCAAGAGAAGGAGCGCCAGCTGACGATGCTGGGTGTGGATTACCGACAACTGCAGCAGCAGATTGGCAAGCTGGAGGCCGACGCCCGGAAGGAGCTGGACAAGGCGGCGGCGTTGCAGGGCCAGCTGGACGAGGCGCAGCAGATGTGGAAGCAGGCCCAGGCCACGTCTGCGAGGATGCAGCAGGAGCTGGAGGCGGCTCGTTCTGTGGAGGCGGAGCTGCGGCGGCAAGTGGACGCGTTGCGGGACCGGGAAGAGAGGCTGGTGCAGGACGTGGCCGAGCTCCGGTCGGCGTCGAATATCGAGCAGCTGCACATGAAGGAGCTGCAAGACCAGTTGGAGGCGGAGCAGTATTTCAGCACTCTCTATAAAACGCAAATCAAGGAGCTCAAGGAAGATATCGATGAGAAGGTGATGACATGATTTTCTTTTTTAAGAAGGGCTTCGTGGTTTTTTGTGTGAATCTTCTCACGCCTGCTCAGTGAGGGGTGAGTTTCCCCGTTATGAGCAGGTTGCTTCATTCTGGCTAGGCGTCACTGGCAGAAAAAGTGAATTAGAAACTGAACCGCAACAACACGATTTTCCCCCTGTAGAACTTTTTTTTTTTGCTTCGTCGAAGTCCGTATCTAAATCCATTGGAAATAATGCAATAAAAATCACTCAAACTTTTAGGGGTTGTTTCTCAAATTTCCATAATTTGGATGTTCTGGAGACCTTTTAGCTATTACTTAATTGACACGGGAAAGAGGAAAGTAATGAAAATGTAACTTGATGCGTTTTGGGAGGATGTGAAAAACCAATAAATCCGTACCTTCCAGTTCAGCATCCTTTCAACTCATTTTAGAGCAATTTAAGGCACATAAAATCACTGATCGCAATTTCCTTTATTTCTATTTTCTTTTCCTCGACACAAATGATTGTTTGTCTGACTTGAAACCTCCCGAACTAAATTTCTCGGCCCCTCGAAATTCAAATGTACAATCATGACAGCAGCCCTTCTTCAATTCAGAGAAAATTCCCTGCGATGATTACAGAAGACGATGTCTTTCATGACGTTCATTTTATTTTAATGAAATACCAGTAGCACCTTCTGTACATGACGCTGTGTGAAGTGTCAATGGAAAAGCTCTTGGGTAATGTGGGAAAGCAACATGTCCATGCTTTGAGGAAGTACTGTAACAGAAAGAGCCAGTCGCAGTTGTAGTCCTTCCTTGATTTTGTTGAATTATCTCTGCCGAAATTTCGCTGAGTAATGTACTCATTTATTTATTTTTATTTTTTATTCGCAGGCGGCGAGCATGGGGGATTGGGCAGCCCGTGCGGAAGCAGCCTCGGCTCAACTACAGGACGTGCTCGCTGCTCAGGAGCAAGAGCATTCTGCTCGGAAGGCTCTGGAAGAGCGACTCGCGGACTTGGAACGACACCAGATCCAGTTGGGGTTCGAGCGTCAAAGCGAACTGGCCAAAGTGGAGGCGGAGTTTGAGGCCCGCGAATCCGAGCTCAAGTTGCGCCACGAACAGACGGATGCCGAGTCGTGGAAACGCGTTTCCGAGTTGGAGTCGCGTCTGGAACAGGCGACTCGCGAGGCGGCGGACGCCGTGTCGGCTGCCCAGGCTGCAGCTGCTGCCGAGGGCGGTGCGGACGTGGAGACGCTCAAGAAGCTGCGGGCCGAGCTGCACAAGGAGCAAATGCTGAAGCAGCAGGCTGTCAACAAGTTGGCGGAAGTGTTGAACCGGAAGCCCGTGACGAGGCCCAAGGGCAACGCGGAGAGTCGCAAGAAGGACAAGGAATTCCGCAAGTTGCAGCAAGACCTGAATCAGGAGCGCGAGAAATTTCATCGGGACACGGAGCGTCTGCAAAAGGAGATTCAAGACGTGCAATCCGCGTTGCAAGAAGAGGCGCAGAAGGCGTTGAGGATGAAGATGGAGATTGACTCGAAGGACTCTGAAATTGAGTCGTTGAGGTCCAGACTAGCCTTGATGAACTCGGAAACTGGGTCCATGAGTTCCGGCACTGGGGAGGACTCGGAAGAGCAACAGCACAAGGAGCAACAGCTGAACGTTGCTGACGCCAACAGTCGACTCGAGGGATGGCTCATGTCGCCAATCAAACAGAATTTCCGCCGCCACGGGTGGAAAAAGCAGTTTTGCGTCGTGTCTTCCAAGAAAATTCTGTTTTACGAATCGGAACAGGCGAGTTTGGGAGATTTTCACTCGCTTTTTTTTTGCGTCGTGTGAAAGACGCCGTTCCGAGACACCTAGAACATTTTTCAAGTTAAAAATGCTGAATTGTACTGTACCATACTTTTATACGTATTGAAAAATATGTGCGACAAAATTTTAGGTGAAAAATAATGGATTTTCGTTGTGATCGTGGCATGTGCGAAAGCTAAACTGAAATGTCATCCGAGAATTTGCAGATTTTGTAACCGTGAAGGCCGATTTTTCCTCAAATTGCTCTTATTTTTTTACGATATATTTTAATTTAAAAAATCAGTGTAACTCGTATCGCAGTAAAATCTCGTTACAACGAAACCATTGAGACTAGTCGAATATTTTGATGGTAAATGAAATTTCTTCGTAATGTAACTCGTTTAACTTCGCTCTTATAGGCTATGGACCTAAAGAACGACTCTTTTTTAAGCTATTCTACTTTTTATCGAGATTTTACTTGTTCCAGAGCAAAACGTGTTTTCAGTAGTTTACAATAGGATCTCGTTGAAGCGAATTTGTTTCTCCGGTCCTTTTCCTATAGCCACGATGTAATCTTAATTTCGTTTCAACGAATTTTCGTTTGTAATTAAGCCTTTTCATGTTCCCAGACGCTTCGCTGTAACGAGATTCTGCCATTTATTGTAGTTTTTAATTTAAATTTCAATGGCTGATACGGGATTAACCTTGAATAAGCGGTATTGTTGACGGTTGTTGAAAATGTTGCTTCCTTTAAGAGTGTAATGTAATTATGTGGGTTGGGATTGTGCAGAAGAAGCAGGCGCAGGACCCGTCGTTGGTGCTGGACCTGGACAAGCTGTTCCACGTGCGATCAGTCACCCAGGGCGACGTGATCCGGGCAGAGTCGCGAGACATCCCCAAGATCTTCCAAATCCTGTATGCGGGCGAAGGAGAAGCGCGGAAGGGGGGTCTGGGTGAGGACGGGAGTGGGACAGGAGGGGATGACGGCAGCGGAAGCGACGGAAAGCAAATGGCCGGCACCATCACCATGACGCACAAGGGCCACGAGATGGTGCAAATCACCTTCCATATGCCGACCAACTGTGACGTGTGCGCCAAGCCCGTGTGGTCCATGTTCCGGCCCCCGGCTGCTTTGGAGTGTCGTCGGTGTCACGTCAAGGTGAGTGGGGGAACAAACATACAGTACTGTAATGGGCCTTGTGTCTACATGTGTAGCTTTGCGTCTGAATGGGGGTTTTCGGATTTTTTAAATGTATTCAATTTGAAATGATGGAAATGGGCTCGAATTGAGTGCAATAGAGGATATGACCAATTGTAAAGGTTGAGTAACACCGTAACACCATCATCCACTGAATAATTTCAGTAGAAGGACACACTTGATATTGAAGCGACATCTGCGCGAAGGAAAACACGTCCAGCGCATTATTGAAGAAAATATACAGTACAGTATTTGAATCTCTTCTAGTCGGATCTCAAGAGACCAACGAACTAATTCGACTTTTTCAAAATAATTTGATTTTACAAAATTAAAATAAATTGAATAATTGATCTTTCTTCGCCCATAATTGTCTTGTGAAGATGTTGACAGGATGCTGAACTAGGAGGGAAGGATTCCTTCGCAGAATTGTTCTTTTACTTCTTTTCATTCCAAAATGATCCAAGTTAAATTTTTATTTTCATTACTTTTCCTGGGCTACAAAATAATAGCCAGATGCCTCCAGAAAATTCGAGTTACGGAGGTATTTAGTGAATTTTTTCCGAGGGACTTCAAACGAAAATAATTTGACTCGGGTAGTTTCGAGTTATCGAGGTTCAACTTATTTTTTGGGTTCCAGGAAATCTCGAGGGTTTTGCATGATTCTTCGTAGCTGTTTCGTAAAGGGAAGGAGCGATTGGTAGTTTTAAAAACTGATTTTAATGCGTAACAAATGTGTTTTCTTTTGAGCTAGTGTCTTTTTTTTTTAATGTTGTCAATTCGTGTCTTTATTTCCTAGGTGCACAAGGACCACGTGGACAAGAAAGAAGACTTGATCGCGCCCTGCAAAGTCACTTTCCAGGACAGTGCCAAAGAGCTGTTACTGATGGCCAGCTCGGAGGCGGACCAGCGCAACTGGGTTACCAAGCTGAGCAAGAAAGTGCAGAAGGGCGGCTACAAGGCGCACAGGGACCACATGTTGCACCAGGACCAGCAACTGGGTCTGTTGGCCAACAAGTCTGCCACGCTCCCGTCGAACACCCACCTCATGTCCAGCGGAGGGAAACAATGAAACACGTTTTCGTGTTTTTCTTGCATGAGTCAAAATTTAGCAAGTAAGCTAGCCATGCTTGGGATGGGACATTGGGAGGGCAAATCAGAAAGAATTTACATTCCGGAAACAGGTGGGCACCTTATTGCTCAGCGGGTGGATTTTCTGTTTTTCTTTTTTTTGTACTGAAACAGGCTTGGAATTCTAAAATGAGTACTCGTGAATTTAACCCTGGGGTTGTTTTTGCCAATGCTGCATTTTTGTTACTACAGTACTACAATACAGTACTACTAAAAGGCTCTAAAACTCCAGATTAGATTTTTTGACTGAGTCAGTCTTGGAAGTAAAATCAACCTCTGGCTTTCAAAATTTTTTTTTTTTTTTTTTGGCCTAGTATTCGTTGAGTCGAACAGAAAGAAAACTGAAGAATTTCTGATTTTTGTCTTGATCCATCACTTTGCAATTTTCCTGGCTGGAAAGTTTTTGCAAAAATCATCTTGATTCCTCTGTCCAAGGGAGATAACAGACAGTTTATGTTGGATAAGTCAAAATGTGGTAACTCTGTGATGCCCTTGAAGGATAATTAGCTGAAAAGCTGCGTTTGCCCCGTGTGCAATATGTTGCCCATCCCTGTTCTAGTAGACCTCCGCAAAAAAAGAAAAAGAAAAACAAGAGACCCCACGAGAGAAATGCTTGTTGCCATATTGGGGGTATGTATTCGTTGACGATTGGGTTATCCTTGCATTTTGTGTTCCAAGTTCATGCGAAAATTCCTTCTTTGCATTTCAAAGTCCGGGTAGCCAAAGAAGTTTCCTCCTAGGATTTTTGAGTTGGAGGATGTTTTGCTGAGGATTTTTTTTTTTTTTTCGTGACTCCGGTGCTTCATGAATCGGCCGAATAATTCATATTTAGCAACGTTGCTTTTGGGAAGAAGAAGAAGGAGGCAATGACAAGGCGTTTTTATCATAGCATTCATTCTTTTTTTTTTCTAAGTGGAGATTTTGCTTGATTTGAAATTTGCTGCTGGATGATTTTGAAGAAGAAGAAGAGAGAAAGACTTGATCCCCAGTTTGCTAGCAGCAAGCCAGACATGGGGGCATTAAAAGAAGAAGAAAAGATTGGGGGTTGATGTTTAGAACGCAGAGGCGCGTTTGTGATTCCGAGATGTGCCAGAAACACACCGTTTGTTTTCCTTTTATTTTTTAAAAACTCTTTTCTTTTTGTTTGACGTCCGGTTCTCTTCAGCGTCCCCGTCTCCGTGATTTTATTTGTTGTTCAACTGGTGTCGCCTGAATTTTTCACGCTTTCTGTGTTTTAGTTTAATTTAGTTCCAGTTGGAGTAATTTTGGTTCAAAATTTGTGATTCAGGTGACATCTAGCTGACATTCGAGGAAGCGTGGTGTCGAATGTGGAGCTCAAAACTGAATTTGGCTTCTGTAATTTCATGTTGGGGGTTTCTGCTTTCTTTTTTTTTTTACTTTTTCTTGAAGAAAAAAAAATGTTGCGGCCGGGAATGTCGAGAGATCCATCGGAAAAAGCACCGTGTTGCATTTCCTCTGCAGTGTTTATTTGGATACAGTATCTGGAAGATTTTCTTTTGCTTTGGATGTCCCTTATATTTTAATTTCTATCACGAAATTCTATTTTTATGCAGTTTTACTTTTGGAGAAAGAAAAAAGAAGAGAATTGATGAAAAGCGTCTTCCGCTGGTTCTTCGAGGTGGGTGCCCATTTGTTACTTTTGTATTCGTTCTGTTATGCTGGGATCGCGGAAGGCTTTAGTTAGATTAATCATTCAGACTGCTTCTGCTGATGGGGGGTAAAATAGCTGTGGTGGCGGCCATTTGCGGCGTCATCCCTAACTGGCTATTGTTTGATTTCTTTTTTTTTTACTTCCTCGATGCCTCCTTGGTGGAGGGATGATGTGATCGCTTTTTTGAGCTTGTCGCGCGCGCTCTCATCGGTGAATGATGTTGAAGCAAGTGTGATCGTTGGATGGTGTCGTATTTATTGTTTTAGAAAAATTGATGTTTTTCCACCCTTCCTTTACATCGTTTCTGTGTCTTTTTTTTTGGTGTCGCATTTTCACTTTCTCTGTCTGATAGACTCGGAAAGAGGGGGAAGGGTTTTGAGTAGAGTGATGAGCAGCTGGAATTTCGTGTTTTTTTTTCTGGCCCACACACACACACACTTTCGTTGTTCGGTCCCGTCCTGCCCCCACGTTGTCCTATTTGCGGTCATGATTGCCAAGTTGTGCAAAGTGAGTTTTGCTACTGTCGCTGAACGAAATATGAAATGAATATATGTTTCATTACGCATTTTTGTACCGGCATCCTGGAGACACGAGTCGTGAGGTATCTCGACTCTCGTGAACATCCTGCTGTGGTCGCCAACGGATTATTTATTTTATTCTTATCTTTCTTTTGTTGCAGGGTAAGGATGGAGTTTTGTGCGCGATTTTTATTCACATTTTCTTTTAAAAGAGTCACTCCATTTCACACAAATCTGGTTCTATGATTTGAGAGTGCCTGAAGTTACCAGTTCCAGATTACTGGAAGGTGAATTCTCAGTTGAATTTCAATTCACTGTAACAGGGAACAAATGGAGTTGAGGAAATCATTTTGGTTTGGAGAAACCAAGAAATTTGTGATACTTGGGGCCTTGAATTTGTTGACGGGATACTAAATTTCGTAGAGGGAAGGGTTCATTTTCATGAAAATCCTGTCACTTTCTTTCGAATCTCATCCTGAAATTATTGTCGAATTTCCTTTTTGTGCTGAAAGTAGTAGGTAGAGGGCCTCTGACGTAAAATTCGAATTACCCATGCAGGTTTAGGGGAGGGCCTTCTTTGCTGGAAGAGGTGATGGAGTATGCAGATTTTATGAAAATTTCGAAAGGGACACGGAAATATGCAGATGTAGGGCGGATTCAGTTCTTTAGGCGCAACTGTAGTGCTTATTTCAATTGACCTGCAGGCTTCTGTAGACTCGTATATGCTGTGCGCTAGTTGCAGTTGTCCATAGAAGTTATGTTTGAACTGATGCATGTTTACTGTGGAAGGTTGGACTTGTAATGTTCTCTGATATCCACTCTGAATCGAACCTATACTCACCTCCGAACTGATATCTCTGATTAGTTCTAAAGCCTGTTATGAGATTTCGAGCCTTCTTAACATGCCTTGGACATGAGAACGTTTCCCAGCACAACAGTGACAATCTGTGCATTACATTCATGCTCTGTGCCTTGAACGCAATTCAGCCCAAGTTCCCGGGGAAAAACGTTATGCCGCGCACAACGAAGCACGTGGTTAGAGATAATTTTGCCGAAGTTATGCAGGGGTCATTTGAAATTTCGCGCAGTAATTTCAGACGTTCAGGCTTTAAATTTCTGAAGTCTGTAGAGTGAGTTACGAAATGATGTCAAATTGCGCCTAGTTGCCGTGAAGCGTTTTTTGTCAAGTGGTGACGTTGATTGCCTTTGATACACGTCATCGTTGTAATGCTTACTCCTCTTGGCATCATTCGTTAAGACCAGGTGTTTAACGTCTGGCATTGTGAGTCGTCTTAACCGTTCAGTGAGGTTGATACGTGTTTCATCTGCGATTTTAAATTCAGGTTCCGTGATCTCTTGCTCCATTCGCTGAGCATTCTCTTTGTTGGATGATGTATCGATGTGTGTGGTTGTCTCTGGGTGAGTTATCGAATTTCCTTGAAACGTACATATAGTTACCAAAGTATTAACAAGGAATGATTGACAGGAATCGTCTGTATGGCGGTTGCGACCCAGGCGCTGTACCCGTCTAACTCTGACGTAATTGACCTGACTCCGTCAAATTTCGATTCCCTGGTCACGAAGTCAGATGATGTCTGGATCGTGGAATTTTACGCACCGTGGTGCGGTCACTGCAAGTCCTTGGTGCCGGAGTATCAGAAAGCTGCAAAAGCTTTGAAAGGGGTAATCAAATTGGGAGCTGTGAACGCTGACGAACATCGCTCTCTGGGTGGCCAGTTCGGTGTGCAAGGTTTCCCGACCATCAAAGTTTTCGGAGGTAATAAGCAGAAACCAAGTGACTATTCAGGGCCTCGAACAGCTGGTGGTTTCATCGACGTGGCCTTCAAGGAGCTAAGGGTGTGTTTCTTTTTTTTTCTTGTCGGAAGTGTTCGACTTGAATTAATCGTGACTGATCGATTGATCCTATATTTAGAATAAAGTTGACGGGGTGTTGGGCGGTAAATCTAGTGGCGGAGGTTCGAAGCAAGATGCAGTCATTGAACTGACAGACTCGAATTTCGAGGAATTGGTGCTCAATTCCGATGATCCTTGGATGGTGGAGTTTTTCGCTCCTTGGTGCGGTCATTGTCAGCGTTTGGCTCCAGAATGGGCCTCTGCTGCCAAAGAGATGAAAGGCAAAGTGAAATTCGGAGCTCTGGATGCCACGGTACATTCCTCCAAATCCAACGAATACAACGTTCGCGGATTTCCCACCATCAAATTCTTTCCAGGTGAGCTCATGAAAAGTGTGATTCGTGATAAAATTGCTAAACATTGAATGTATTTTTCTTGTTCTACAGCGGGAAAGAAGAACAAGAGGAGTCCCGAAGACTACGATGGTGGGCGAGATGCGGCGAGTATGGTGTCGTGGGCGACTGAGAAAGCAGTTGCTAGCATCCCTCCTCCGGAAGTCAAGCAAGTCGTGAACCAAGACTCGTTGAAGAATGCGTGTGAGGAAACCTTGTGTGTTGTTGCCGTTTTGCCGCACATTTTGGACTGTCAGTCCAAGTGCAGAAAAGAGTACATTTCGACGCTGTCACAACTGGGCGACAAGTTCAAGAAGAATCAGTGGGGGTGAGTTTTCTTTTGATGCATATGACCAGAACCAGTGAATCGCTGTAGAACTCGGATAACTCGAACCTCCCTGTGTCGACATTTTTTTTTTCAAGTCCCTGTCTCAAATCCCTTGAAAACTACGCATTAAAAACTTCATCAAATGGGATTTTCTGGGGTTTTTGGCTATTTTTTTATTCTCTCAGGAATTTGAAAAGCAACTAGAAATGTAACTTGATGTGTTTCGCAAGGATGGAAATGATTAATAGGGCAAATGAACCCTTGCATCTAAGTTATCATCAATTACAATTTCGTGTTAATTCTACTTCCTTCCCTCAACAAAACTCCTAATTTTCCTAAGTCGATATGAAGAGGTTTGACTGTATTTTGTGTCTAGTCGTCTTCCTGTGCTTCCTCGCGCAAAGTTGGATGGTGTTTGGTGTAGAATTTGAAAATCAATGAGAACAATGGAATATTGAACTGTTTTGAATTATTGCAGTTGGGTGTGGGTGGAAGCCGGGTCACAGCCGGCGATTGAAGACGCCCTTGACCTCGGTGGCTTTGGCTTCCCAGCGTTGGCCGTCATGAACCCGAGAAAAGGCAAATTCTCCACATTGCGAGGATCTTTCGACTTTGTCGGAATCAACGAGTTTTTGCGGGATCTGAGCTACGGAAGAGGCAGCACGTCGCCTTTGAAAGGAGGGGCTTTGCCGCAAATTGACTCGATCGACCCCTGGGATGGACAAGATGGCGCCCCGCCTGTCATGGACGAAATTGACTTGTCTGACGTGGACTTGGACGACATTGGCGACCTCAAGACCGAGCTTTGAAAAGACCCATTGCTTTTCTTCTTCTTCTTCTGCTGATTGATTGGCATTCCTCGTGAAAGAAGAGGGAGATGAAAATTTGAAAAATTCAGGTTTCGATGGCATGGAAATATTGTTCTTGCGTCACTCTTTTTGTTTTTGTCTCAATGCTGTGATCTGGGGTTCGAATGAAAATAACTCAATTCGCGTTTTATTATTTCCCCCTTTTTTGTGTCCGCGGGTGGTTATCTGTTTTGTTCTGCGAATTGAGGTTCGAGGCATAAGAAAAAAGAAAGTGTTGAAACGTTGACAAGGCTTTATTCATTGCTTGAATAAGCGCTGGTTCGCTAATGAAAAGTTGTGGCTTTGCTTGCATTAACCTTGTGATTCGGTTTTTGCAGACATATGCGGTGAAAAATACCTGCTTTTTCGGGTTTTCTTTTCTCATTTTTCTTGGGTAGGTTCTGTTTTAATCTCTTTTAATCATGTGTGATGAGAAAGCGTGTCAAATAAAGGCTGTGAAGAGGCAAATTGCCCGAAGCAAGGTTGTGGTGTACAGCAAGTCCAAGTGTCCTCACTGTAAAGCTGTGAAGGCCTTGTTCAAGGACTTGGGTGTGGAATATGTTGCTATAGAGCTGGACTCGCTTGGGTCTTTGGGAGACAGCATTCAAGATGCACTGCTTGAGCTCACTGGACAAAGCACTGTTCCGAATGTGTTCATCAATGGGAAACATTATGGTGGCAACTCGCAGATTCAGGAGCTGAAGAAGAGTGGAGCTTTGGCTGATATTTTGGGTGCATTTTTATGGATATTTTGAATTTGTGTTGATGCTTCTAATTGACATATTCCCCCAAGTTGAAGCTGTTACATGTTCAGGTTCTTGCAATTAAAGTCAAACTCTCAGTGGATGGGCCACCCTCACTGCATGTGCAATAAATTTCACATGAATAGTTATCTTGATTTATTATTTTCAACAAGGAATTTACAACACTGTAGAATCTTGTCACAACGAATATTACAATATATTCAATCAAGGACCACGTGCACCTTTTTTTAATGAAGAAGAAGGAAAGGAGGGTATACATCATATGTGGGTATATCAAACTTGAAGCAAGTTTCAAAGCTTTGGTCTACCTCATGCTGGGTTCCAAAAAAGAATATTTAACCAGTTCCTACAGATGATGTAAGGAATGGAAATTCTTGAAAATCAATGTTCACATTGGCTACAGCACTCCAGTGGAAATTTACATTTTGATGAATTTCGTTTTCAAACTAATGTGCGGTACAGTATTTCCTTTTCCTGAGATATTTTTCAAATATTTCAGAATATTTTGTTCGGAGTAAGTTACTCTTAATTCGTTAACTAGGGATTCTGCCCAATAATAGTCACAATGTTGGTTCTTAGTATTGTAATGGATTTTTGCTACAGTATAATGAAGATATTTGTTGTGACAGGATTTTGTGGTGTATAAAACGATCAATTCAAAGCCATTTCTTTGTTTTTGTCTAGGGTGGCAAGAATTCAATGGTTTACTATATTTAAAATTCATGGAGGACTCTGATTTTCAGAATATCTTTTAATTGCAGGAAAAGCGAATAAATTCAGACCTCAATTTATGCAGTCCCAGCAGTTTTGCCACAACTTCTCTTTTCAATTATATGTCATTTTGCTCATAACAAATTTTTGGGTGCCCCAACATTAGTTGCTGCTGTGAAGTATTTTTATCCTTGGTATTTTCAAGATGCATGAGGTTATATTGAAGTTGTTTAATTTTCATCCTTTTTTTTTTGAGGAACCAGATGGAGATTCATATGACCTGATTGTGGTTGGTGGTGGAACAGCTGGTCTCTCTGCAGCTGTCACAGCCGCAGACCTGGGGGCAAAGGTAGCCCTTGTGGATTATGTAGCAGAGTCACCAAAAGGGACCAAATGGGGTCTTGGAGGTACATGTATCAATGTTGGTTGTGTGCCCAAGATCCTCATGCATCATGCTGCCATCTCTGGACAGAAACTTGAAGATGCTGGGAGAGTTGGATTTGAGGTACCTATGTGATGAGAGAAAGAATAATTTTTTTCCTCTTGAGGAATATGGTGATCAATGCCACATGTTTTGCAAGGAATCATGAAAGATGTGATTTTTCTTTCTTTGCTTTACCATTCAATTATCCCCTGATATCCTCATTTTGTCATGTGAAATTTTTAAGGTGCAGTTGGATCATGATAATTTGTTCCTCCTCTTTTCATGTCCCTGTTTGTCTTAATTTCCTTCGAAACAATTTTCATTGAGAATCTCTGTTACTCAAAGGCTTTCAAATCTCAATAAAATTTTCTTGAGGCCTTTTGACATTATTTGATTGGCATTGGAGAGAGGATGTAATAAAAATTTAACTTGATGCATTTTGAAAGGAAGTGAAAGACCAATTGGGCCAATGAACCCTTGCTTCCAGGTAGTACAGAACCAACTCATTCAAGGCCCAGAACATATCACCAGTTGGAATTTTTTAAATAATCTTTTTCTCTCTCTCAACAAAGATACTTTTTTCCCCTAACTTGAAGCCTCTTAAACTGAATTTTTTGCTGGTTTCTCAAAGTTTGACGTGAAGAGGTTTGACTGTACCATAACTTCTCAAGTAATTGCATGTAAATCAGGTTTTTCAGCTTAAATTTGGAAAAAATTGTCCTTCGACATATAAACTGAGTCTTCAGTTACCAAAATTCATATTTTAAAACCAAAATGGGTTAGCAGTCTTAATATAAGCCCACCAAAAAGTTGAAATCAACTTTGACGTTTTTGTCTGACAAATTGTAAAATCCTCAGAAAGGAGAATTTCACGAAATTTAAAGCATTGAAAATGTTTCACAAAGAAAATTTTTCCTTGAAAATTTGTGCTTAACAATGATCTGTAACTGTTTTGCCCTGGTTTCTGTAAGAAAAGGTTGCATGTGGTAGCTGCGTAAATACGGTGATTAGAAACCTCTTTTCAATATGATTGTACAACTCATGCATGCATGACTTTTTGTTATTGTTCAACTCATTGACCTTTCTGATGATGATAATCATTGTGAACTAAATTTTATATAGGTCTCAATTAAAGACCATTCCTGGCCAGACTTGGTGTCCAAAATATCCACCCACATCAAGCAGCTGAACCAGAAAACGGAGGCGTCCCTCGAAGAAAGAAACATCGCCTATTTCAACGCAAGAGCCAAAATGAAATCCCGAAACGAAGTGCAATTAGTATCGATGGACGCGAATAACGACGAAACCCTCACCGTCATCACTGGCCGCAAGATCATCTTGGCCTGCGGGAAACGCCCCAGGATTCCCAGTGACCTCGTGGGATCCGACTTGTGCATCACCAGTGACGACCTGTTTTCTCTGCCCAAACATCCGGGTCACGTTTTATGCGTCGGTGGCGGGTACGTGGCACTGGAAACTGCCGGGTTTCTGCGCTCTTTCGGATCCCGAGTCACTGTTGCCCACACTGGAGACTCGTCGTTTCTATTGCCGCGATTCGATCGTCAGATGGTCGACGTTGTTGCTGAAAATTTGCGGCTTTCTGGGATTCGTTTCGTGTCGGACGGTCAATTGGTGAAGGTGGAATCGACGACGACAGACGACGATCATCATCAGTTGAAGGCCCATGTGCGGAATTCGTCGTCGGAAGTGCGTGTGCTGAGTGTGGACACGGTTCTCGTGGCGATTGGCAGGAAAGCGGACGTGAGTGACATGGATTTGCACGTGGCCGGTGTTTCGGTGAATGCCGATGGCGAGATTTTAGTGGACGAATCGGGGAGAACGGGAAATCCGGACATTTTCGCGATTGGTGACGTGGCTGCGGGCACTCCGGACTTGGCGTCGTTTGCTACCCAGTGCGGGAAACGCGTCGCTAATTTTCTATTTGCCGAAAATCCTGACGGGCGTGGGCTGATGCGGAATTTCGGGGATCCTCCGACGGTTGTGTTCACGCCTGCGGAATTTGCGTCGCTGGGGTTTTCTGAAGAAGCAGCTGTGGCTGAATTTGGCGCAGACCAGGTTTCTGCGCATTTTCAGTATTTCGCGCCGGTTCGGGAGCGAATCAGTGTCAAGTATGGTGGACGGAATTGTGCCAAGGTCGTGTGCAAAAAGGTGTGCCCTTTTTTTTTGTTATGCAGAATAATAGTCAACCCTTGATTTTGTGCCACCCTGGTGTAAATGCCAAAAATTTCCCTGGGACAATTACTATGGAGGCATCAATGATAATTCCAACGTTGACATTGTTCAAATCAGTGTTCCCCAACCCGTGGTCTGCAGAAATTTTTTTGCTGGTCCAAGGGAAATTTTCTTTGGCATTTGTAAATGTATGAAAAGAGGCAATGAAGTCTGTCTTTTTCGTCTGAAATGTTGGAAAGACATTTGCGGTTGAAATTATCTGATGAAGAATAAAAGGTGGCTTTTTTCCTAGTAGCACTTTAGACAAATTTCCACCTGCCAAAATAAATTGCATTGATTTTCATTCTGAGAAACTTTTCAAGCCCACCTTTCCATTTTTTTCAAGACATTTCACTGTACTGTAGTTGCTTCGTTGGCTCTTAACTTAATTTTTTGCGAAAAAGCAGAGACTTTCTAAATACCTGCCATAATGTCTTTCAAATTAATTTTTGTAAAGTCTGCAATCATTTTATGAAACTTCGCCAGTCTGCAAAACACTTTTTGGAAATTTGCCAGTCTGCGAAAAAATCTATGCAAATTTGCCATTCTCCAGCCACAAAAAGGTTGGGGAACGCTGGTTTAGATCATTTTGGCTTGGAAATTTGTGAAATTACATTTCCAAAAACAGGATCTTTTTACAATTATAGTTCAGTAATTAATAAAGAATTAAAAGTCAGTTGCAAATGAATGTTCAGAGAATTCATTCACACATTTTCAAGAAATTTTTTCTCGATATGAAAGATGTTCCTTGCCTTGGACCAGGAATATTTTTGTTCACCCTTTCAAGGTTTTCCTTTTGCGTTGAGTTCATTGATTTCAATTATTCAAAGGAAAAGTCAGGAGTGGAAAAAGTGGTGGGACTGCATTTCGTGGGTCCATTTGCCGGGGAAATCATGCAAGGATTCGTGCTGGCCATGGAAACCGGTCTTCTAACAAAACAAGCCCTGGACGCCATGTTGGGGATCAGTGGGACCAATGCCCAAGTTTTGACCAATCTCCAGCTGTCCAATAAGTGCTAAATTTCTTGTTTAATCCTCTGCATTTTCCTCTCTTCTCATTCCCAAACAGTGTGTGAAAAAAAATAATGAGTGCGTGTGTGAGAGAGTTTGTTTCTTTTTCTCTGTGATGTGATTTTTCGAGTCGATTATTGCGGAAATCGTGGGTTGTCGTAATAATAATAATAATAATAATAATGAGTGGAAATGGCAGCAGCACTGAGTGGCAAAGCATAGTCATGAGCATGGGCTTTTTAATTGACGGCCTGATCAAAGAAGTGGCTTTGTGTCACGAGCGTGACGAATATGCGCAACTCATTTTGGGAAATGGTGAGAGAGAAAAACAAGTCTTTGAAATTTCGTCAATTATAATTTATCAGTCGAAACTGATATTTATTTATTGATCCAGCCTTGAGACAGCAGATGAAGAAAGTATTGCCTTTGGAAGCCGGTGGGATCTTTGACTGTTTGGACAAAGTTTGCGGATCTTACGCTTCGCACTATGTGCAAAATTTGCACAAAATTATTCTGCGAGTGCGGAGTGAAGTCCGGGAAGTGACTAATGTCAAGACGAGTGCCATTTGTGAAGACAATTCTGCCGAGACTGCTGAAGACTCTACGAATAGGTGAAGTACTGAGTGCAAATATTTTAAAAAGTTTCGTTTGATTTCAAGATGAAAGGACTGTCTGACTGTAACAGTTGAATTCCGTTCTGAAGGATTATTCGATATTCCAAATACATTTTTGCGCAGAAATATTTCTGGCGTGGGTTTTTCGACTGTTTTCCCTTTTAATTATCGAAATTTTTGCATTTTTAATTATCCGCGTGACGAAATTCGAAATCATGCCTTTTAGTTATGTCAAAAGATGTGACTGATGGAAAGGAAATCACAGACTGTGCATCAGTCTTCTGCAAAATATTTTTATAATTTGGGTAACTGATTCCTGTTGTGCTGTGAAAAAAATGTATTTTTCAAATTTTGTCGAGTTGGGAAATGTTTTCATTTTTCTTTATTCTGTTTTTCTATTTCCAGAATGGAGAAATGAAGGTACCAGAAAATAAATTTTGTTATTTGTTTTTTTTTTAATGTTAAGATGCACTATTTGATGAAGATAGTTTTGAAGGGTCCTATTGGAAGTTTTTTATAACAAGATTCCAACCTTTTTTGAAAATATGCTGAGTTGTGATGGTGTGTTTTGAGTTTTGACATGCAGTACTGTACTTTTGATAATTTATTTGAAAAATGTTCATGTTGCAGTTGGACTGATGCAGACTTTGCACTTCACTCTGGGCGCTTTTTGAGGGATTATCACGTCCTCAGTTGCTTGGGTGAAGGTGCATATGGTCAGGTGTTCAAAGTGAGGCATTTATTGGATGGTGCAATGTATGCTGTCAAGAAGGTCATGTTCAGGTGAGAATCCCTGTATGCTTTTCTGATTATGCATGGGCTTTGACAGTTAACTGGACAGTATAATCTGGTTGTGATTTACCTGGAAAATATAAAAAAATTGGCTATAATGTTGAGAAATGGGGGAAAAAGTTGTCCGACAACTTTTTTTAAAGTTTTCATTCAAATGGTTCTTGTGACCGTTCTGTGGCACTTGGGATCATATAACTGCAGCACATTTGAAAGAGAATTAAACAAGCTTTCACTGGGGGCTTTTTTCATTGACACAGATCAATTTGCTACCAAGCTATTTCAAGTCAAAAATCTATTCTTTTTTTTTGGCCCAACCTGTATATTACCTCCCATGAAGTTTAACCCCCATTTTTTATTTTCAATTTTTAGAAACAATGATTTGTGTGGAACTCAAGTAAATTTGTTGCTAATATGGCCATAGTAGAAATAGTTGAATTGTACTGCCAATAATTAAATTATTTTATCAAATATTGTAGCAGTGAATAGTTGATCTCTTCTGTTATTTAATGAGTCCTTTTGCCACTTTGCAATATACATATTTTTTTCCAAATATCTCAGATATCACGCTGCTTCTGCCCTGGAGAGAGTGCAACGGGAAGCTAGGATTTTGGCTCGTCTGAAGCATGAAAATATTGTCAGATACCACGTTTCTTGGCTGGAAGAACCTCCAGTTCTTGAGCGAGAAGCTTTCGTCAAACGCGAGGGGTAAGTTTGTGGACACTGTATTTGTATTGTCTGCCCATTTTATCCAAAACAAATCCGTATATTTTGATTGTTATTTGTATAAATTTTTGAAATTTTATGCAGGTGCGAAGACCAAGTGAACCACTTTGATTCTGTGGGAGAAAGAAGCTCTTCTGACGCGTCCTCGCCTGAATCCAGTGATGCTGTCGTATGTGTCTTCGTGGGATTTTATTATTACAGGTGGACTCTCTGTCTCTCTCTCTCTACAGCGAAATTCCTTTTGTGGCGAAAACAACCTTCAATATGAAGGAGAATACGTTAAAAGGAGATTGAAATATCTTTGTGGCTGTTGGACAGGGACCAAGGAAGCAAATTCTTTATTATAAGCATTGATTCGTCATAAGAAGATTATGAAGCATTTTATATTTACTCAAGTTCAGTAAGCACAATTTTTTTTTCTCGAAAGTGAGGTGGAAAAAGGCGCATGTCAGAAACGTGTACAGTGGGCCATAATTTTATTTTAAAGCTTTGGTGCGCATCTTACTTGTTATGACAGGGCATTTTGAAGCATTTTCAACAGACAATTGAAAAATAGAAATGATTGACGATTACCCCTGTAACATGTGGAGAGAACCTTGCGAGACCAGAAATTATTTTGTTATACAGAGAAAATCCTTGTATAGAGAATCCACTTGTACAGTACATTATTATTATCATTATTATTCTTATTACTGTGTTACCTATTTTTGTTAATTTTATTCATTTGTTCTACCCAGTATTATTTTTTATTACTGTTTCATTGGTTCTTAACTTCATTTTTGCAACAACAACAAAATAAACTTTTCAAAAACCTGCCGTAAAGACTTTCAAATAAAACCTTTTTGAGTCTGAGTAATTTTATGAAACTTCACAGGTCCTCAGAAATTTTGTTTTTGCATTCTGGCAGTCTGCAGAAAATTCATAGAAATTTGCCAGTTTGCAGGCCCAAAAGGGTTGGGGAACACTAGTTTGGATGATTTTGACTCAGAACATTACTGTACTTGAAGACATTTCATTAAAAAAAAAAACATCTTGTTACAAGAAAGGGATAAAATATATGAAATTTGGGGCAACTGAATGTTTAGAAGAGGATTCATCTAAACTTTTTCAGATATTCTTCTGTATATACCTTGTATGAGGTGTTCCTTGTTTTGGACTAGGGATAAAGTATTTCTAATTATCCCTCAACATTTTCATTTTATTTTATTTTTTGATCTCCAAGGTTGAAGGAAAGAGAGAGAGAGAGTCTACCTGTGTTATTATCATTACCGTATCACCTTTTTTGAACCAATATTTTTTCATCTTTTATGCTCACCGTTATTTTAATTTTTTTCATGATGCATACTGTAATTTCCTTTGATTTTCTGCTGAAAGGAAGCCGTTTTCTCGGAAGCAGTGGACAGGACGGAAAGCCTGCTGAGCAACGGGAAAGCAGAGACGAGCCCGCAAATCCTGTGCCTGTTTATGCAAATGGAGATTTGCTCGAGTACCTTGGCGGCGTATTTGCAAGAACGGGATCGTTGCGGACAGGCCGTGGACTTGAAATTCAACGCGAACGTCATTAAACAAGCTGCGTCTGGACTGGCTTCATTCCACGGCTTGGGACTGGTGCATCGCGACGTTAAGGTACAGCAGTACAGTACTACTGTATTATTTTATTTTTAAAAATTTTGTTGGTCTTTTTATTTGTTTGGTGAATGTATGCGAGGGATGAATATCCACGAATTTTTCTGTGTTTGTGAAATACTGTACTGCATACCGACATCAAGGGAATTTATTTTCCGCGTTGTCATCGAGGCATATTATTTCAAAGCACTGATTCTACAAAGCGTCATTGATAAGATGAGAATTTACTTGAGCAAAAAATTTGCAAAATTTTTCCAGAATTTTTTTTTTTCCCTGGGGTTGAAAACATTTGTCAGTACAACATATTTATTTAAAATAATGTTTTTTTTTTAGTATCTGAAGCCTTTGACGAATTTTCCAGCTTTGGAACATATCATTTCTAGCTTGCAAATTCTGATTTTTATGTGAACAAGAAATGTAAAATTGAAGAATAATCAACTCACAATCCGCCGAGGAACTGGATTTCGTGATAGAAATCCCCGAAGAAAAAGCAAGTAGTGTTGAAACTGTATTTTCACAAAGAATAATAACTTCTCACTAACAAGTTGAAAATTCTCAGATTTGTGCACACACATCTGAAACACACTGATATTCAACAGCGGAATATTCTCACAATCGTAAAAGAGAAAGTTCAGGATGGAAAGAAAGAATTGCACCATGAAAGATGGGTGGTGTTGATCACGTGATCATGGGGGAATTCCCAGTGATCACCTGATGCATTTTTCTGCATTCCAACTTTCTTTGGTACCGCATTGTTCACTACAGTAGGCATCACAAAGCTTGAAACTTATCAAGATTTCCCAAAAAAGATATTGCCATCATACTGTACACTATCATGATTTTTATATAAATGTATACATTGTATTTTCTTGATTAAGGCACATACTTGCATTTTTTCAGCATACAATTATGCATCCCCAAGTAATAAGCTGTGAACCCCATGTTGAGAGACAGAAAATCGAAATATTTTCAGAATGAAATGAATGAGAATTTGCAAATTTTCTTGAATTATAGTCAAATTGAATGTCAATTTTCCATCATTTACATTTTGTCTGTTTAAATTGGAATCAAGTATGATGTGCACCAAAACTTGAAAATATTTTTTGTATAATTTTAAATATTGTATTTATTTGAGTAAACAAGGCACATACCTGAATTTTTTTCAGCATAACATTTTCATGAAAATGTATCCCCAAGTAAGCTGTCAACCCCATTTTCAGGGACTGCAAATGTAAGATATTTTGAAAATGAAGTAAATGAGAATTCTAAATTTTCACTTGAATCTTAGTCGAATTGATTTTTCATTTTCAAGCGTCTGTTGAAATTGGTTTGAAATTCCGAATGATGCTTTGAATGATTCTTCGAAATGGTTTACACACTGTTGACGAGCATTCTCAAAAAAAGGTGGGTCTTTTTACTTGAAGAAATGTGGTATTTGGTTGCATTTGTGAAACCGTCTAACATGACCATTGTTTTCCAAAAAATAAAATCTGATGTGCTTCTTCTGTTTAAACCTAGGGAAGTGCCCCAATTGGTCAAGAAAATAATGGCAGTATATTGAGCATGCATGAAGTTGACTAATGTCATCATTTGTTTCATTTCATTTCTTCAGCCAAGCAATATTTTCATGGTTGGAGACGTGGTGAAAATCGGGGATTTCGGAGTCGCCAAGGAGCTGGGAACGAGTTTCGGGAAAGAAGCCGGTTGTTCTTTGGTCTCTCTCAAGAAGATCAAGTTGTTGGACCTGAGCAGCGATGAAGAAGAAGAAGAAGACGGAGAAGAGAACAAGGACGGTTTCGTCAGAGGTTCTGAAGCAGCAGTGAATTCCGGAGACGCCGGAACCCCTGTTTATGCGGACCCTGAGCAGCTCAAGGGAAAATCCTGTTCAGCAAAGGTGTCCCTTAAATTTTTTTTTACTATTCTACTGCTGTGTTTTCAAAAATTGATTTGGAGATATTCTGACTATGAAAGAAAATGTGATGGACTTTGTCAGGAGGTCAGATTTTTAGCTTTGCAATTCATCTGCGATTTTTCATTATTAATAGTGAGCTCAGGTTCTGTTTTCATTTTCCGTTGTTTGGAACAATTTTCGGAAAATGACGTGTTCAAAAATGGAAGTTTTTTAAAATTCATTTTGGCCTTGTCAAAAATGATTATAAGCGAGGAAGAAAGGGGTTTTAATGTAGAAGTTAGCTACGATTCATAGTGTGCTCAGGTCGAGCATTTGTCAAGAAAATTTTTCAGAAAAACTCGTTTTCAGAAATTTATTTGGGATAACATCTGTGGCTTTTTTTTTTAAATTAATTTCTGCTTTTTGAATCAATATAAGCGAGGAGGGAAGATTTTTGAATGTAGAATTTATTTGCAATTTTTCATTATCAATAGCGTGCTCAAGTAAATTTGTCTAGAAACTTTTGCACAAAACGAAAGAAGATTAAAAGTGAGACAAAAAAAGTGCTTCAGCCGAAATTCAGTTTTGAAGAAATTGAAGAAAGAATGATGAAAAAAGCAAATGGCAAAAAATCGCCCGTTATTTATTTATTTTCAACGAAAACCGACATGATTCAAAAATGTTCTTCAATGACAGCCTTAAATATTGCATTTTTTACTTATTCTTTTCGATGTTAGACAAACTTGAATTTTGCCTAATTTACATGATGAATGCTTTATGAAAAATTAATTAATTAATTGTAAGACACGAATGTAATTGATTTGATTTTTTCACGCATTGCAAAGAATCTTACATTCTATACTTTATTTTCTGAACATCATCTCTTTTATTTCAGGGGAATGGAGAAGCCTTGGAAATGTCTAGAAATTCTTTTTACAAAATTTTAAAATTGCCTGTTAAATAATTTTTGAAATTAAAATTCATGAGAAATTTATTTTGAAGCGTTGTTTTCATCTTTCTTTTTTTTCTTCTTCAGTCTGACATCTACAGCTTGGGACTCGTCACACTCGAAATGTATCTTCCGTGTGCCACACAAATGGAAAAGGCCAAAGTGTTCGAGCAATTGAGACTTTCGAGATCCTTTCCGCAACGTGCCAAGTTTCCCGTGAGTTAAACCAGGGTTTTCCCCACTTCTGCGTGGCCTTGAGTATTTCTATAGTAGGTGGCTCTGTGAAAAAAAGAAAGGATGTAACCCATGCAATTGTAAGGTTCTGGGATATTTTTTCAAAGATTTTTATAAACATTTTTTGACTTGCTGCATGATGGTAAGTGAAAACTTTTTCACTTCCGGTGAGAGTTCATGTGACCAGTTGGTGAAACTTTTTCGGGCCAGACAAAAAGTTGAAAATTTTGTGTTGTTTTAAGCGTAAAGTTTCCTACATTTTGTGAAATTCTCAAATATTTTCAATGGAAAGTTTGTTCGCAAAAACAACAAAACCCCGAGCGCATTTTTCATTTTTCAAAAGCAATAAGGGTTCATTTTATATTGTCAAAATTTCCATTTTCGAAAACGTCATCCAAGGCCTACACAATTGCATGGTCTACATCATATATTTTCTTTTATAGTGCAGCCTATACTCTCGAAATACTCAAGGCCACGCAGAAGTGGGACAGCCCTTGCATATGAAATGATCCCTTTTAACTCTGAAAAAAGTGTATGCAGTATAAACAATAATTGAGTTTTTTTATTCAATTCCTGTGAAAACACGAAATATAAATTGATTATATTTATAGGAAGGCGTTGGGGACTCGATTCTCAAGATGACGGACAAGCACTCAAAAATGCGCCCGAGTGCCAGAGAAGTTGAGGACATGTTCAGCAGCGAGTCTCTGCTCTCGTTGCGTTCTTCCGGCTCTTCCCGTTGTTCGTCCATATCCAGCAAATTTTAAACTTTTTTTTTAAATTTGCAATTATAAAAGAAGGATCTTCAATCTCGAGGTGGTTTCCAGAATGAAAATTCGATCCTCATCACCTAAACGACGACGATCATCAAAACTCTTGTTCTTGTCGTCAAAGTTCAGTATCAAAAATGGTGAGGAGCTCAGGTTTAGTGTCAAAAAAAAAAAAAGCGATGTGCTGGAAACTTGAGAGAATTATCAAAAACAAATGCATCAATAGGATTAAAATTCAAAGTCGAAAGTGTGAATTATTTGCAACGAAGAGCCGCCTTGTGATGCCGTGTTGGATCTCTGATTGATTGATTGATTGATTGTGTTTTCCTGCTTGTGCAAGAGAATTCGTGTTCCATTTTATCAAGGATCTCTCAAGACATTTGAAAGACGGAAATTGTTCAGTATGGTCATGTTGCAAGAACAAAAAAATGAGAACTCAAAGAAAAAAAGAGAGAGAGACGGAGAAATCTCTGTGAAAGTTTGGGCGAAATTATCCCAGTTCGCGATCTTGAAAAAGTCAAGTGTGGTGAAAGTATGGCTTTGTTTATGTTCTTGGAAACGCGAAGCTGCTTTTTTGAAGAAAAATTTTCTCTGCATCATTTCCTTTATTTTTTTTTATTTTTGAATTAATTGATTATTGAAGAATTTAGAATCATATCTATACATTTAATTGTTCCCATTTATTTCTAGTGACTTCATTTTTCCACCATGATCCCTCAGAAATTTCCAGGATCAACACTGTGATGAATTGTAGCTTATATACAGGTGGTACCTTGCAATTCAACCCTAATCTGTTGCCAAACTAGGGTCAAATTTCAAATTATTTGAATTGTGAGCCACATCATGAAAATTGAAAATGTAAGTACAAAATGCAAAAAAGTGGGAAAAGTAGGTCAAATTGCACAGCAAGGGTCAAATTGCAAGGGAACCTTGCTGAAAATTTGATGGTCAAATTGCAAGGTATACCACCTGTAATTTTTGATTTTGGTGACATCAACTGAACAAATCCAGAAAGCAGGCAAAGCTGAGGACAATGTCAATTGAGCTTCTGTTTGAAAAGGGAAACAGTACTTGAAAAAAGTATGCATCTTTGTATTGTCTTTCCTCTTCATTAAATGTGTGAAATAATTCTGAAGAGAAGATTTTTTCAACTTTTTTGTGAATCTGTCATGAAATGAATTCAAGAGCAATTTCAATTTTTGGAAACCTTAAATTTTGAGCAAATTATATCATGCCTTTTTATATATATTTTTTGGGATGAATGTTGTCAATATTTTAAGAACAATTTTTTGTGGGAGATTTCTGAGTGAAAATGAGTCAGTTTCTTTTATGAACTTGTCCATTATTTAAGTAACCATTTCATCAGGAAATTTTGAGGCGACATCTACTGAACAAATCCAGAATGCAGGCAAATCTGAGGATAATGTCAGTGGTGCTTTTTTTTTGAAAAGAGAAACAGCACTTGAAAATAAGTACGCCCCTTTTTCCTATTGTCTTTCCTTTTCATTAACTGTGTGGACGTATTCTGAAGAGAAGATTTTTTCAATTTTTTGTGAATGTGTCATGAAATGAGTTCAAGAGCAATTGCAATTTTTTGAAAACCTTCAATTTTGAGCAAATTATGTCATGCAATTTTAAATATTTTTTGGGATGAATGTTGTCAATATTTTACAAACAATTTTATGTGGAAGATTTTTGAGTGAAAATGAGTCAGGTTTTTTTTTTTCAACCTTCATTACTCAATAAGTAACCAATTCAACAGCAAGAAATTTTGAGCCAATTTTCACAGATGTCGCTGGACTCGAGAAGCCCTTCCCCGTTCCGCACTCGTAGCACCAGTAGCACCACCGAGATGGCTGCTGGATGGGCGGAAGAGGCGCCTGTTACTGCCGCCACTTTGTGGCTGCGATGACGGCTGCTGCAGGTAGTCCCTGCCAATGACCTGCAGACCCGTGTACAGGAGGTCTCCCAATCTCGGGCTGTAGGACCTGGCGAACTGGACCAACATGTCGGCGAAGAAGGAGTAGATGACTGACATGGCGTCCCTGAAGAAACTGTCCAGTTGCCGGCTTTGTCTGACGTCCACTTGGCCGTTTCTGTCAGAATTTATACTGTATAAGAAAATCTGAATATCTCCTTTATTTGCTCCAGCAGGAATTGCTGCCTTATTCCTGATCGAATATTTATGGTTCACTTCATTGTGGAATTTGATTTTCATATGTTGTTCAATATATTTTTCAAGATTGAATTTAATTGCTACTACTTTTTGAATTTCTCAAAAGCTTGCTGAACATATTGTCTTCCCTTTTAAATGTTTTTGGGATATTTTATGAAAAAAAACATTTTCTTTTGAGGTTTTGGGTTTGCAGGGGAAATTTTCAATTTGATCCTGCAAAGCAATTTTTCATTCAAGATCTCAAATATTTTTCTTTGAGTGGACTTTGGAAAATTATCAGGTTTGATTTGTCCAACAAATTGTGATCCATCCACCCAATATTGAAGTTGATTATTTTAGTAATGATTGATTCATTTTTATATACAGTACAGGTGGTAACTCTCAATTTGACCCTAATCTGTTGCCAAACTTGGGTAAAATTGCAAGTCAACCTCTGTGCAATTTCAACAGTCAAAATTGCGGGATGGTGAAATTGCAAGGTAACACCTGGATTGTTTTTTAAAGGGTGATGACCTTGGTCTCAAGATTATTGTGGATGTGAAAGAGGATAGACTCACAGAATTGGGGCCAGTCTTTGGGACAGTTCCTGGATGAAGTCCTGAATGATGTTGAAGACCTCTTGCTCAGGCTGATGAGAAGCTGCCAGCAGTTGTTTCCCATCCCTTTTCTGATGTTGATGCTGCTCAGCACCATCAGCTGCTGCATCCTGTTTTTGATGCAAACCCACTGCAGCACCTTGCAGCCCCTGCAGCATGCAGGCTGATGCAAACACTGCTACAATCTGTTTGTTTGTGAACCACTTTCCCTTATTAAAAACTCCCATACACAGAAAGTATTCTCTATGTAACACTGTGTATATAAACTCACCAAAACAGCAGATGATGATGAGGACTTCATTTCGTTCAACCACAAGTGATATATGAAGAAAAGGGAAAATATGTTTGGAGATGAGACTGACTAAGACTACTTTTCTTTATATATCCCTGTCCTTTCACTTATTATTTACTGGAAACTCTGCGTTTTCACTGTTGAGCAGTGATTTCAAGACTGAAGTGACGCAGCTTTTATTCCACAGACTTGAGTGCTGGGGGGTGGGGAAAAATGATTTCTCCTTGGCTTATATTTTTTTGTTTGAAAAAAAAAAAACGTTGCTGTCTTTTTCATATACCCTGTGTGCTGTCCCAGTTTGCCCCTAATTTCACCGAGGGCGCGATTTTCCTCCTGACCTGGCTCCAGGCAGACGAGGGATGAGAGCAGCAATGAAAAACTGGGTCGAGGGAATTCCGTCGTCGTCGTCGGCATTGTCCTTATTTCATCATCCGTTTTATTGTGAATGTCGTGTCGTCTTGAGTTTTTTTTTTCTTTCTTCTTCTTCTTCTTCTTTCCTTTTGGCTCTGCATGTATGTTGTCTTCTTTTCATCCTTTTGAAGCAATATCAACTTTGCAAATTTTCATCATCTTATTAGGAATATATGTCACTTGTATACTGTATAGATGGGGACTTTCAAAATTTTAATTATGTGAAAACATTCAAAATGTGTTTCTGTAGGGTAATTATTGCCCTAATTGTCATGGGTTGACTATATGTTGCCTGAGACACAATGCAAGGCAGTAAAATATATGGAGGTGGTACTTTGCAATTTTACCCTAATCCTTTGCCAAACTATATAGGGCCAAATTGCAAGACACTCTGTGAAATTCAAAAATATAAGTACAAAAAACATTGAAGAAATGGCCAAAGCAGGTCAAATTGTGGGGCAAGGATCAAATTTCGAGTCAACCTCTCTGCAAATTTGAACATCAAATTGCAAGATGGTCAAAGTGCAGAAGGTCAAATTTCAAGGTACTACCATATTTACTCAAGTACCACGTGCCCTCAAGTAAGGCGTTCACAGGGGTTTTTCAGTTGAAAATTTTGCAAAAATCTTATCCCCAAGTAAGATGCGCACCCCAATTTTTAGTGAATCTAAAACCATAAAATGTAAAAACAAAATTTGACTTTAGGCATGAATTGAACAAAAATCTGATCAATTTTCAACTTTTTCAATGCAAAAATGTTTTCTTGTTAAATTTGATCAAAATTTCTCCATTATAATTAAGTATAATGCATACATAACTTCCTAAAACTTCTTGAAAATGTTGTACCCACTTATGACGTGCACCCCTTTTTTTCTTCTGAAATTTGGGAAAAAAGATGCGCATGGTACTCGAGTAAATACAGTATATGTGCATGTATATGAAAAAATATATGCAAAGAATACTTACCATCCCAAAATACACTGTACAGGTATTCCATTCCTGTGCACCCACTCAGAACAGAAATACTAACAAATTAAAAAAGAAAGAAGCAACAATTTGAATAAACCTTCCAACACCAAATCAACCCTGAAGATGAAAACCTTCAGGAAATATTCCACTAAGGTGAATCACTGCTTGATGAGAGGAATCAACTTGAATTACAAACCATAAAAATGAATCATCTCTCATCAGAAAGTCTTGGAGAAACTCCCCACTGACAGAGACCTGAACCAAGGCAGAATCATCAAATTCAAGCATCATTCTAACCTGAACCTGGCTGAGGTCAAGACCTGCCATTTGTGTGACTTGTGCTGTGAACCCCAGTTTGTGGAGAAAGAAAGAAAGAAAAACAACAGTTTGTTGAAAATTTTGACACTTTTCAAGTTGGGCTGTAAACAGCCAATTGTGCATTATCATCTTTATTTCTTTTAAAATCCAAAATTCTTTGCCAGTGAGGTCTCAGGGACCCCTGACGCTAATATTGAAGAAACATGCCTAAAACTGTAGAATCTTGCTTCTTGTAGTTTTTGCAAATAAAATGGGATCATTCTGCTCATATCAAATCTTCAATTAAGGTACTAGCTGTACTTGAAATATGTTCAATCATCACTAGTGTCGCTGCTTGAGTTTGAGATGAGTTCTTCGTATTCATTATTTAGCAATGAAGGGGATTAATTGTGAAAAATGTCCCTTTCAGAAAGGTTGGTTGACGTTCCACAATTTCTGTTTCAAGTAGAATTTTTTATTTGATGGTTATACACATGTATTTAAGAGCAGTGGATCTCCTTTAATGAAATGCTTGTCTCATGCTATATGTTGTTATTTTTGTTGTTGATGGGAGTTCTTGGCTAAATTGTATTTATCAATTTATTTTGCTAAATGTGCAAATTTATCACTTTGGATATGATTGTTCACATTTAATTGTACTGAACAGCAGCCATGCAGATGCTACTTTTTAATTTTGCAAATGTCTCACTTAAAGAATAATTCCTACTCCAGTTTCTCATTCTAAAGATAAATTCTGCAGTTGGTCAATGTATGCAAGCAAAAAGAAAAAGAAAACATGGAATCAGGCTGTAAATATTTTTGAAAGAATTGTAAGCTGAAAATTTCTTATAAGAGTTTCCCCAGTCATTGTTTTCTGAAATTCAGAAGAGTTTATTTCTGACATTGTAAATGTTATAAATCTGATTTTTTCCAGAAATACTGTACATACATTCTTGGTCACAAAAAATAATGCAAGTTCCAAATAATTCCTTTGATTTTTAATCAAATCACTTGGTTTGGGAGAATTGCACAGCAAAAAGCTCAAGGTGGTGTATTTTTTAAATTTTAAATTTTCAGACAAGCTTTTTTTACAAAATGATGTGCACTGATTTCTTGAAATTACAGTTTCAAGGTCTTTTACTACATTGTTACACGCACTGCTGAAGGTTGGCAACATATTTTGCAATGAAAATATTTTATTCTGTAAAATTCTTGTGATGGTATAAAATACTTCTTACAACAGCTGGGTTATGATTTACACATGCTGCTCAAGAATTTGGGCTGTTTGAAATAAATATCCGTGTTGTTTATTTCAATCTCATAGTTCCAAAAGTCAAAAGAATATGAAGGCCACCATTTGCACAAAAGCACAGCAGATCCAGCAACATACAGCAGAGCTGAACTAAAAAATGGAAGACTTTTTTCATCAGCCATAAAAAAAATAGACTGCAGAAGATATCCTGTCCCCAAATAAAAAATCTCTTTCTTCCCTGTAAGAGGATGTTCCTGAAATCGTTCTGCACAGCTTTGTGACTTTTCATCCTCAGCAATTATTTTTATACAGAGGCCTCAAAAGTGCATGGATATGAAAGATCCATGTGATTATTGCTCTAAAAATTATGCAAGAAGAATGAGGAACACTCAATTCCCAGCAGCAGCAGCAGCATTATTTGCCATCATTTGAAATCTTTTTGATTCTCATTCATTTTGTGAATTTTGCTTGTTGTTGTGTGTATCATCATTTTGATGCTGCTGATTTTCTTCATCTTGCTCCTGCTGATGATGATGATGTGGAGCATAGGCCACTCTTCCCACAAACTCATCATCAATGATGACAGGGGCTGTCATCATCTCCTCTGCCACTTCTGATGATGCCAGCACATCCTCTGTTGTCCTCACTGGTTGCAGAATGGAGCCCTGCTTTTCCAGTCTTTTGGCAATGCGCTGCTTCAGGTAGAGGTGCTGCAGGGCCAGGTAGAGGAGGCCCACAATGGCTGACAAGATACCGGCTGCACGGAAGGTTTGCCGCATGCCCACAGCTGAGATCGTGTAGCCTCCAACAAAGCTACCAAGTCCCTTACCTGAAATAATGGAATTAACCTTATTTATTTACTGATGTATAACCACATTTATTGGTGAAAAATTTTGTGCACATATGAAGTGAAAAAAGTTATTCAGGAATTATTATTATAGGAGTTCATATTTTCATGCATTTCATATTTAATCTGCATACAATATGTGTATGTAGTGTCAGAAGATGTGTGATTTGACAATGATAAGTTGATCAAGTGCATGATATGTGTACCTGCTGGTGATGAGGGAGCACAGTATGAATATATACAGTACCATATTTACTTGAGTACCACGCGCCCTCGAGTAAGGCACGCAGAGGGGTTTTTTGGTTGGAAATTTGACTAAAATCTTATACCCGCGTAAGACGCACACCCCAATTTTTAGTGGATCTAAAAACACAAAATTTCAAAAATAAATTTTAAAAATTTGACTTTAGACATGAATTGAACAAAAATCAGATAAATTTTCAACTTTTTCAGTACAAAAAAGTTTTCTTGTTACATTTGTCCAAAATTTCTCCATTATAATTAAGTATAATGCACACACGACTTCCTAAAACTTCTTGAAAAATGTGTACCCGCTTATGACAAGCACCCCTTTTTTTCTTCTGAAATTTGAGAAAAAAGGTGCGTGTGGTACTCAAGTAAATACGGTATATACATATATAAGTAAATTATACTAACCCACACTGAAGTGCATAGAGGCCATGATGCCAGTCATGGTAGCCAGCAACCCTGCAGGTGCCAGGACTGGGACATAAGTGGCAGCAGCCACCCACATGAGGTGGTAAGTGAATGCTTCCATGGCCTCAAAGGGGAAACACCACCAGGCATTGGGTATGTAAGAGTAGCCCACACTTCTGGCACAGTAGACCAGAAAGGCCAGGACAATCACATGCACCCTGCCTCCCAGCACTGCCACCACTTTCTCTGCCCCATACAGGAAAGGGATGCCCACCAGACTGCCTACTGTTAGGGTCATGCCCAGCAAGTAGTTGGGTGCCCCCAGTTCCTGGACCAGGTACACAAAAAGGTAGGACTCTATGAAACCCCACACTGCCCCCAGGATCAGCATCATGAACAAAAACACTGCAGCCTCAACCACTCCCAGGATCCTGCGCAATTTCTGAAAATGGGTCTGTTTGACACCACCTGTAAAAAATATATATATGCATAAATTCATCACTATGGTGATGTGCACATATCAATGCAGCAGTATACAGTACACATTTAAATAATTGTGAAGATGTATAGTTGAACCTAAAAAACTCAAACCTCTCTGAGTCAAATACCTTCCCAGATGTAAAAATTTTTCAAGTTCCTGTCTAAATTCATTCCATAGACAAAACAATGTATTGAAAGCCTCCCTAACTCAACAACTTTTTCATTAATATCAAAGCTCCCTGACTCAAATTTTCTGGAGGTATTTTGTCTATTATTTTATTGACACAGGAAATATAAAAAACTATATGTCTTGATGTGTTGTGAAAGGAAATGAAAGACTACTGTAATTGCGCAAATGAAACCTTTTGCCTCCAACTTCAGCATATCCTTCCAACTTATTTAAAAAGCTATTCAATGCCAAGAATATCACCAATTACAATTTCCTGCAATATTCTTGCTTTACCCAATTATAACATGCAAAATGCTTGTTTTCATTATTAAAATCTTGTTGTTAGCTCAGTCCCTTAAAGTTTGACTGAAAGAGGTTGGACAGTAAACATTGAAAGGCTGTGCACTTTAGAATGATATTGCAGACATAATTACTTGTGTTATCATCCTCATCCCCAGCTTCAACTTGGAAGTCCAACAAGAAGAGCCCAATTAAGTTCAGTGCAGACATGGCATCACACATGTAGAAGGAAGCTGCAAATCCAGATGCCTTATCATTGTCACCACCAGCACCATCTTGATGCTTGGCAGACATGGCTGCATCCACCAGCACTCCTGTGATGGGACTCAGCACTGCCATGGCCACTATGGCCCACACTCTCTGCTTCCCATATTCCTGCATCACACATGTTCAAATCATAAATAACAATAAGAACATACTGCAGTATTCTCATTTGTACACAGTATAAAGCAGAAGTTCAATTCAAACCCAAAGCATATACTGGATAGTGCTGAGAATAAACCATTGACGGTTACCAAAAACCAGCGGTACCCTGCAAGTTGACCCTAATTCAATATTGCTGGCTACTATAGGGTCAAATTGTGAAGCAGTCAAATTGCAAGACATCATCAAATGGGATATTTTCTACATTGAATATGACATTTTGTGTCTCTTATTTGCATGTCAAATTTTGGGGCAGAGGTCAAATTGCAAGTCAATTGCTTCCAAGCAAATTTGACTGTCAAATTTCTTGAATTGCAAGGTACCACCTTTAATATTTGTGGCTGGAAATTATGTACAATCACTATAGAAATAGTCAAATGCCCATCAGCACATACCTTCCCATGTTTGGCAACAATGGCCAAAGCAGTGGCATCCAAAAGGGAAAAGGCAGCACCCATGAACAAGGTGCCCAAAACCCTGAGAAGGAAGTAGGTTTAGGGTCATGCCCAGCAAGTAGTTGGGTGCCCCCAGTTCCTGGACCAGGTACACAAAAAGGTAGGACTCTATGAAACCCCACACTGCCCCCAGGATCAGCATCATGAACAAAAACACTGCAGCCTCCACCACTCCCAGGATCCTGCGCAATTTCTGAAAATGGGTCTGTTTGACACCACCTTTAAAAAAATATATATATGCATAAATTCATCACTATGGTGATGTGCACATATCAATGCAGCAGTATACAGTACACATTTAAATAATTGTGAAGATGTATAGTTGCTGAACCTCAAAAACTCAAACCTCTTTCTGAGTCAAATACCTTCCCAGATGTAAAATTTTTCCAAATTCCTGTCTAAATTCCTTCTAGACAAAACAATGTATTGAAAGCCTCCCTAACTCAACAACTTTTTCATTAACATCAAACCTCCCTGACTCAAATTTTCTGGAGGCATTTTGTCTATTATTATTTTATTAACACAGGAAATGGAAAAACTATGTCTTGATGTGTTGTGAAAGGAAATGAAAGACTAATTGCGCAATTGAAACCTTTTGCCTCCAACTTCAGCATGTCCTTCCAACTTATTAAATGAGCTATATTTGCCAAGAATATCACCAATTACAATTTCCTGCAATATTTATCTTTCTTTATCCAATTATAACACGCAAAGATGCTTGTTTTCATTATTCAAATCTTGTTGTTAGCTAGTCCCTTAAAGTTTGACTGAAAGAGGTAAGTTGGACAGTAAACATTGAAAGGCTGTGCAGTTTAGAATGATATGGCAGACATAATTACTTGTGTTATCATCCTCATCCCCAGCTTCAACTTGGAAGTCCAACAAGAAGAGCCCAATTAGGTTCAGTGCAGACATGGCATCACACATGTAGAAGGAAGCTGCAAATCCAGATGCCTTATCATTGTCACCACCAGCACCATCTTGATGCTTGGCAGACATGGCTGCATCCACCAGCACTCCTGTGATGGGACTCAGCACTGCCATGGCCACTATGGCCCACACTCTCTGCTTCCCATATTCCTGCATCACACATGTTCAAATCATAAATAATGACATACAGCAGTATTCTCATTTTTATACAGTATAAAACTAAAGTTCAATTCAAACCCAAAGCATATACTGGATAGTGAGAATAAACCATTGACGGTTACCAAAAACCAGCGGTACCCTGCAAGTTGACCCTAATTCAATATTGCTGGCTACTGGGGTCAAATTGTGAAGCAGTCAAATTCAAGACATCATCAAATGGGATATTTTCTACATTGAATATGACATTTTGTGTCTCTTATTTGCATGTCAAATTTTGGGGCAGAGGTCAAATTGCCAGTCAATTGCTTCCAAGCAAATTTGACCGTCAAATTTCAAAACAACCTTGAATTGCAAGGTACCACCTTTACTATTTACAGCTGGAAATTATATACAATCACTGTGGAAATAGTCAAATGCCCATCAGCACATACCTTCCCATGTTTGGCAACAATGGCCAAAGCAGTGGCATCCAAAAGGGAAAAGGCAGCACCCATGAACAAGGTGCCCAAAACCCTGAGAAGGAAGTAGGACCAAAAGGTGACAGAAATCTTGTCACCTTTGCCATTCAAGGTTGCAGCAGCCATCATCATCATGTGCTGGTGGTGCTCACAACCCTTTTCCAGCACAACTGTACAGTGTGTGTCACAGTCACAAGTGGCTCCATCTATGTCTGATGCATAATTTCCCTGGTCATCCCTCAGCATTTGACTCTTGAGTTCAAATGGTTTGTTGTTCACTGTCAGAGTGGCATTGGTGCTGGATTCTTCTTTTGATATTGGCATTTGGAATGAGAGCAGCAGTTGTGCATCACTGATGTTACTGATTGACAGGCATTCTTGTCCTGGTGATGATGGCCAGCAGATTCTAAGACATTAATAAAAAAAAATCAGGAATATTGTACAGCAGTGGTACCTCATAAAATTCCAAATTCTAACACTTTTGAATTTTTATTCTTCATATACCGCATTTACTTGAGTACCATGCGCACCTTTTTTCCCAAATTCCANACCTCATAAAATTCCAAATTCTAACACTTTTGAATTTTTATTCTTCATATACCGCATTTACTTGAGTACCATGCGCACCTTTTTTCCCAAATTCCACAAGAAAAAAAGGGGAGCACGTCATAAGCGGGTACAACATTTTCAAGAAGTTTTAGGAAGTTATGTGTGCATTATACCTAATTATAATGGAGAATTTGGAACAAATATAACAAGAAAACATTTTTGCACTGAAAAAGTTGAAAATTGATCAGATTTTTGTTCAATTCACGCCTAAAGTCAAATTTTTTGTTTTTATTATTGAAATTTTATGGTTCTAGATTCACTAAAAATTGGGGTGTGCGTCTTACTTGGGGATAAGATTTTTGAAAAATTTTCAAATGAAAAACTCCTGTGCGCGCCTTACTCAAGGGCGCATTGTACTTGAGTAAATACAGTACTAATGTAATTTATGAAGAAAGAACACATTGTACAATGAGCTTAATAGTTATTGAACAAATTATGCTTGTTCTACAATAAGGTAACACTGTATAATAAAACCATTAAATGTGACATTATCCTTGCCTGCTATCCTCCACACATGATGAAGTGCAGTTTGGAACCCTGAAGACCAGCTCCCACTTATCAAGAGACTCTGATGTGCAATAGGAATTGTTATTATTGGCATCCAGAGTCAATAATCCCTTGGTTCCTTCAGGCAAACAATGAAAAGATCCAGCTGACAACGGTGATGTAGATGAGGCAGCCATTGAAAAGTCCCTCCTGGGCACAAGGAGAAGAGCTGTGTGGAAAAGAGCTGTTGATGCTATGCACAGAGCCAGCACTGCTCTGTAGTTGCCAAACTTGTCTGCAATGAATCCTGTTGATGACACAAAACGTTGTGTTTATCAATATAGGTTGCCTTTTTGTACATTTACTGTACAGTAGAATATACCACTGCAACAAATGTTGTTACAACACATTTTCAAGAGTTTATGTTGAAACAATCTTGTTATAAGAATACAACTCCAAATTCCAGTATGATGCAAATTTTTTGAGAAATTCTTTATACAGAGAGTCTCTGGTTATATACATTTCCTGAATAAGACATAAACACAGTCTGAAATTCATCATCCCAAATGTGAAACTGACTTATTGTTCTTGTAGCATGGATGGAAGCTGTAATCAATACTAAACATGCTTTGATTGGTTCCATAAATCAACCTTTTAACATAAACATTTTGTTTAATTGATGGAATACATAATCGACCCAAATATATAATGAAAATCCTCAGTTTTTTTTAAATAGTACAAGTAATATAACTGTGAGGATGCCAGAAAAGCAAGATCAAATTGATTATACAGAGAGGTCTGATTTTTCCCATTAATTATTTTGAAAACCTTGGTACAAAACAAAATGTTTCTTAAGTTTCCCAAAAGTTTGTTGTAACAGGATTTCACTGTACTGTATTCTATTCAGAGACATGTGAATATAAATATCTAAGTCTCACCTGTGATTGGAGCCCCAAGGAATGAAGTGAATGGCAGCACTGCATAGATGACAGCAATCTCCTCAATAGTGAGTCCCAGGGCCTGCATGTGGATAGTGAGGTATGGCAGTAAAGCAGCCATTGCTGTTGAACCATCAATCATGGAAATAAATTGTCCTGCCCTCATAGTTTCCTGAGAATGATTTATATGCATTCACAGACAAAGATATGCAGCAGGGGGGAAATTCCATCTGTTCTAATTCCATAGTGTATCATATTATCATATATATAGTGAATGCCTTAGTTATACCAGTGGTACCTTGCAATTCAACATCCCTCAATTTCACCATCCTGCAATTCAACAGTCAAATTTGCTGGAACATCACCTACCAATTTGTCCTCTTTCCCCACAATTTGACCAGCAGTATAACAGACTCAAAATGTCAAATTTGATGTAGAAAACATTGCATTTGACAGTTTCTTGCAATTTAACCACTTTTTGCAATATGACCCTTACCTGCAGGCAATGGATCAGGGTCAAATTGCAGGGCACCATCTGTAGTTATGCAAAAACCTGGATATTGTTCAGGCCCTGACAAAATCTTGAAAACTCAAAATACAACTTCTCTTCTGCATCAACAGCTATTTTAAAATGACTCACTGTTGAAATTGATGCTGTAAAAAATATGAATCACATCTGAATGAAAATTTATATGAATATTAAAACTGATATAAATTAATTCATTTCAATTTCTCATCATAGAGGAAAATCAGTTAAAGCAAAAGGCTCTATAAATTACATCATCATAAATTGATTGATGTCAATTTACCAAAAATACATGACAAAAAGCAATTCTATTGATCATATGATAGTAAAACCTCATGAAAGGAGGACTCCATTAGCACCATCTCAAGTTATAAACACAACATGAGAGAATTATTAACCCTCAGCAGTTGGAAAAGCACACCAACATGTAATTTGTCACTTGACATCCCAGTGACACAATATACACATGTCTGTTCAATTACTGTCATCATCCTGTTTCCTGTTGTGCTGCACCACAAAAACTATTTATCTTACTAGGGGGGAAGAAAATGAAAATAAAATGTAACAAGCATGGGCTAATTGAATCCTTCAAACTTGCAGGATTTTTTATGACCAGCATACAGAAAGCATCTTTTTTTTAGCACAAGGCTCTTGGGGCCATAAAAATACAGGAGGGTACATTTATGGCTTGATCTACAGGGTGTGGGGCAAAAACTACTCTGAACTGATTTCCCTGGAACTGCAGAATTTTAAATGGAATGAGAGTAAAACAAAACAAAAAACAGAATATGTCTGAAACACTGTGTCAAATCATGTAAATACTTAGAAAACCAAATAATATTTCTGTACCTCAAGTTGTTTGATTTAAGCCCCTCTTTTTAATCAATAACTGATTCAGATAAAAAAGTAAATCTTCTTCCTCAACAATCATCATTTCATGAAAAAGTCTGAATTGAGCATCCCTGATGGAACAATAATGAAATCAGAAATTTGCTGAAAATTTGAAAATGGCCATCAAACCCCTGATTTATAACACTTGAAGAAAACAATTTAAAACATAAACAGTGATTAGATTGAGTGTAAACCCACACAAAATGCAAGTGCTGTACATTGATGCCTCACACTGATGTGGTACCATTTCAATTATTCTAAAAAAATTAGAACATGAATGGTAAGCAAATTTTGCATTAATTTATGCTGTGAAGGCCATGTAATGTAAGTATTTAACCCTTCAATTTGCCTAGTAACTAAGCAAATAAAAGACAACAGCCACAATTTCATATTCAAAATTTCATCTTCAATCTTTAAGTGTATGCATTTTATTTATTGTTACTCAGAACATTTTGTTATTCTGAGAGAAATTTAAAAAATGGCTTCTGAATTGTGCTTCACACTTCAGTTTTTATATTTGCTCATGAATATATAAATTGATGGTGAAAATCTGTATTTTGCCTCAAGTTGAGGTTTGAATTAAATCATAGCATATGATTTTCACAAGCCTCATACATATAATCTCATGATTTGAAAAATAAAATCATTGCCAACTATGCTGTTCATGATTTCTCAAACTTCCAAGAGAAAAAAAATTACAACCTTTTCCAGAAGATCTGAATGGAAGTTAAAATCACTTGTCCAATGAGCTGGACATATATTTTTCAAGATACTGGCTGAATTAGAGTTGAAATACTTTCTTGCTTAGTTTTTTTCCCCATTCTGAAAATCATTGCAATATTTTTTTTGGACTACCCTGTAAAAATGTAGCACTGGACCAACCAGTTTCTGCCCCAGCAGGAGAACCATTAAAATAATTGAGCACCTTTCCCCCTAGCCAGTGTATATAATTACAAACTGGTTCACAAAGAGCCGCCTTCTAGGAGAATGGTATTCAAGAGCTGCATACCGGGTGCTCATAAAAATCAAAGAGTATAAGGGGGAGGAGCTTGAGAAAAAAAATGCCAGTATACCTCCATAGAAGCAGAACATCATGAACTTGAGAGGCAACAGGTTCTTGTTGACCTCCAAGGTGTTGAAGCAGATCCAGTGTTCATCAGTTTGGCGAAACAGGCGCCTTTTCTCACTCTTTTGCTGCTGCTGCTGCTGGTCTTGCTGCTGTACTTGTGCAGCTGTGTCAAGGTTGCCAATGGGCCTCTTAGTCACTGCCATCTTATATTCTTGGTCTTATATATCCTCACTCTTCCCCACTTTTCTTTTCCTTCACCTTTTTTTTTTCTGCTGATGGGCAGCACCTTTTTCACATGCACTCACTCTGCAGCAGCAGCAACACACACACTCTCATCATCACAGCCCTTTATTTGGGAGTGAATCAAGAAGAGTTTGATGTAATTTTCACATTTTAGTTATGCACACAATTGAATATTTTTGATTGCTGTATATATATACAGGGAGAATGTAGCTTTTGTTTTGCTTTATACACCCAGTACATTCCTGAAAAATGGCAGTGACAATGTTTACCAACACATGCAGGGATGATGACTGACCTTTCACCTTCAGTAGGGCTTCTCATTTACAAAGAAGCTGCAATTTCATGCATCAGGCTCACACAAGAACAGAGTGAAGGTTTTCCATTCTTCACATTTCACTTGAACAACAGGGTGGACCAAAAAGTGGAGTAATATTCAAGTAACAGTACACATTATTTATACTCTTACTAATCCATGGAGCATGGAGCATTACAGATGACAAATGATTTTGTCAGGATTCTCAGTAAAACCCTGCATTTCTAAGCAGAATTCAAAATTTATAAAGTGGCAGCAAACTGTTGAAAAGTACTGGAAACACCTTCCATTGATTCAAGGCAAGTTCAAGATTAGATGTAATCATGACACACAGACAATAAAAAAAACTTGAATCATTGTACCAAGGTGATTGAAACATTCCAAATTAGGTCATCATCAATCACTAATGTTATAAAAAGATCATGTTTTTTGGAAAACAGTACTGAAATGCTTTACAATGAATGTTTCCTTTAGAAGTAATGAGACTTTTAAGGCAACACCCTGTATATAAATAAACTTGATTATATAAGACCATTCCCCATTTTTCATCAGTCATGTGTCAGAAGCCTGCTGCTTATTCTCTCACTTCATGTACAGTAATTGGAATCATGTCCTGGGTGCACCAACAAGACTCTCATTTCAGTTGTTGAACACCCCACACATTTTCTCTGAAGGGATTGACAATTATCTTCCAGTCATCAAAAATACTATTGCCTATAATTTTTCATAATTTTCTCAATATATGCACAAAACTCAATAAGTTGAGACTGAAAAAGAAAGGAAAGTGTAATGTAATCTCCAAAAAAACTAAATGTTTATCTTTGGAAGAGAAATCACAAGTCAAGAATCCAAAATTTGAGGGCAAAAATCACAGAATTTCAATGGAAATTCAAAATTAACATTTGTTTGAAGTAAAAAAGACATTAATATATCATGCTTCATAAGAATAAAATTAAAAACCAATCAACCAATGGAAAAATCAGAGAATATTCAGCTCATGGAACTCCTGTTGATGAAAGAGGGAAAATGAGGATGATTCAACAAAGATTTAAAAGATTAGGGAAGCATATTAATAATCATTTGCTTTCCATTGGAATTTCCCCCCTCCCCCCCCCCCCATAATCCAACTGTTCCTTGGGCCATTCAGTGCTTTACATCCAGAGGAATTTAGCTCAGGGTTTACATCTAAAGAATATTAATTCCATTCACTTTATTTTAATACCCTTGGGGGCAAAAGATGTAAGAATGAATCACCAACTGTGATTAAAAAAAAAATTGTAAGGCCATTGACCAGTTTTCCTTTACACATGCAATGACAGGTCTGACTGATGATTTTTTTGTTGGGCTTGTATATGGACTGAGTCTAGGAGCTTCTTATCTTCCTGTGATGCTGGCCCATGTTCCACTTTTCCTCTTCAACACCCAGGTGTGATTCTGTGGCAGGCTTCTGATAGATCCACATCTATTTTATTTTTACAAATTCATTGATTCTATTGAATTTCAATTTATAAGTGGAGATTGCGGAAAAATGAAATTCACAGTTAGGTGCATGGAAAGTAGGTACTAAGATAACAGGAAAGTACCAGAAAAAAATTTAGTAGATTAAAAAATTAATCTAAAAAACCACGTACATTTTCAAAAAGCAAAAGATACCCTAAAACGAGGTGCGCATCTATTTCATTTGTATTTCACTTCTTCCCAACAATCTCCATGTGTACCACGTTTAAGGTTATTTTTTGCTTTTTTAATTTGAGTTGCAAAATTTGATACGGACAAACAAATGGACAAGAAAGTGAGTTAATAAAAATGTGTTAAAATCCTGAAGAGTGTTTTAACACAGAAAGTGGAGAAAAAAAACATCATGGGGGGATGAGATTGTATTTGCCATCATTATTGCTATTTAAAAAATAGAAAATTTTGCTAAATTTCAAATGTTTTACATGAAGTTGATTAACGTTCAGGTAAATCCTCATAGACTCAAATAAATTCAAGGACTAGCATTCAGATAAAAAGACACCAACAAAAAAGTTTTTCAAACATTTAGCACATAAAAATTCCTTTTTCTCAAACACAAAATATTAAAATGGTTTTACAATGCTCATTATTTTATTAAATACAATCAGGTAGTGGCATATAACCAGCATTTGATACAATATGCATAAGATCCACTTTTTGTAAAAAAATTCTAAAGCCCTTGAATTCCAAACTCTCTTTCAGAGAAGCCCACAAACTCTGCTGGGGATTTTTTTTAAAATTGCATTTACAGCCAGGTTCTAGCCATAAAAATGCTATCATAAAATTGCGCTTCTCCCATTCTTCCTTTGTTCCTGTTTCAAATTCCACTTTACTGCTAAGACATAAAACCTGGGAGCAGTGAAACTGGTTCACCCCTAAGGCATTTTTTAAAAGATGAAATACAGTACAGTTCCTCATTGTAACAGTCAGGAATATTTGCTTCCTCATGCTTGTGTATAAGTATAAAATATTAGAGAGGAATATTTAAAATTGCTGCACCTCTTAGATTTTGCAACTTATTGGAAGATGTAAAAACCTGCAAGATGAATAATTCTATCCAGATGATAACAGAAATGGGCTGGCAGAAGGAAAAGCTTATATGAAAGTGTTGTTGCAACATGAATTTGATGGACGAGGACAAAAAATAATAGTATTGAATAGAAAACCAACACCTTTTTGGCCTTCAAGTATTTTTTTTTAATGAAGGGTGTTTCCTCTTATATTCCTATCTGCGATGCTTAGATTCAAATGATCTTTCTCATTCAAGGCTAGAATACAAAAACGCCATTTTGCTTTATAATGATGTTCAAAAAATTCTAAAATCAACTTTTATTTCTTGAGCTTATATTTGAAAAAATAAGTCAAATTCAAATAAAACTTGAGCAAACAATAAAATAAAATTGAAAAAATCCACTAAACTGGAATAAATGGCCTCAAATTGAATAGAAATGAACCAAAATTGAATAAAATTGAGCTAAAATTGGATGAAAAATGAAGTAAAATTGAATTAAAATGAACTGAAATCGAATAAGAATGACCTGAAATTGAATTAATTTAAATAAAATTGAATAAAAATTAACAAAAAATTGAATAAAAATTAAATAAAAATTAACAACAAATTGAATAAAAATTAGCTAAAATTGAATAAAAATTAACTGAAATTGAAAAAAGATGAAACTAAAATCGTGTAATAAAATAAAAACCACAAACTTGTAAAAGAAAATACTGTTATTGAGTTGAAATTAACTAAAATATGAAAAGAAAATTTACTTGAATTGAATTTGAAAAATAAAGTGAAATTGAAAATAATGAAAAAAACAAACATCCAATTTCTAAAAATAATATGTTGAAATAAATTTTCAAAAACGAAAATAAATTAAATCTTTTTTAAATAAAAACGAATAAAAAGCACACCCATGCAGAAACTGTTCCTTTGATCGCCATTTTCCGCGGTCCGAAACACCATGTTATATAAGCTCATGATATGATGGTGAAAGCCGCCTTAAAAATTGTGGGGCTATACTTTAATTTATTCTCCCGCGGGGGTCATGAATAAATCAATGATTCTTCAGGTGAAAAAAAAAGAAGTGGAAACCTTTTGTGGAAGTATCTGTCGGAATGTTCTCGATTTCCCTTTCTCACTGTCTGCCCAATCCCCCCCACCTTCTTCATTTCCTCCTTCATCTCCTTCTTCTTCTTCTTTTTCCTCTTCACGCCCTGGGGGCTTGAAGTCAATAGAATTTCTCGCGAGGATAGAAACTATCAGCCATTTTCAAGTGTATTTTCTTTTTCTAGGTCTGAATTCAGGGGAGGAAAATTTTTCGAATTGTTTTCCGGCCAAATCAGATGAGGTAAATTGCTCATTGCAAAAAAAAAAAGACAAGTGCGTATCTGAAATAATATTTTCTCCGGTCACGTTTTCCCCGTATATACCTGGAATTCAATAGAATGGAGGATCGAGGAAAAATACTGTATTCACTTCACAACGCTTAAATCACTGCTGCGCGTAGAATTCCTTCGCAATATTCAGTTTCGGAAAGTTTTACGATTTTTTTCTTCATTTCCAAATAAGAATAAAGTAAAAACCCGCGCGTTGCTGAGCCCGAAGCTGGGCAGCGACTGATGGGGAAAGAAGCATGTGAGGCTGGGTGTGCATGGCTTTTCCATCAATTATAGCCGGGAAGCGGGGCGGGCACGGTGGGAGCAAGCGACATCTACTCTCAAGTTTCTGTGGCGCGTATGAAAGCTGTCTGAAAAGCCGCGCCAGGAGACGAAATACGGATGGGCTTCGGGTTACGCTTTTTATTCGTGCGACACCTGCCTAGAGCTTTGCGAAGCAGTCAGTTGGTCATGTTTCAGGATTTGAACGAGAGGCTGCATCCGAACTCTGCCGCCCTCGAATCAATGCACAATCAGTGTAAATTCTGGACTAAAATGTTTAAATTGGGTTTGAGAAAAATATGTTTTCAGCTGATCTCAGCGTTCAAGCTTGGAAATTTCCAGTTGGTCAGTTATGAAAAATGTTTCACCTGGTTTTAATAATTTAAGATCATTCCACTTTGCTTTTAATTTTTCTTGTAAAGTATAGTCCTTTTTCTATGCAAGTTTACTGCAATTCAGCATTATTGAAATGGCAAATCTCAAACTACCAAAGGACTAGTTACAAATGTTACACGAATCTGATTAAAATTATCACAAGAAATCACTGAATACGTTTGTTTATATATCTTTATATTGATTTTTTGAAAAATACTGTATGCTGTGTTTCACAAGAAAGA